TATTGCTATTGAGTCGTTATATAATCATATTAATATACAAGCACATGGAAATTTTCTGTTCGAAGTTGGTCTTCGAATTTGTCATATTGACTGCTGAGCTTATTGTGTTTTTTTCATTGTACTGATGGAAATATGAGAAATTAATATGACACCATGTGCTCAGAATTTGTGAAATGCAAGAAATATTGCAACTCCCATTTTCTTTGAAAATGCCACCTTCTTCATGTACTTTGCGTTTAATTTAATCACTTCAAATGTTTTTATTTAAGTATTCTTTTGCTAGCTTGATGTAACAAAAAAAAAAAATTTTCAAAACTACTTTCAGTAAATTGTTTTCTGTGTGAATATTCAATTTCACTTGGAAGGTTTGAAAAATTATTACATTTAGATAAAAAAAAACTTCCAAAATACTATTACAATTATTGTTAAGCGTTCGAGGGCCGCACTGGAAGTTCTCTGGGGCCGCGAGTTTGACATCCCTCGGTCTAGATTGAAGCTGTCCAAAATATTATAACAGTATTTTATCATAAATCATGATTATACCCTTTCCTGAATTTCTTCTATAGTACTTACCAAAAGTTGAATGAACCAAATATAACACAGGTGTAGTCAGTGACCCGTAATCCTCATTTTTTCAAAGCTGTTTTAGGTATGTCTGGCATGTTTTGTGACTTTTTTACAAATAAGACCGCTTATGTAATCTTACGCTTTGGAATTTTTAAGTTATTTCCCTCAAGCCCTGCAAGGATGTAGGGGCTATATACACAACTTTACCGGAAGGGTCAAATTTCTTTGCATGCCTCCATAGGTTGTTCTTCTATTGCAAACATTTATGGAGTATTCTAATTATATTTCTTGGAATCACACTGTCACTGATATGTCGCCAGACTTTTGATATCTCCCATTCTGCTATAGTTGTCCTGTGAATAAATAATAGGAAATTGAGATTAAACGAATAGTTGAAAGTTTTGCTTTATGTCGGCTTAATTTCTTGATTGATATACTTACTATATTTGCTATTGCCTCTTGTGCTGCAGGAGTCTCACAATGCTTAGACAGGTTTGTCCACAACTTTCACATCTGAAGAGAGAGAGGAGATTTATTTATTTTCGTTAAGAATAAATAAAGCAGTCTATATGATTTAGAATGGAAAAGCTAATAAATCCAATATCCCATGTTTTATGTAAAAAATGTTTTACTGAATTTGGTATATAAACCAACTAATAAAAGCATTCGTGGCTCCAAATACTTGAGAGATCAGACTATACAATATAGACCGGCATGAGTGGAATGTTAGGTGAACTTGTTAACACTTTTGATTCAATACGCAAATAAAAGTGAATACGCAATAGTATGTTACAATGAACAGCAATCAGCAATGAGTATATATCCTCACTGATTAAAAAAATCTAAATGGAGGTGCATGAACTATTTGAAACCATAAGGGGTAAGTAAATATGCAATTTCGGCAAATGGTCAACTACGTACCGTACTGAATTATAACTTCGTAGTATTTGACAAAAGCTGGCTTTCCCACATGTACTTAACAGTGCGATGCCCGGGTGTGATATACAACAATAGTATTTACCTTACTTTCTTCCGATTTCTTTTTATCTTCAATTTTCCAAATATCATTGAAAACCAAACAACTGTCAAAGCAGGCACGAACACCATTCGTGTTATGCTTTGAAAGCAGCACACATCCGCTCGTTTTCGTCTCGTCAAGTATGTGCATTGGAGCGTGCTATCGGATACGATCTTCGGCCAAAAATGCCGGAGTTGCGCATCATGTTGTTTAATGTCATTGATGACACCCAGCGAGATATGAAATTGTTGCGACCTTGCAGCAGAGCCATTATATAACGGCTCTGCCTGCAGGTGGTCACGAGACGCGCAACAAAAGCGGGGGCCGCTAAGATATTTTTTGGGTGATGCACAGCAGGATTTTGAGCCTGGTGTCAAGTTAGCAACGACTTTATCATTATAATATAAATTAATTTTGTTTGGGGGATCGATCAACTGCAGAGGGGTTGATATGGTGAAACCTCTACTTTACAGTCCAGATTTATAAAAGAATCATTGTCACAATTAATTTTTGAGCTCTCTTGATATCGAATACCCATCGCTAAGTAATCGAGCAATCAAACTGTTGTCCGTATTTTCAACCAGTTGCTTTTATCTTTAAAAAAGAAGCAAATAAATTGACTGTGGGCCGCTGCAGAGCTATGTGTTGCAAAACCTTTTTTGTGATGCCTCGCTTGCAATCCTGTATTGGAAACGAAACAGTAGCGAAATTCTCACTGGAGTTAATTGTGTTTGTAGCCTACATGATTTCGCATTTAAATGTTCTTTATGTGAGATGTGTGCCTTGTTTACGCATAATGGGTGCCCAGCACTGCATTTCATTACGCAATATATATGTTATTATTTATATTCCACCCATTTCAATTTTTGACCGGCACATTATTTGATAGGTTTTCCTCATGTGAAATGTTTTTAATTGTACCTTTTTTTTATAAAAGCATAGTGATTGCACGACTTTACGCAAATATATGTAATTATTTTCTGTTCTACTCATTTAAATTTTTGCCGGTCCGCGACGAGTACATTTCATTTAATTCTACCGGTCCGCCAGGGTAGAAAGTTGGGAACCAGCCTATTTGTTTTGTTATGATGTTCTTGGTCCATATTCTGCAATATCGAATTAAATATCCAATACTTCAGAAATGTAGAATTTATATTGTTGAATACCATTTCCCCACTTTTGTGAATTTATTGTATTGCATTGACAAAAATACCTTATTTGTCCGGCTCGTTTCAACACAGTTTGAGCGTAAATATGGTTTGAGTCATACCGCAGTAGTATATATTTACTGTCATACCGATAGTCCGATACCTGGCCCTCGGACAAAAAAATTCGGTGACCCCTGGGTTGAGGTATCGATAGTTGGATGAGTATCACAGACCTTCATTCACAAGTGCAGTTTTAAGTATTTCGCGGCATCTGAAGCTGCCGCAAAACCATGGCGGAATCTCCAAACCATGGCCACAATGACCAAACCACGGCGGCTAACTTTCAAGCTGCCACAAACAATGGCGTGAGGCGGGGTACCACGGCAGCAAATTGAAAACCACGGCAGGTGAAATTATACTGCCATGAACCGTAGTTACGCTGCCGTAACCACGGCAAGAGCTGCCGTAACCACGGCAGGAGCTGCCGCGGTTACGGCAGGTAGGAATAACCTGTGGTAGCGAAAGATTTCTCGCCATGAACAGTGGAAGATAGTGGGGAACCTTGTGGTTAATTGCGCATTACCACGGCGGGATAACGGGGAGCGCGGCGACAAGTTGGTTGCTGCCATCAACTGAAGAAGCGAGATTAGCATTCAGTGTTGTTGTTGTTTGTTTGCATTCAAGAGTAATAAGGAAATGATTTGGCGTTACAAATGAAGTCAGCCTTGGGTGTATATTGCTTTGAAGTACCGGTAGGGTGCAGTTGGAAGTAGAGTTGGATCTTTGTAATATTTACAGTTTTTTATGTAATTGTAATGTAATGACTGAATGGAGGCATTTTCATTCTGTGTAATCGTAACTGTAATTTGCTAAAATTCTGGCTCAATTACACTTTCAATTAGACTAAATCTTAGTATTTTGAAAATGGATGAACATCAAACAAACTCTTCCGAAACATGTGTTGAACCACTTCTTGCACCATTGTCAGAGTTTTTTAAATCTTTGAGCAGCACTGAGGCAGGCTGTAACAACTTCAAAAAAGGCTTCATCAAACGCACTTGAAGAGATGTTCTCCCCATCTATATCTATAAATAGAGGAAAGGACCAAGAAAATCAGAAAGTGATGTAAATAGCTATTTGGGGGAAGAAATTTTGCAATTTGATGAAGACCAATTAATGTATTGGAAGAAGAAATCAGAAAAATTTCCCACGCTGAATTACAGCAACATCAGCCCCGTCAGAAAGAGTTTTTTCAATTGCGGATAACTTTTATACAGCATGAAGAAATTTATTGGGTTCAGAAACTTTTCGCAGCCTAATCTTCATCAAGTGCAATCCAACAGTTCTTGAGCAAGGGAAAATGTAAATACGAACCAAAATGTTATAATTGTAAATGCAGTTTGATATTTTTTGCACGGAGTAATTGTAATGTAATTGAAACATTTAAGGGAGTAGTTGTATTTGTAATTGAACTGAATTAGTGTAATTGATCCAACTCTGGTTAGGAAGTAATGGCTGGTTGGAAGTAAGGTGCCATTACTTCCTCTGGCAATAAATAATGTTGTATATCATTTGCGCTGTGTCTTTTTTAGTCATATTGATTCAAATTAGATCGCAGTACTACCAGAGTAAAATTGTGTCGGTTGGGTTTGATTAAAATTGCATTTACTCTGCTAGGCGATTCATCTACAGTAGGGGTTCTCAACCTCCTACTTTCTGCGAACCGGTACCACTTGAATTTTTCCTTTACCCCGAAAAAGCCACTCTTTGTAAGAAAACGGGAATGGAAGTATTTTATAATGTGGCACTACATCCATTTTTTCAGGGACAAATTATATATGCAGTAACAACATATTATTTTCTCTTCGTTTCTGATTTCCCCATACAGACAGATAACTTTTAACTTAAAATGAAAACATGCCAGTCTCTCTCGTTTTAGGGGTGTAGTGGCGGGTGAGGGCAATCCGTGAAAACAAGAAATGGATTGCATGCGATAAAAAAGAGAGAGGGTAATGCTCTCATAAATTACCCAACATAAGGGTTTGTTGTTGCAATAATTTAAAGCTGATTGCGTACCACAGTTGGCCCCTACAGCTTCTTGCACACTCACTATCTCCATCGTTGACACTGGAATCCTTTTATGACAAAGCCACTTAGATATGTCAACTATTTGTTAAGACAATTCTCGAATATTTCTATAATATTTACAGGCAGATGAGGAACCTCAACTAGCGAACTTCAAATTCCAAAAAAGAAGTATGACATTGTGCATGTTATTAAATTTTATTAAAGAAAATTACACAAAAACTTAAGTTTTATGTGCAGTGTTCACAGAAAAACTCTTCGTTACCCGCAAAATCTGCGCAATATTGGTGGCACCACCTTTCGCATCCATCACATTCGACCTACAACAAAATTATTACTTTACTTTATCCATCAAAACTGCATCCATAAGGAAAATGTTTGACCTTACCCAAAGTGTGCCACCATCAGGGGCAGTCCTGCCATTACAGCCCACACAAAAGTGTGCCAGCTCATCAACATCTAAAAGATGAAGGAAAACAAATGTAGGATTGCAAATACCTAACTAATATAGTCATGTATATTCCTCCTCAGATTCTAACCAACCGCAAAAATGAGTAAAATTTCTTTGCATACACGATCAATATTGACCTCAATCCGATACTTAATTAACTTCCTTTTCCATTCCATTTTTCAATATCATCAAATTAAAGCTCTGGGCTCTGAGTTTTATAACCCACTTAGCCATGTTCAAAAGAAAGTTCTAAATATCATCAAAATATAGCTGTGTGCTACCAACATATCCGTGACCGCATAGATGTTATGGTGCTAGTTGTTACTCGACTTCCAGCACTGCTCTCCACACTTGAATAAAAATGACTTATGCTTAGACCTAGTTAATAAAATAATAATGCACCTGTGGCTTCCAACAGAAGGTCTCCAAAATGGATTCTGTAGACTTTACAGATGCCTGTCGAATGATTGAAATCCGTTGTACAACCTGTTAAGATTGCTTCGGCAGCCTAGAATGTAAAAAAATAAAACAACTCATATTTCTATAGATTTGCACCAATGAGATGATTTAAAAATAAGGTTCCAGTTGAATGGTGGTGGTATCAATATAACGTACTACTAGTAGTAAATGTTTACTCACAAATATAAATGAAAATTTAAAGATCTACCGTAATGAGCCTGTGTGCATCCTTATCAGTTTAATAATACCACTATAAAAACAAATTGGACCCGATGTACCTTCACAACCAAAATTCCACAATTAAACCCATCTTCTTGTTCACTATGCTTGTTTGTTAACAGTCTCCAATCTCTTTTGTCACCTCCATGGTATTTCCAAAATTTCCTGGGAGAAAACGTAAAAAAAAGAACAGCCCTGATTAGTCCCACAACACATAGGAACAATTTCATTTCTAGATCCTTAACTTTTTTTTTGAAGTGTTCTAAGAACTGCATATTCTTGCTAATATGAGCTTTCATACCTAGCTTGCAATCTCAGTGCAAAAAACTCGTACGATCCATACAGTTTCGGTAATCTGTTTTTGATGTTTTAAAATTCAGATAACACTAGTAGAGATTTGAATGCATGACTAAAACATTGATGTTCTATCGTTGAACTCAATAAGGGCATGATAATTTAAAGTGAATCTGTGAGTGTTTACAAGCCAATAATCATTTAGTCAGGCAGAAAACCACAAACCTCCAATTCTCCATCAGCGTTTCAGCATAACTCTCTTCATGGCCAACAGGGTCATAAATAGTGACACTCCCTTGAGATGGATCTGTAATCTGAAAACATGAAACTTTGTTCACAAGAGTAGAAGAATTTCTGGTTTGAAGAGCAATACAATACAGAATATGCCATATTTGTTTTGACGTGATATATTGAAACATTTTGTAATTGCATTTGAAAAGAAAATTTTCCGAAAGAATTTCATTTAAATTAACAAAGATCTAGCAATTTACCTACCATTAGAGTCCAGTGATTGCCATGGTTCACAGCACTCATAGTTGGTTTTTCAATAGTCAACTTGGCCTGGATGTAAAATAGGATGGTAACGAAAGCGAATAAACGATGATCAAAAATAATAAACATGTTATTTTACCAAACTTTTGTACTTTCGACGATAAATCCCCTCCCAAAACCACATTGTGGAATATAATGCAGACAGAGCGCTATATTGAGTATGACTGGTCCACTAAAAACAAGTTGATTTAGAAAGATTAACATAATAACAAACTGAGTCACTGATAAGAAATTTCGGACTGAAATATAATTTATGGAGATGTCACAGTTCCACATGGAATACAGAGATGAACAATACTAAAAGACATACCTTATGACAAAGAGCTGCAATTATTCCATCTATTATCTTCAGCAAAGTTGGTAGCATTTGAAATAAAAATAATTATTGAAAAACCATAAGTTCAATTTTATAAACAATCTTACACAAACTAGAAATGATGGTTACATTCTGATGGTAATACTCCTGTATAAATTAGTACTTGTGTACATGTATAACATCTGAGTGATTTCCAAACTATGAACATGGCTGTACAGTTCCTTTGTTATGTACACACTGAGTTCTTAACAGCTAAAAATCATTTTATATAAATATTCGTTCAAAATGTTCCTCGGTATATTACTTCTATTGGCAGGGTTAGCGCTGCTGCTGAATTTCCTTGCAAGACAAAGATTAATTTCTGTTCAATGGTTAACCTAATCTATGGCTAATCCCCATGAAATTTGAATTCTTTATTTATCGCGAATGTATAGATTGTTTCTCTCACTAGGCCTCAATGACGGTTAAACACACATAACTCTACAACGGGTGGAACAAATTCGATGAACACTTTTAAAGGAATTTTCACGTTCTATTTTCTCACTTTATCATCAAGATAGCTGTCACCCTCAAGAAGGCACATACACTCCTTGTCTAGCCCTTTCTTTGTATCTCCAACTACACACTCAATCCTATTCCTATGAGTTGACTTCCATAATTTCTGTATGTCTGAAGATAATATTATGCATAGCATTATCAGTAACACGTAATTGCAACGCTATGACTGATAACAAAACTGAATCATTCATTGAATAATAACGCCTCATAATAACCTCATAAAATCAAAGTATTGTCATATAGAAGGAGATCAGCTATTGCTCAAAAAACTATCATTCAGACAATTACCAAAATATATCAAATTTTAAAAAAAAATTTAATACAATGAATATTATAAAATTTACCATTAAATTTGGCAGGCAGAAAAAGACATTTTCTTGATTCATCACTATCTGAAAAATGTAAATGAATAATTAGAGATAAGTATCATACCAAGACATCTTAACGATAAACCAAGTAACTCCCACCTTTATTCTCGGAGTCATAAATATTACCATCACTGCATGAAGTTGATTTCATTTTTGCTGAACTGCAATGAAAAGTTTGACCCATAGGTATGAAGATAAAGTAAGAAAGACTGAAAATTGTGGATGACATTTTAATAGAAATATGAACTTCTTTGAAGGCTTCAGCATATTATGAGATTGAAGAATGTACCATATAAAGCATCGTTAAATATTCATTTTAATCATTACATCGTTGAAACACATGGTATACTCATCCTCTAAGTGCAAATACTTACCAAAATGTCTGATCTTCTTGATATTGTGACACTGTTCCAGTAGTCATTCCACTCTGCTTTAATAGGAAGTAGGAATTTGAAAAAAATATGACACAATAAATTAACTTTGCGAAGCTTTCTTCGAACACAATTATCTGACCGAAACTCGTTTATTTCGTTATAATAAATAATGCAGAATGAAATTCTTGAATTTACAAGTTTATTAAAACAATACAATGAAATATGAGCGCAATAAAGTGGAATAGGGGGGAATGTTTGTTTCACCTATTATAGTTTGTCAGGCCAGACTCCTGATGTCAAATAACATGATAAAACTCACTCATAGTGAACATCGTACTATTTCAGTTTTGTGGAAAAACCTCAACCGTGACGCAGGCCGAAAAATTGCCTCATGGGCAGCGTTTTGGAGACTCCTGGCATAGATAATTTGATCAATACCATCATGCAAAAAATTCATAACTCCACATATCAAACTCGATACAATGCATTATAATACAAAAGCGGTAAGAGCAAGAAAAAAATTATCTCACTATATTTTCAGAGTACACATTGTCTTCAGGGTTGGCAACTACCTCATTCATAGCTTCATCATCTTCGTCGATGAGTAATTCTTCCTAAATTTTCAAACCTCAGGAAATATAATCGATGTAGGTAGGTAGTAGCATGAATTATAAGACACATATAATAGAATTCTGTTTAATTCCTTCCTAAATCTTATATTAGAAAAAAACATTCCATAGTATAACTAAGAAATTTCTACAATTCATTTACAGGTTTGTACATTTACGATAACTCGAAAGAATGGGATAACATAAAGCCATTAACATTTTAAAGATATCTTTTATACTTGATTAATGATATTGTCGGAAACCGCAAAAGCAGACCTTTATAAATCGTAAATGTCTTATTCTACTTTTATTTTACAATACTATGCATTCACATGAAAACAAATTTAATAATACATGCATACCTCTGTGACCGATCCACTGGTTCCATCCAAAACGTTACCTAAAATGAGGTGTGTAGTGAGAAAATATATCCACATTACTCAATAACATGAAAATCATGTACCTTTAACATCTGGTATAGCAATTCCTTCATGATCCCTCCGAATTTTATTTCCAAATTGAGTCTTCATTTTTTTTTCATATCTTGAGTTTATGTCTTTATTACGCAGGTTAATGCTAACTCGCGAAAGCCAAAGGAAATTGGTAGTGTCCATAGAGCAAACTGAAGATCTACAAGTAAGGTTGTAAAGCATTTTACCAAACATATTCGCACAGCATGAACTCTTAAAACATGTCAATATTCAAGCGATTCATCTCAGTAAAATATCAATTTCCAACTATCTTGAGTTTTTTTATACGTGTCATAGCATCAAATTAATTTTCTGCCTATTAACATTAAATGGTCATGCTTTATTGCCTCAAAATAATCGACAATGTACATCACAACATGAGTTAAATAGTAATATGATCCATCTACCATTAACAATATCTTTTCAATAAGCAAACTATCAATACATCCTCGATTGAAGCATTTGTGTAATAATGGCCAATCACTGAATAGTATGAAAAATGTCAAATACGACATGCCACAATTGGTATCTGAACTGGAGAAATTTCCCATCTAGCAAACAAACAAACCCTCTGGACAAAAAATTGGTTTGTTGAAAGATATTCCTCGAAAACCTCAGTCATCAGTTTTCTAAATATTGTGCATTGATTTAGGTCACATATACAACAGTGTTTCGGAAGCTCTTGTACTGTCATTTCGAGGCCACCATACCCTGGTTCACTTCACAATATAAATATATTAAAAAAAGAGGGGTGGTTGAATAAGATGGAAGCTTGCCTATCTTTTGCCATGTGAGCATTTTCCTGCTCTGCCACACTGGTATTTATGTTCAAATCAGAGCAGTACTTCAAGTTGCGAAATGAATTTTCTGCGGTCTTTTTCTTCGATCTTGTATGGAACCTATCACAGAGGCTGTATTTTTTATGAGCATCCAGTTTAACCTGTGGTAGAGAGCCATGTTTTTCCAATTCAAGATTTTTGTCAGTATATGCAAACAGCATTCCTTTATCAGGCCCAAAAATACCCCTTTTTCTAGCCTCGCCATGATGGGCTACCTGAAAACAGATAATAGTGTTTGAAGAGTATTCTGACCAAAGTTGGAGGAATGAACAAAACATATTAATATAAGTGAAATGATCTCTTTCAACGAAACAGTAAGTATATTTGTGAGCTTTCGTTAGATCATGGTCTAACTTCTTCAAACAATACAAGAGATAACTTAATCGAATAGCGCATATTCGGAGTACCACATACGGATCCGAAGTAGAAAGTAAACAAGGAGAAAGGACCTGCAGTTCAATACACAGTATCAAAGTTCCCTTAATATTAATATAAATTGCACATTATTTGTGAATACTTTTGTATATCAAATATAGAATATTTAAAAATATGTATATCCACAGTGACTTAAACTAAAAAGAACTCACTTGGGAAGCAATGTCAGATATTATAGCATGAGGTTGTCTCTTCAGGGACAATATTCCGTCAATATAATCTCTAGCACTTTCCTGTCTTAGAAGATATTTCATATAATAGCATATCCCATGTGGGCAACGAAAATGTACAATCCCTCCTAAAAATAATGATGAAAATCTCTTTCAAGCCATTTGATCATGCAGCAAAATCCCAAAACATTGTCAGCTGCACAAGATATAAATAAGAGCAAGTTATTCATTCCTCTTTAGTATTACATTGTAATAAATCATAGCGATAATGTAGAAAAGATAAATACAGCAAAAATGCAACCATTGACATTAGACCTAAGTAAGATAAACATTTCTTTAATAAAACAATAATACCAACCACCGCAATGTTTTATGCTTTTGTACATCTTAGGGCATACATCCTTAAACAGAACCAGCTCATTCAAAGTATTAACAAGGTCTTCTGAACTCCCTTTGCTACTTATACCCAAGACTTCACACAAGTCTATCAAACGAGAATCAGATGTCTGCAAAATAAGAGCAATTGCCTCAAATAATAGTTTTTAAATATATAGCTATAGTTTTAAAATATATATATCTGTACAGTATAAACACCAAAATTAAAACAAAAACTATTGTAATTATTGCAGTGTCAAATTTTTGTTTTTAAATCGAGGCATTTGGTCATTTTTGACTATTTGTGAGACAAAAAGGTAGAAAAAAGTATGCCTACAAGAGGAGAGTTTATAGCTTGAGAATATCTTCATGAGAGACTTTGGAGTAGGCTAGAGGCTTTTCAACAACTGGCTTGTTAAGAATAAATCCTTTCCTATGCTCTGTATTTGGGACTTCACTTGAAAATCGGCATTCTGGAGATATCCAAGGTGCAACTGTGTTGTACATTATTTCCACTTTCCATGGATTCTCCTTACAGCCTGGTTATTCATAAGGTTGAGATCAGTGAACTGGATACATAAACTAATACAGAAACTATCAAATAACATGTGAAACGTGAACAAAAGCAAAGAAAAATTTAAAATAAAAGCTAGGTAAAAACCAAATAAAGTTAATCAATAATTTTAGTGTCAAATTTCCATAATTATGATAAACTAGGCCACTTGAATGTTTTTAAACAAAACAACGTGGTATTGATACTGTCGGATTGTCCACGAGATAGATCTGTACGCATAATTCAAGTAAGTAAATGTATTCCTGACCATAAAATCCTCTTCCTATAATTTCCATCTGATATTTTTCCCAAGTTGCGTCTACATCAATGAGGTCACAAGTATTTTGGGTTTTGTCAACGGCTTCAACTGTATGTAAACGAAATACCAAATTTACAGCTTGTGATATTTCATCAGCTATGTTTTAAATGCGCAGCCAAATAATGTTGCTAATGTTACCTGGTCTTCCTGCACGTGTTTTTCCAATTACCATCACATATCAGCACTGTTGGATATATTCCACATTTCAAGCAACAAAAGTCGTATTGATAGTCTTGGAGAGCCAAAAAAATGCAAGAACGCATTCCTGAATCTATATTATAAGGAATAGTTTTTCGATGAACAACATTTTTAGATTTGCTCTCGATGGAGATATGATTCTAAACAGTGGAATTAAATGTATTTATAGTATAACCTTGCAAACCATATTTGACCAGAACAAATAATGCAATACAACAAATATTTATGTGAATTTAGCACACGCCTTTGAGCTGCTTTGTCCATAATAGACCAGTAAACGGCAATAATCAATAACTCACTTTCAGTCCACGCAGTAAATAACAACACAATTGAGACTCAATAAAACACTATTGTCAAAATTATGAAAACCTTCTTCATATTCTTGATATCTAACTTCCATTCCACATTCAGCACATTCCTTGATGAATAATTCAGTTGCTGTGCAAACATTTATAATAACTCGTAAAATAGTTTGTTAAGGAATAAAACATAGAAGCATGATTTAAATATCTGGGTATAATATCACAGGCTATTATCTAACGTTTCGACTTAGGCAAAGTTATTTGGTCGAAATACAAAATTCGTATTTTATACCAATAAGAAGTTTAAACCATACAATGACAAGCATTCATACTTTTCCAAATGTGGCCCATTCCATATGCTACTGTTCGTTTTTTATTCTTGATGCATAAATCCTCGTTGCACTTAAGACATTTTTGTTCAGAGGGAGTCAGCAAAAGCGGAGGAGAAATGTCACGCAAAAGACGCTGAGGTATTTCAGCTGGAATTCTTTTTTTTGTTAAAAAATACTTCATCATATAGTCCATATTATCAGTCAGTGTATGACAAATACTGTAAAAGATGTGAAGCATTGTAAATGAGAAATATCAGAAAATGCATCTTGCCAAAGCAAGTTCTACTATGTTAAAAAATACCTAATCCAAATATTTATAAAAAAATATTGAATAGGCTACAACAGAGGTGGCCAACCTACTTGCGACCGCGATCGACTAAAATCTAGTTTTCAGTCGTAAGTGTTGAATTTCTCAAAAAAAACTTGCTTAGTATCCATGTATTATCTAAATAGCAAAAAATAAATATTCGCAAACCATAACAGTTACATGATTGTTGAAACTTCCCTGATATCCTCTTAGCTCGCCTAGAATTAGGAAAAATTGGCATTCTGATGCGACTGCTACAGTTGAGAATAAAATTTATCACACTACTCCCGGAGTGAGACAACTACTTTCCACAGAGCGCAAGAGTTATCGTACGATCCTACGTTAGTTCAGGCAATATTCAATACTCGATTCAGGCGACACGACATTCGGAACGCTCATTTTCTTACTTTTGGCAGCGGCAAAACTTTCTTTCGTTGCATATCGCATAATAATTTGTTCAGTCGGCCTCGCTTGGGTTCAAGGACTATATGTGTATATCGTATTTAGCGCGTGCGCAGTACTGCGTTATTTCTATTATAAAACACACAACATGCGCTGCATGAAACTGGTTAAACGCAATTTTTTAAGATATGTTACCGAATTTTCTAAACATCAGACGAGATCGACCACTCAGAACGTGGCGATCAACCGGTCGATCAACGTGTTGGCCACCCCTGGGCTACAACATAAAAATGAAATAAAAAATTAGGCATTTAACCAATCTGTCCAATAAAACAAGGAAGCACACATGCTACTAAGTAATATTGCTGGTAGAAAGGAAAGATGAGGTGAATATTTTGGTTATAACTAATACTACTGCAGAATATAATTCATTATAAAGAAAATACACCTATTATGTATAAAAATGCTTTAAATAAACCTGGAAGGGCGCTTGATCCATTCAGGTTGTTGCTCCATAAACACACCACTTCGCTACAGCCTCATGGTAACATGTCGAACTCATTGCCCGAGGTTGGACAAAGGCACGAAAATTCCCCATTATCTTTATTGAAAGAAACTCTTACCCTCTTCAATGGTGCAAAATATTGAATTTTTTCAGTGTAAACGGAAAAATAGATTGTTCTTGTTTCGAAAACCCATTGTTGAAAATCAACAAGGGCTACAAGAGTGCAGCAATCCTTTCACTGATTTCCTTCATATTTTTGCACCATTGAACCGACGAATCATTCCATATATTAAATTCCCTTAGTCGGTTTAGCGATGACAGTTGCAGTTTGTTTGTCGTTAAAATTGAAGATTCAGAGATAGAGTCCAATGTCGACATTGGATTCCTGGATTGACTGTTGAAATGGCTTTGATAATTGAAATACAGTCGTCATCAGTGCACATAATTTTTGTTTCAATGTGTGCTTTTCTGAACATGAATTGGAGCAAGTGGGCCAGAATCACTTGAGCAACCATATAGATTCCATTGAATGTTGTCAACACATACGCTCGGTAAAAAGCTGAGTTGCATTGTGTTTAAGTTGAGCATGTCGCCTCAATGACGACTGATGCCCTAAAGCGCTTGTCACAAGGTATGCATTGAAAGTTTGAAAGTACCTGTAAAGTAAAAGTATATGTAATACGAACAAGGTCTAAAAATGTGAAAAAAATATCGAATGAAAATGAATCATGTAAAAGTGGTAAAGAAATAGATACAAATCACAAAATTTCAATGCACGAGTTTTCTTGACATACAATAAACAATTATTTATGCTCTCATATCTATAAGCGGACACCAACTCAATACCTAATACTTGCTAAATATCCATTAGAACATCTTTCAATCATTAGCTTACCTTCACATAGACTTTCTGAACTTTTGTTTTTAGAATCTATGTCCATATCCCTGACTTCTTCACTTTCAATCACACCCAAACAATCTACACAAAACATTGAAATTCCAAAGTTACTGTGTTATAGCTAGGTACTCTATTTGCAAGAAATAAGCCACAAAATAGTTTTAACCCTTACTCTTAGTAAGCCTCCTGTGGTCAATCATAGAATTTCTCCGTCCAAATATTTTTTCACAGGAGGGACAATGATAGTGACTCCTGGTCAAAGCACTTGTTCCTCGCTTCATACAATCTCTTCTACAAGGCATAATGAAAGCTAAAATATTTGAAGATATACCGACTTATAAAATGACCAGTCATCACAACGAAAATATTCAGTAATTATAGGCTGTACCAGTAATACTGTATACATACCTCTTTCATCCCCATTGATGATATGAACAGCATATTTGATATGTTGAGTTTTCAGGTGGTGTTGAAAGCCACCTGGTGTTGTAAATGATACTCCGATACATAGTATGCATTGGTAAAAATCATTCACTTTTATGCACAAATCATCAAAATTTTCTGATTTTGTCTTAAAATAAGTATCTGCCATTTATTACTTAATAAGGTGTTTCAAGATCTAAACATATATGAAGATACTGGTAGATACTTCAGTACACATAGTCTACACAGCCAAATTAAAATATAATTCAACTTATCGTAGGCTACCTCGTGAATACTAGAAATTTGGAGATACAGAAATAGGGCAGTAAGGTACCGGTACCTAGATTACCGGTACCGCATTCTGGCATTACCCTACTGCTGTACTGGCAGACTATCTAGCTATCAAAAAGTCAGAGTGATTGTTAAAAGACAGAGGCTTGCATGGATAACAGCTCACAAATCTTACGACTCTGTAACTGAAATTACCAAAGTCGCAACGCACTAATGAGGCACATTGATACCATACTCACCTGCCATTATCCATAGTACAAAAACCCCAGATACTGCAACATACATGGTAATAAGGCATACCGGTAAATATTTTCCGAAGCTGCCCTGAAACCATGGCAAAGCTGCCGCGGTAACGGCAGTACTTTTTGCCATCGCCGCGGTATATACACACTTGCCACGGTTTGCTAATAACCATGGCAAGAGACGGCGTGGTACGTTCGTGGCAGGAGCTGCCATGAAGTGGTAAGAACTGCGCCTCTTCATTCATGACACTCGCAGGCCACATTGGTCATAATTTGGTAACGTGTTGTTTAGAATTCTTAGTCAATACGCCAATACTGGTACCGTGCAGACAGACGTATTTACGATACAGATCCGCTCTTGCATACCAGTTTTGAATTACCTTGTCTTCCAATTTCAGTACCCAGGTACCGGTATTTTATTTATTTCGAAAAATATCCTGCAATAAAACTATATAAGGGAAATATGGATATGCCTGGACGGATTTGCGGCTTCCTTCGCAGACATCGCCGTAAATTCATATTTGCTGGAGTACTCGTCGGAGGAGTTGTAGGAACTGTGAAATATGCACAATATAAAATTAAAGATTGGATGGTGCAAGAAGAAAAGAGATATTTGGAGGAACTAAGAAAACAACAGCATTTTGAAAAAACTCAAGAACATTGTTTTGCCATTGCCCAGGCTGTAGCGAACACGCTAAAAGATAATATACTGCAACAAATTGATACTGAAGCAATTCTAGATTCATTGAAGACTGAAGTTTCTGCAGAGAGAAAACTTGAACTCTGGAATGAACTTAAAGTGGTTGTATTTGCAAAAGTGTCAATTTCCATTTACATCTTGACTCTTTCAATTGTTATAATTCGCTTACAGCTTAATCATCTTGCTGCAAAAGTTTACGCCAGTACTCTTACAGACCAGTCACCACCTATCAATGATGTTATCCAACGATGGTTCTTATCAATTTCTCATGAATTTGTGTTGGATAATGGACTTGAATGTATTATTAAAGAATTTACAAAAATTTCACAAGATTTGACAGAATCTATGCCTCTTCAATGTAGAGTTCGAGGTGCAGATATTGAATCAGTCTTAAAAAGCATTCATAATCAAATTAGGCAACATGGTAGTTTTTCATTCCACGTCAAAAGCTCTGAAAATGATTCAAATAATATACTTGATCTTTTGTTACCTAATGAAGCAAATGTTAATTTTGGGGCCTCTGTTGATCTTGATTTACAAAGACAATTAATCAATGAAATGTGGGATATATTTGACTCTAATGACTGCATGCAAGTCTTTGAAAGTTGCATTTTCAAATCCTTCAAGAATTTTGCAAAATAATTGATGGTTCTATCATTGATTCCTTGGGTACTCACAGCAAAGCGTTGGTGAGTGATATCACTCCAATCATTCGTACTAACTCAGACTTTCTTCCATTGGCCAAAGTATTGCCAATGCTAAATTCTCATGTACATGCAATTTCACATGAAAATTTTATTCGTAAAGTGTTAACGAATCCCATGCTCACGAAGTTTTCTGCCAATATATATCAGTCTTTTACAGATACTATCAGTTGTTGAATATGTGACCAATATGATAACACTGATGACTACAACGTATAAACAAAATTTTTTTTTCCATGACTTCTATTAATGGTATGGTTTTATTGAGAAATTTGTTCAAAGCAAGTTCATGCAGATGTACTTAAAATTAAAAGTAAAGGTGACTCATCTCTGAGCAAAGTTCCCAATGGTCATTGAATGACTACTGATAAATTATGTGCCTGTAAATGCTATTTGATTCAAGACGTAAAGCAGATGAAGTCAAATTTGGAATTTGCAACAACATTACGCAATCTGCATGTCATTGTTTGCATAGTGGTAATTTGTTCAATGTACCGGTTTGCCTTATCCTGAAAGGAGTTTCCAGGCTTTGTCTCTGATGCTCACTATCTGTTTTTAAGTTTAAACAGAGAATTTGAATATAAAAATACCATATGTTTTTTATATGGTGTTATGCTTTTTTGTGCTATGTAATTACTTTCTCATTGATAGAATTATGAAAAATCATTTAACTAGACAATTTAATACAAGAAAATTATTTTATGAATATAAATTATAGAATGTTTTGATTTTCAAAAAAAAAATTTAATTTGTTCCTATTTCAACAGATGACTCAGTTTGTGCAATAAAAATAGCTAATCATGACAATACTTGAAAAGACAAGTTCACTCCTGTCAGGAATCAGGGTCATAGATTTGTCCAGAGTCTTAGCTGGACCTTTCATGACTATGGTCCTCGGAGACATGGGAGCCGATGTCATCAAAATTGAAAAACCCATAGATGGCGATGATACAAGATCATGGGGGCCACCCTTCTGTGGAAATGAAAGCGCTTACTTTCTTTCAGTCAATAGAAATAAGCGCTCTGTTGTTGTAGACTTGAAACGTAAAGAAGGTGTCAAAATAATCACAGACCTTGTAAAAGATAGTGATGTATTTGTGGAGAATTATGTGCCTGGGAAAATGGACAAATTCGGTCTTGGGTATGATAAGTTGAAGAAAATTAATCCAGGTTTAGTGTATTGTTCGATCAGTGGTTTCGGTCCAGAAGGACCATACGCCCATCGTCCTGGTTATGATGTTATAGCTGCATCTTATGGTGGCCTGAATTATATTACTGGACCAGAGGATGGTGAGCCTTGTAAATCTGGGGTGGCAATGACTGATCTGTGTACTGGTTTATATGGCCAAGGGGCTATTCTTGCTGCTTTAATGAAAAAAAGGGAGACTGGTTTGGGACAAAAAATTGATTGTGATTTATTGTCATCTCAAATTGCTACTTTAGTCAATATCTCATCAAGCTATCTGAATGCTGGAATTGAAGCAAAAAGATGGGGAACGGCTCATGCATCTATTGTACCCTATCAATCTTTTAAAACAAAAGATGGTAAATATGTCACTGTTGGTGCAACAACTAATAAACAGTTCAATGATCTATGTGATAAAATGAAGCTTGAGCATGTTTCGACTGATCCAAGGTTTGCTGATAATGCAAAAAGGGTTAAGAATCGAGAATCCTTGCTTCCTATTTTGAAGAAATCATTTTTAGATAAAGACTGTGAAGATTGGTTGTTTATATTTGAAGACAGTACTTTTCCCTATGGACCAGTCAACAATATGGAACAGGTGTTTTCAGATCCTCATGTGTTACACACAAACAGAGTGTTAGAATTTGACCACCCAACTGCAGGAAAAGGATGCAAAGTCACTGCTCCAGCAGTCAAGTTTAGCAACTATGAATATCCAAAAATTCTGCCTCCACCTACACTAGGACAGCACACAAAAGAAGTATTACGTGATCTCCTGGACATGTCTGAATTTGAGATTGACAAATTAACAAGAAATGGTGTTGTGACATAAAAAAATTGCTATAGGTAAAAAATATCCTGCATTCACTTCAAAAAAGCTACTTTAGGTTATATCACGATGAAAAAAATTTTGACTCCCAACTTCAGCTCCAAACTCCAAGAAAATCAAATTTTGATCCCATTTGTCTATGGAGATATCAGTAAATTCTAATGCTTTAAACTTATTATCGCTGTTAAAAATGGAATTTACGACTGGGGCTCCAGGAGTTTTAAACTACCACTTCATAGCCCTGCTTTTGTCTTCTCATGCCATTGTTATCCGGGCCAAATATACTCATTAACTTTTTTTCTTCAAATATTGCAATTTTATAATTTTTTCTAATAATTCACTGTGCGATGATATGAAAAAATTTTTGTTTTTCAAAGGAAACTTGTCATTGTGACTTTCAGTTTCATAATCACGCTTTTCCTTTTTAGAAGGACTAGCAAGCGCATGTGCAAATTTTAGTAATTTATTTAATGCTTAATATGCAATTGATTTGTTTTAATTGATGCAATTAATTTCTCTTGCTACCTCCAATGAAAAAAAATTGAGCATTGGAACTAATATATAGTTTTAAATTATATTTGTCGATCATTTTTGGTTTGGCGAGGTCGATCCAAGATAAAATAAATTCGGTGCCAACTGCCAACCTACCTACTTGACCTACTACGTCATACTTTCACGCTTCAAGGACCGGTTGAACGTCAATAATTCGACCAAATATGCGTCTTTACATTTGCCAAGTGTTTAAATAGCTGTTATACTGATATATATAATCAGGCCACGATATAGAGTTCTGCAATAAGTGAGTAATATTTAAGCCAACAAAAATTTACAGTTTAAACATGGTCTCATAGCACGAAAGCTGGGATGAAAATACAAGTGCAATGGAAAAAGTATTCTGGGGAACAGTTATATATATATAAGAAAATGTTACGGTACCGGTAATTATTTTCAGGGTACCACGTACAAATACATTTGCAAAATTTGTAACCTGTTACAAGATATAGTCGGGTACAAATACCTATTCAAAATTTAAAACTCCGTGTGACTACAGACGATTCTTCATAATAACATTATTCCACATGGGCAATATGAAAACCAATGCAGTACATGGGCCTCCTCGTAAGAGGGCTGTTTGAACACAAAGGGAGTATTATGAGCTGCTGCGTCACAATTTTTGCCACTCGCCGAATCGCGCAATACTTTCAAGTGCTACAAAAATATATTCATGTAAAATTATCCAGAACTATGGTGGAATCAACGCTATGAGTAAAGTCTAGTCTGGTGTCACACCAATTTCCACTCTGGCCGACGTCTGCTTTTTCATCTTCATAGATATAAAATTTGAAACCAGAATAATGTTGACGGAGTGACGACGTAAATACAAAAGTTTTCTTACATATTTTAAAACACACTTTTCTACAGCACTCGATACGGAAACAGTGACACTCTGATGCAAAGGCCTAACTCTAATAGACATATGTTGGGGCAAACTGCAGGGATTGTGTTTATATTTGTGTTTATACTTGCAGTTTATATTTGGTTTGGGAACTCTTCCACGCCAAAAAATGTGTGAAGATCAACATAATATGTGCTAATGTCCCATAGTGAATCATGGATGATGAATAAATAACTCGTTGCATTCTGGTGCACTCATATAGCTTCAAAAAGTCAGGAAAATTTCATGAATGCGTACTACATGTTCAAAATTTTAAATATGGGTTCGTCAGGTATATGACGACATCAATTCACATATTGAATCAGCCAATGTCATTACAAATTCAGGTAGGTTCGTACGATGCATGATATATTTTGAGTTTATAAACTTATAAAATCTTTAGCTTGAATGATGAATTAAAATGTACGTGCAAGCGTCTTTTCCAATAACTTGTTGATAGGTGGTTCAGTAAGAAAAAATATCACATGACTGTACAGGAGTCTTTTTTCCCCTTCTTGAAAGGATTTGGTGATTGCTGGGAAACCAGAAAATCTTCGTGAAAGTGTTTCTGAAAATAAATATTTTTCACAAATTATCATATATATATGAATTATTTTTTTGCTTTTTTTACGAGGCTGTTTGTTTGAACTGTGAGCAAGAAAGGGACACGCGCCAAGTGTGGTTTGCGAAATTACGCTTAAATAAACACATTTCATGGCACTTACACTTCGGTAATGACACTTGACACTAATAATTTCGATGAAACTACTAATCTGATGTGTCTCCCCTTTCTGCCGTCTTATGAACATACCCGCATTTGAACCAGGCACGCACTAACGTGCAATACGATTACTTATTTTGTAATAAGGAACAATTTTAAAAAGACTGTTGCTATTGTTGTTTAAATTTCCCGAAGACATTTAAACATTGCAGATGGTTTCAGATACTAGAAAATATTTATGGTGGACAATTAACAGAATTAATCCATTACACTGGAATAGGTTCAATATGTGGACAATAACAATGAGAATTACACTTAGTCGGCAGAACTAAAAAATTATAATTAGGAAAGGCATTGGAAATATCGATTTAAGTGTCCAAAAATGTACACGAGTGAACGTCCCTTGAGAAAATAGTCAATCTATTTAGTTTTTGCGGCGGGATCGCGAATAGAATCGCGAAGGTATTCGATGATTGCAATGTGAATTGGAAAATCGTAAAGAAAGTTCATTTTTTTAGAATGAGACTGGGATCTTACGTCTGGATTCAGTGGTATGAAACATCCTGGAACTGAAACTGAAAAATGACTGTATCTGACTGGCATAATTCAACTATGATATTGAATCAAACATTTATATCGAATCATGTTATTGTTTTTTGACGACCATGATATTGTTCCATTGTCAGGGGTAATAACATAATAAACAAGAAGAATTTTTAAGACGAATTATTTGTACAACTCTCCCTTTTTCAACAAAACGAATGACACCGTAACATGAGCGTTATTGTTACTGCTAAATTGAGGAAATTTTCAGATGTTAAATGAAAAATAATGTCTATTAAAAAATTATACGAATTGGATAAAATATTTTTCTTAGATTGTCAATAACACGGTTCGATTCCGACGATTTTAAATATATATGAATTCTTTTGGGACAAATGACGTACACGTCTGACTCATTGTTTATTTGTAAAATAGCACTAATACATTGAACGTACTTGACAATATTCCATTAAGTCACTTGACACAGTGGAAACAGGTTCACGCTTGATGTCTTTCTCGATGTTGAGTTGACGCACAATGTCTTTCATCCTGCAAACACTAACAGACGAGTCCATTCTTGTATTTAATGTAGTTATTTCCTCAAAAAATATTATGAATATAGCTGAATTCGCGCAACTGTTATCGTTATATATTTAGTTGTTAAGCGCCTTGACTTATATAATGAACTACACGGGGTACATAGTCTGCGAAGTAAGGGTAACAATCAAGTTATATTACTTGGCGAGACACTGTGCAGCCTATAAACGGGGAGGTTTATTCAACTAAATTCTACTCAGTCACGGAACTTCAGTTCTTTTCACTCTCTAAAAATATTAAAAAAATAACAATATTGACTGGGTTGAATGAGACTTGTGCCCCTAGATAGGATGTACATACATTGAATATAATATCGCTGCCACTAGAATATTCGAAATTTTAATTTTCGATCACATTTCTAATCGATCAACAATTATATTGAACCTCATAACAAACAAAACCTGCATACGACCGTTGTTGTAACCGGCACTTTATCCTATGTGTCAACCTTGAAAACGAGCAGGATGACTTGTCACTGAGCCTAATTCCGCCTTCACAAAAATCACAACGGCAAAATGCCTCTTCCGCCTTTGTCACTGACACGCTAGCTTAACGTTGTTCAACGAAAGGCCGTTTACACGAGATGCAACAAGCGTACTAATACTGCGTCGCTCGTCTGCCTACACTTCTGCGGACATTTGTTCCATGCATATTAAATCAACTAAGTGACTCTTTATTCTGACACGAGAAAACCCAGGTTTCCCACTTTCAAATATAAAGTCTATATTGTTATACCTGAAATGAATACGTTGCGCCCAGTCCAATTACATACGGTCAATGTTAAAAGCAATTGAAAATTCCATCTCGACACTAATGGCAATTTATTTTTAATTAAATTTTACTCGACGGGAGAGGTCGGGATCATATATCAAATATGCATACAAAGCATATTTACATCAACATTTCAAGGATGTGCTTATACCTAATTACGATATTATACATTATCGAAAGACTCCGGCTTTACGGGAAACTGCCTGTTGAAATTTCGACCTCTTAATTAATAATTTGGCAAAATGGCTGAGAGCTATCGATCTTATTTCTAAAGCATATGGACCAATAATATAAATATGAAAATTTTTGTGGCAGCAGAGTTGACGAATAGGGTAATTGGCTGGAAGCATTATATCACCGAACATGCTAAATTTGAACATAAATCATTCATTCGATCTATTGTTATCGATGGCCAGACAAGATGTGCAGTATTGTTTATTCGCTATTTACATTTTTCGTTTTGAATAAATTGCAGCGAAGAGCCTTTCAAACTAATTTGGTCGACGTTGTCAGCGTTTTGAGATGCGATTGAAGTTTAATTAGAATCAAGGGGATATTATTCATGTTTTTTCCTCCAAACAAAATCCCAGACAATTTACTGGGTAATCATATTTTGTCACACTAAGCTAAGCAACACTAGCTAAGAGACTATGCCACAAGACAAGCGCACTACCTCAATTCGATTTCAGAATTACACCAGTTCCCTCACCCTGGCACTGTAATTTATTTTAATGAAACGTCTGCAAGTGTCACGTATAGCAAAATTAATATGTTCACTCTGTCTGTTTTGCTAGACTATACTGTCTTATGCTAATCTGCACTGAGATTGTTTTAACTTGGTCTACAGGTTTGGTCGATTTCTCCCGAGAGACTAGAACGGAGTAAAAATCGATTCACTATAAAAAATTCACCGCAAAGCGCCATCGTTTGTTATATGGTGTATTGGACAAATAGTTAGAGGAAGTGCGTTGAATCAAATATGCAGTGCGTTTGGTTCTGGTGAATGAACTTTTTATTTTAAACCGACGCATGAAAAATTACAATCTCGATCAGGAAGCTGACTCAATGACACTCAATGAGTTCTATAGCTGAGATTATTCTTCCCATTTCAATGAGCCAAACGTTCGAAACACATTGATAGAATAATGTGTTAAGGAAATCAACAACACGCGCTTCTGAACATATGTTTTGGGTCAAGATTGCTAACCTAGGTTAATAAGTATATCCCTTTGGGACTCGAGGCGAGGCGTCAAATTTGGAAGCATAAGTCATATTGTAATGAGATTGAAGCAATAGTTGTATTTCGTAGGGGAGCCTTGCAAAAATTGTGGCGTCGTTTATATAGGACTTCCCTTTTTCGTAGGCTGGGGCAATGATACGTAGAAATCCTTGTCGAAGCAACCTTGCCGTTCATATTGGGTGGCTGCATTCAAAAAAGATGGCAGCCGATGGCGTACTCAGTCTATTATTTTGCGATCCTAACATGCGAACCTGTAAATAACAAAGGTCATGGGCGAGCCTGCGTTTTTAATACCCTGTATAAACAACCCTCAAAGCGGCAGACGCCGTTTTTGATCTGTAGGCTATGTATAAAAACTTAACTTGAGTGTTAGTATTGATTCTTCACCATTAGACTCCCCGAACGTGGAAATGGAATAACCTGGCAATAGCATTCCTGCTTAACCATCTCGATAAAACCTTTGTGGTGAGGATACTATAAATCTGCTCACTGATCGTTAGCCGACACAAGCACTCTTATGATCACAAGAGCGTTTATGTTGTACGCTTGTCTTCGTTGTTGAAGATCCGATTAGTGAAATAACTGAATAAGCCCGTAAAGCGTATTGTTCGGTATTCCGTTATTTTTCTTTTAAAAATCATCCGCTCTTGTCGTTGTTTATTAAGAAACACACGCGTCGATGAAGAATATCATACATGCAAAATATCTTTATCAAAAACTGCTATATTGCCTCGGATTGTACATACACCTACATGACAAAGTCCATTGACAAATAAAAACAACGAACGCATAGCTTCTGACACGACACTTGAGCGGATACCAATAAATTAACTTCTATTTGAACAGTCAGGCCTGTAGTTTAACGAGCAGCACGTCCCGGACAAATAAGGCCCAGCCGTGAATAATGTCATAAAAAATATTCTGCTTACGTTATTCCTAATTGACATGTTTGTTCACCAGGTGGCCAATTATGACAAGCTAATCGTAACGTAACAACTGACTTAATGGTGCTGTATCTAAGGCTGGTTTATATTTCTCATTCTGATACAATAAGCTGACAATTCAAATATATCAGGCAGTTTCAAAATTCCTGTATCAATTGTAATATTAACCTCTCGCCTATTTCCATTTGATGAAGCTATATCCTAACTAATCATTGAAATTCTTTGGTATCCATGTTCACATATTTTAATTTAGGTGACCGTACATTTGGACCCACGTACATTTGAACCCATGTCTATATCCGCGGGTTCAATCAATATGCGGGTGCTGAAACCCATGGGTTAGTATGGGTTCAACTATCCGTACAACAAAAAAATTTCCATAGGTGCAATAGTATGCAGGTGCAATTGTCATGGGTTCAAATGTAAGTGGGTTCAAATGTAATGGAACCTTTAATTTATGCTTCCTGTATCGCTTTCAGATTGCTGTGGTTTATTGTTTTAAACTAAAAATGATCTTCCCTTAAAGAGTATCAGAGTAGCCACGAGAGGAAATTCAGAAGACATTTTTATTTATTTAATTGAGCTAAATTAACAGGTTTCAGAAGGCTACACTGGCCCCCGCGTGCTCGGCGGCATCATTAAAATTCTTCAGGGTGTCGATATTTGACTTTCATCACCACGTAATGACCGTCAATATGCCTAATTAGGAATGCAAATTACACACAGCCAGGAGGTAATCATTGCTAATTAATCCCTCCCCAACGGATCTGCCCGGGTTCAATAATATTTCCAATCATGCATTCGAAGACCATGTGCCCTGATAAAGAAGAGTAGACGCTAATGAACTGTCTGTCAGTACGTCCTTGGTAACTGATATTTAAATGAAAATATACTTTTTACGCTATCTGAATTGTTATGTGGGTGCAAATAAGACTTCAACAAAAGTTAAGATTTGTTCAGTGCACATCTATATTAAAAGTGATGAGTGTAATTTACAGTTATATTTCTTATATTACACGTCGCGTCATGTATTCAAGTTTACGTGAGTTAAAATAACTGTAATATCTGCGTGGGTGGTAATTCTGTGACTGTAAGCTATGCTAATGCAACTGCCCGTGGGTCGACAACAAGTCTGTTTCCGGGTGTATAAATAGTAAATACCGCTAGTCCAGATGTTCGTAATTGCAAATTCTATTCTATTCGCAAATCTCCACACTAGTATCAGTCTCTTGGTTGAGATCATGTGATGGGGCTACTATTTACACTTAGTTAATAGTGATCGAAGATACAGCTGCATGTCGAATTATACACGACCATTAACATCTTTTTTGAATTCTACACACCCCCTTCAGCATTAGGAAACCGCCGTTGAGAAAAAGAAATGGTTACCATAACCGCAAGTCAGTGCTAGCTCGGCTACATCCAGACGGCATTTTGCCTTTCCAGCGGCACTGAGCTATGGCTTTCGGTATGCTCATTGCAGATTAACACTGCCAGCATGATAGAATAGTCTTAGTGGCTGTGGCAGCTCCCTATCAGGCCCCGACTCTTTCCTATTTGGGCGTTGGTGGCAATTCTGACAGTGTGCGCGGGTTTTGCCATCGCTCTCGTTATAGCGCGAACTAATATCCCGTCGATGTAAAGTCTGGGTTGCCAACTCTATTGGTCGTACAAGCTATACGATCTGACAGGCAATATGTGGATAATCGAAGTCGCAACAAATGGAATCTATGGAATTAAAAATTGTGGCGCAGACCGATCTCAGCTCACATCAATCCAACGAGAGCATGTTTCACAATAGCGGTTAACTAGGGACACCGACTTACTGATTCTCTTTTTAATAGTGGCTGATCCGCTATTTTATTCACTGTTTCTATTTTCCTTAACTCACGCGTCTTTCCCCTTGACTTTTGATTGCATTTACATTATACTTTTAGTGATATCGTTCTAGCACTTTTTAGTGTTTCAAAACTTTTATAACAAAAGTTTACATAGTTCTCGGCACACTTATCGGCTAGAGACATTTAACCACATTGATAAAAGCACAATTTTTGTTCTTAAATAAACATTGCACTTGATTGGCAGTATACATTATATTTTGCAGCTGTTTTAAAAACCAAACCTGGTGTCAAATAAGGAATGTACGAGGGAGTTCACACACATGGCAATCGGGACCATAACCCTTCTCACACCGTCTATCTATTCTATACTGTTTCTGACGGTGCAGCCTTGAGAGTGAAAATGCCGCTAAACACAAACATGAGTTACTATGGAGCTCCTTCTAGGATCGGACAACGTTTACAAAAAAACTACATGAGACGTAAATTTATATATATATAACGTGCAAAAAAAATTTAGTAGTATAGGAAGATTACGTATAGGGTCAATGGTCGGGAAAACATCCATTACGTGCCATGTGTTTGGCAAATTTGGAACTTTTCCTTTAAGGTACAACTAACCAATGTTTTGCAGATTAAAATATTTTTAGAAAATGTTTGTCATTAAGAATATTTTTTTCTGTTTATTAAATGTATTGAAATCGCAGTACTCCACAATAGTGGAAGTATTAATAAAATAGCCTTGTATTGGTACCTGAGATGCCAAAGATCAGTCAATCCGGCGACATTCATTTTGGCCGAGGCATAATAATATGTTGCTGATTGGAAACGCGCTATTGGTTCGAACTCCAGCTATCGGTTCATCCATATTCAAAATATAATTATTTGTTTCTTTTGCGCTTCGACTTTTCATGAATTTTTTAGCGTCTGCTGACCCGTAAACTACTGCATTTATGTGCGGAAGCTCGTGGTCGGCGGTTAAAATTTATTTGTGTGTTAGTTTTGTTCAGTACATATACAGATAGTAATCCCGATGCAATTGGACGTGGGTAAAATATGTAAGCGCAAACCTGCAAATACGGAACAGTTGGGTTGAAAATGCGCTTTATAGCAAATAATACGGCTATTTTTGTGTCAGCAATATTCAGTAAATCAACTATTTTGACAAGACGTTTATCGGCGACCTCATTATTTACGAGTGGAACCTTATTTACGGTCTTTTATTAACGATGATTCTATCAACTAAGCTGCTTCTACACTATTATCTTAATATTTCTACAACCTTTGTTACAGTCTTAAACCAACCTGCACTGCCCATAGAAGGTATGAATCGATAAACTCAGTTAAGCAATTTCCTACAAGTTTTCCATTGATTTTCTTTCACGCTCGCCAACCATGTTCTCGTTGCGTCGCGGTAAATTTCTTGCCGATTACTGCTATCTACAAATCTGTATTCATTGGGTTGAGATCACAGCTGGAACGTACCAAACAGCAGCGCTGTATGCATATCGTATACATGGTACAACTTGGTGAAATTAACATATTCAGAATCACCCTACTCTCGTCTGCGTCGATAATCGCATAATTCGCCTTCAGCGAATTTGTGTCAACTCGAAATTGAGATTGCAACAGATTAGATTATAATATTTTGTCTCGATATTTGTTATTAATTTTTTGTCTTGATATTTTATATTTTTCACTCTTTTCCAGATAAGTGATTCGATTTTCTTTATAGATGAGGCGATATTGTTACGACATACATATTAATCAAATGCCCATATAAAGCATTAACTTCTACTTGTTAAATGTATCGTGCGAATGTATCAATAAACCATATAGTTATGCATTCGTGATAACGTAATCGAAGAGATATTTCGTAGTTGTTAGCGCCAATGATTTAATATCGTGTTAATTTCGTATTAACAGCTCAGTGTCAAAATTTAACATAACGGCAAAGGTTTGTTTCATACCATGAAAACTAAGCAAGTTTTTGAAAATCTGGATGTCAGTTGAATACATGGAAATAATTTCGTCTTGTCGAAGTTATTGCAAATCATTCCCTTCACTCCCACAGCTCTCTCATGGGACTTCAATTTTCAACCGTGTCGTGGAGTACTTTGTACAGCATGACAAGGATTTCGAAACTTCAAAAATATTCCCATTTTATATGCGTGGTTTGGCTTTGAGATTTACATATATATACGTACAGTATACACCATGTTTCTCCGAAAACAAGACCTACCCTGAAGTTAAGACCCAGCCTGAATTTCAGGGATGATTTTAATATAAGACCTAGTGGTCAATAGCGCGAATTTTTTTTTACCTAGTCGATAGCAAGAAATCTCCTCCACACGTTTCAAATGATTAATCTCAAACGTGTGAAACAGGAAAACGTATCATTTAAGATAAGTAAATGGATATCGGTTTTCGTATTCCTCATATTTGAAAATTCGTAATTCTCTACTTTGTAGTTTTGTTTTTGATGAATGAAAATAAAAACATCCTCCAAAAATAAGCCCTAGTGTTATTTTTTCGAAAGAAAATTGAAATAAGACAATCATTGTCTTATTTCCGGGGAAACACGGTATATATATATCGGCATCGGTCATTTTTTTGCTATCGGTATCGGGTAGACCGAGATTTTCGATATATTCTGCTCTCTGGTCTGATCCAACATGTTTTAAGGAATATATTAGTATACGAATGCTGATAACTGAAATCATTTTTTTTGCGGTGATGCATGTTCGCGTTCCATCCTCGCGACTAGAAACGGGTATAATGACGTCACGATATCAGGTACCACGAGATTTTATTACTTTTCAATGTTTATAAATTCCTTCGATTATATTCTCTTGTAACTAAAATTTATACTTCAAGCAGATTTAAAGGAAATATAGACAACGCTGATTATCGCGGCCCAATGTATTTTTTAAAAACGTGTATACGTAAATGTAATGTAATTAAAAATGAAATATATTTATAAAAACGCCAGAGTGGATTTTTGCGCGTTGTACCATATACTAAATTATTACACTGAAATTATTAAGTAGAAATGCACTTGATTGTTGGATGTTTTGTACAAATCCCCTACAAAAAATACGGTACTCCTGAAGTATGCACACCGAGATGTCGCATAACCTGAACCTGGTACACAACCTGAGTTCAGGATGTGCGCCATCTTGGTGAGCATACTTCAGGAGGTCCAAAAATACTTCCCGACAACGCTTAAAATAACAAAATTAATATTTATCCAGTCAGAGTTAGGAATACATATTGCAATTGAAATTCAAATTTTTGCATCGTTCCTAACCTTACCGGGATAATACCTAGTTTTTTTTTATTTTAAAAGTGGCGTGGGTGTTTTTCTCAAATCTCACATTTTTGCATTAGTGACGGGGACTTTGTACAAAAGTTTCCATGTTTCAAGCTATTTATCATCCAAACTATATCAATTGATTTGTCTATTTTCGATACCAAAATTGTGTTATTTACATTTTGAACAATAGCAATTGGTAATTAATAATTATGAAGAAAAATAACGATCAAATGTCACAGAGAATTTTCTCGTTGCTTGAAATACAAAACAGTATCGTAGTATTGATACAAAAACCAGCGTACGCCACTATATGTATTGGTTTCATAGTAGGGGTAAACATTTATTCGTTATACCAGTTGTAGTGGACAACAGCTATGAGCTTTTCATCAACCGAAACACGATATTTCCAGCGCCCGAGGACAACAAACGTCTGCAGAACGTATGGGCATTTCAATAAACCATCAGTGGTGATTCCATATTTATTTATGCATCTGAATCAGACATATCGATTTTTCATGTTCTGAAATATCTGTTCTCAAGTTCACACTCAAGAAGATTGAATACACGTTGTTAATAATTAAATATTATCGGTAATCTGAAATATCGGCGTTTTGTTGGTATCGACGAAAATAGTGATAACGTACATATTCAGTTTGGACTCATATATTTGATTCGATATTTGATTAATTAATTTAAAAGAATTAATTTGATAAGCGTCTAGACACCCGTCGCTTTTTTTAAAAATAGCCGATGACTGCTTTCGATAAGTCGACCAGGGCGAACAACATTTGTGACAGCTTCGATTGGTGCTTATTTACAGCTTAGCCTTAGAGTGATGCACCAATTTTAAAAATAATTTTATTCACAGACGAATATTCAAGTACTAATATGCAAACAAATATATCAAAAATGACTGAATCAACCATCTCTTCATCTCCCTAAATGAAACAAAAAAAATGAAAAATTGACAACAAAACAATAAGCTTTGTAAAATTAGCTAGGGCAACAAAACATTAGCAGCAATTGAGTAATAGATTATATAAATGTATTAATGAGGAGTGTCACAAATGCTGAAATATATTGGTTTTGAATGAGACAATGCCCGAGAATTACCTACTTATTTTATATATCCGGTCTTCTCCTGTGAAGATGAGTTGTATCAGTTAATAAAACAACATAGAAAACTATACATAATAAAGTTGTGTGAAGAAACATTGTATAAATTGCTGTCACAAAAAAATTTAAAAAAAATATGCTACTTACAGCCTTCTACCTGGATTATAAAATGTACTGAATGAATTAGGATTGAATATTCCCTTGCCAATGAATTTTGTTCCGCTCATAAATAGATACTATTGCAAAGTGAATTTATAATAATGATATAAAAAGTATACTGATGAAAAGGGTGGATTGTATGCAAAGCATAGTGCAAATGATGATGAAGTTTTAACATATACTTCAAAGCAAATATCTCAACTAATATTTAGAGAATTGTCAATATTTTTTATGGTCCAAAGTCTCTGTTCAAAATTAAGAAGATATTCCCCCGTGCTATATAGTCAGATAATTCCAACCAAAATCCCCAAAACAACTACATATATACATTTTTAATCAGATGCTATTCTAGAACTTTTCCAAATAAATTTTTTCTCCAAAGGAAGATATGTTTGTACTCAATATTTTGATAGTTTTAAAGCTTGAATTGTTTCACGTATCACCAGTCATAATCGCAATAAAATCTTCCAGGTTAATTTCGCCGTCACCATCAGTATCAAATTCATCAATCATGGCTCTCAATTCATCATCTGTCATATTTTCACCAAGTTCTCTAGCAACTCTACGTAGATTTCTTAATGATATTTTACCACTGTCATCATCGTCAAAGAGTTTAAAAGCTTTTGTCAACTCTTCCTGTGGATCTCTTTCAAGAATTAAGTCTGTCATGACATCATTGTAATCATCAAAACTGATTTTTCCAGTTTCTTCTCTGTCATTTTCTCGCAAAATTTTCAAGACGTCAGCTTTTTTTACTTCAAACCCTAATGCTCTCATTGCGACCTTGAGTTCGTGATAATCTATAAATTTATCCTTGTCTGTGTCAAATAATTCGAAAGCCTCTTTAATTTCTTGTTTCTGTTCCTCTGAAATCTCCCTCCGCTTTTTTCGTTTGGATTTCTCCAGTCCAAAATCTCCACGTAGAGACAAACTCATCTTGAAATTATTTTTTTAATATTAATTCTATAAAAGGCAATTATGAAGAAAAAAAATGATTAGATTTTTTTTTGTCAGGAACATAAATTCAGAACAGGCAGCATTGGATAAAACAGAGATAAGTGATTGCTGTTTTTATTTGTTTAATTACTATATATGGTAAATACGAGTACTGCCTTGACATATAATAAATTTTTTTGTAACCATATTTTATATCTACTAATGGTAACTTAAAACACAATAATAGGCTAATCAAATGTCTTCTAGTAATAAAAAACTCAAAAGTCTAATAAAACACAATATTGGCATTAAAATGGCACAAAAGTCTAGCATTAAATATTTTTTTAAATTTTTTAACAGTATTTTCAATGAATCAAAATATAAACAGTTCTGCAGTTCATAAATAGATGACTCAGAAGTTCAGGTACTTTTCCACATACAGACATAATACACACAAATCATTTCCTGCGAGATTTCTTATTCGTGACTTTGTTTATATTGGTAATATATCTCACATTAACTTGTGATTGAAAGTTTTCATATAGTTTGTCAGCCTATTGTTGTGAACATTTTTACATGAACTAATCCTGTAATCAAAATACTGAATTACATTTAGTCTATGCAGAAAAATTAAACTATCACCAGCCATAGAATTACAGAAGTTTCATGTTTTCTTTCTTTTATATTTGTACTACCGTACATGTATTATGTTTTCTAAAAAATCTAATCTCTAAGGATTACGGTACCGCCGTACCGGTACCTACTCTATACAAGGACAAAAGCTATGCGAGCATGTATGGCCAGGAAAGTCTAATCCCAGAACAGCAGAAGTTGTCGTCCAATGCTGTATTCAACAAATGCAATACCAATATTGTTGTGAGAATCAATAATAATTACATATAGTCTACACACATGAACTTCTTTCTATTCCAAACTCAGCGCCAGAATTGCAAAGTATTATAAAAGTTCAAACGGAACCGACAAAACAAAAACACAATCAAGTCAAAACTGACGGTTAGTGGCGGTGTTCAAATTCACAAGGTGGCAGCATTGAGCAAAAATATTCGTGAAAGCTTTGTCATGATTATGTGCAGCGTTCGTTGTATGTGTGTATGTTAATTTGTCTCACTGTTTAACAGCGTCTGCATATTAAATAAACATAAAGATGTCAGATGTGTTGTGACATTCTCATATTCTCGGCGTATAAAGTCATTAGTAAAGCTATAAAATCACAAGTATTGTCAAATCTAATTTGTCTCAATACTATATGGATGTCGTTCTTTTACAAAATTACGTACGATTATGATGATATGTGATTAATATCATTGCAGTCTTGGATTTCTATTCAAATCCCAGCGATTCATATGAAAATCCTATCCATTCAATAATTACACATATGCTATCCACCAAAACTTGCAATGAAACTGATATTACAGAATTCAAAATACAGATTTAGAAGTTAAGATTGATTATTTTGCAGCCCTCTCCTTTTTTGTATCTGTGCAGCTGTGGCTTTGCAGCTTTTGTAGGGCTGAAGCCAAAATTGTTATACCGAATGTCTACATTCTTCCATTCCTTTACTAGAGTTTTATAGTAAATTGATCAGCTTGGTTGAAGACTATGTTGGGTCGAGGGATTGAAAAGGATGAAGAAAAAGAGGGGGAGACTGTAGATGAGGATGCTGAGATTCTTCATAATATGATGGAAGCAGGATGGAATTTACCTCTGGCATTTCAACAAAAAAGACACTTGGAAAGCATCACAAGTTCAAAGCCGGTTACGCAAACATGGAGAATGAAAGAAAGGGTAATTGTTTAATTTTGTTGATAGAAGTGCATTTTATTATAATTTATTTTGTAGATACCATTAAATTTGTTTCAGTTTCTGTCGTATATTATAACTGTCAATTTTGTTCATTATTATTTAATGATAATTGGATTATTTCATCTAATGTTGCATTTTTATGAAACATGTATGCATATCTATTCATGTAGATCAAATGTTGAAATGTATATTCAAATTAAATTAAGCATTGTATCAAAATTTGTGTTTTCTTATATAAAACCCTTCAGCGGAATATTTACTTAGTATGGAAGATATTCACTCAATTGTGATGTTACTGGAATAATATTATTATTTAAATAGTTGAGAATTGGTTTTATAGAAATTCTATTAAATGCAACTATTACTTTAAATATAAATATTAATTTGCTATGTATTAATGTTCTTTCAACTAATTCCTTTAACAATAACTGAGTTATTATTATTCACATTATAAACATATAAATAGGAATTTCAAATGGAACATTGCACATTTTTCGTTGCAAGAATAAACACTCTAATACAGCGGTTCTCGGCCGGGGGCCCATGGCCCTGTAAATTGGCCACAGAGCAGGCGCAAAACTGATTTTACTTTTCCCTTGACAAGAAAACTTCCTGTTGTTCCTAGTTTCATTGCTTGGAAATGTTATTTCACATGGTAGATTCATTTTGTTGAACATGAATTGTTTGAACATAATGGGATTTGGAATCTACCCATCAAAGTAACACTATAAATACCACTGGAATGATAAACAGGGGGCCATGAGTGCTGAAAGCTTTCGGAAGGGGGCCACGAGCCATCAAAGGTTGGGAAACACTGCTCTATTGCAATCATTGTATATTATAAGCATGCATTTTTTTAGCAAGGGATTGATTGGTGATTTTATCTCAGTACTATATTCAATAGTAGCACATTTTATATTTTTAGATGAAGACTGTCAGTGTTGCACTTGTTCTATGTTTAAATGTTGGTGTCGATCCTCCAGATGTTGTGAAGACAACACCTTGTGCCAGACAAGAATGTTGGATAGGTTTGTTTAATTAAAATACTACGTGTTTATTTTAATAAGTGACTTGAATTATAATTTTTTTCTTTTATTATAGATCCATCTAACTACACACCTCAAAAAGCATTGGAAGCAATTGGAAATAATTTGCAAAAGCAGTATGAAAGATGGCAATCAAGAGTATGATGTTTGAATATTAGACTTTGAAAACTTCAAATCTTAATAAATAGGTTGACCAAATCTCAGACTGGGATCAATGTTTAGTGTTGGATGAGATTTACTTGCCATTCAGACGGTCCCAGGAACTCTATTAGTAGGATAGTTGACATTCTGTTAGTATTCTAGTCTCTGTATCTGTATTCATTTTACTGCAGGGTTTCCCAAATAGGGCCCTCGGGCCCCCCCAACGAGTGGTTCTCTCGGGCCACAAGCAAGGCCTAAATAGATTGACTGTGATTTTACTATAATGCATTTATTCATTTACTTTCGTTTGTTGAATTTTTTAATAGTAGACATGGCACATAAAATAACTGATCAAAATGTGTTAAATTCAAAATTTGGTATTTTTATAGAGAAGCAGGGGGCCACAAGTCTCGTAAGATTCTTGAAGGGGGCCAAGGATAGTTAAAGTTTTCAAAATACTGTTTTACTACACCCCCTGTAAATTATTTTTTAAAGAGTCTTATCATTTTGTATAGAGTTTTAATGTATTGATATATATTTCGCTGACCTGATTGTAACATAAAAATTATAATGCACCCAAGATAAGTCAATATATTTATTTACTTGGTATACTACAAAACGGTTATGTATTTATTATTTTGTAGGCTCGTTACAAACAAACTCTAGATCCGACCGTTGAAGATGTCAAAAGATTATGTACTTCATTGCGAAGAAATTCTAAAGAAGAAAGAGTTTTATTTCATTATAATGGCCATGGCGTTCCGAAGCCAACTGTCAATGGGGAAATTTGGGTATTCAACAAGGTACTTTTTTTTCCTAATACATGTTTAGCATTATCATAGCAAAAAGTATTAATTAATAATTGTATATTATTTTTAGACATATACTCAATATATTCCGCTATCAATTTATGATCTTCAAACATGGATGGGAACGCCATCAATATTTGTCTATGATTGTTCAAATTCTGGTGTTATTGTCAACTCTTTCAAAATGTTTGCGAAACAAAGGGAGAAAGACATGCAGGTATGAATTCTATCTAGTATTGCCGATCATTGAAAAACGACTCTTGACTTTGATCAACAAATTTGAATCTCATCTCCTGACTCTAGATTGGGGTGTATCTTGACTAACTAATCGTCCTCTCCTCAACTCTATTTTCTTTAATGGTCTCTTAAGAATGCACTTTTTTAGTTTCCATCTGAAATTCTTGCCTTTGAATTAGAAGTCGCAATTCTGCAGAATCTGTAATTTTAGCAACGGCGTACTCAAGTCCCAAAGTCTAACTCCTTGATTCGGACGCCTCAGTTCTGCCTTGTTCCTAACTTGATTATTCCAGCAGTGATAACAATGAAAATTTATTTCAACAGATCAATGGTATTCATCCAATCGGGCCAAGCATGTCTGATGCTAAAAACTGCATCCAGCTTGCTGCTTGTTCAGAATCTCAACTTTTGCCAATGAATCCTGAACTTCCTGCTGACCTTTTTACTTCCTGTTTGACTACTCCAATCAAAATTGCACTTCAGTGGTTTTGCCTTCAAAAACATGGCTCCCTGGTGCCCTCAGTAACTCTTTCATTGATTGAGAAGTATGTATTTTTTAAAATTTTAGCTTTTTATTATTAGACGAATGTGAAAAAGAGATTCGAAAGTCAGAATTTTTTAATATACATTCTCTAAAATCTGGTAACCAATCTACCGAGTAAAAATAGGGACAGAGTGGAACAAGTGGAAAATCTCTAAAATATCTTGCCGAAGTATTGTACACTTTCTCGAACAAGTTGATTTCACGCTCCTTTATTAAAATAAAAATAGTGTCCAAATCTTTTGTGTGCAATATCTATAATAGGTCTTCGTTACAAGTTAAAAAAACAACAACTTTCATTTGTTTTCAAGGATTCCAGGAAGACTGAATGACAGAAGAACTCCACTTGGTGAATTGAATTGGATATTTACAGCCATTACTGATACTATTGCATGGAACACTTTGCCAAGAGGTAAATACAGACAACCCTGGTGATATGTAGCAGGCCTAGTTTTTCTATTTGCCTCCATGATATGATCTTATGCTTATCTTAGCTAGTTATTTTTGAGGTGAAGCGCGAGACTTGACAAATTCTAAAAAGGGGGCGCGGTTTAAAAAGTTTGAGAACCACAGTTCTTAAGTATACAAAAGTATTGCTGCACACTGAAAATATTGTATTTCTGTAACGTTTATGGCCGTTCGAAGCCAGACATTGTCAGAAAAACATGTGCACACTTATGATTGTATGTAGCCAGACTCTATTTCATCATAGCTTTATCGTAAAAATTCTGTTTTATATGACCTATCCATATTCATGGTAGAATAAAATTGAATCAAACTCATTTTTCCAGATTTGTTCCAAAAATTATTTCGTCAAGACCTACTCGTTGCTAGTTTGTTTCGCAATTTCCTACTCGCTGAGAGGATCATGCGTTCATATCACTGCACTCCAGTTTCTCATCCACCTCTGCCCCCTACATTTCGACATCCTATGTGGGCAGCATGGGATCATGCTGTTGATATTTGCCTCTCTCAATTGCCCGCTATGCTTGAGGAAGCCAGTAACTACCAGTTTCAGGTTTGCTATACATTAAAAATCATGAAATTTATGCATTTTCATATGAATATATAGTGTTCTTGAGACTTGAAAAACAAAAGTTATTTTTACGCATTCTGTTTTAATTAATATTATGATTTTGTATTCTGTTGATTCCACTCTTTTAAATATGTGGAATTATTTTGGTAGTCTAACTACTTTATCTTAGATGTAGTTTACTATGAGTAAGTTTGTTACCAAGAAGTCATTAATACAGTAATAATATGGTAAGTTTCACCCAGGCTTTAGAAATGAGACCTAAGTCTGATATTTTTATAACCACAAATAAATAAATGAAAGTTTTGTATTTTCAGCATAGTCCATTTTTCGCCCAGCATCTGACAGCATTTCAAGTATGGCTGAGGTTGGGAGTTGAAGAGCGCGAACCTCCAGAACAACTGCCTATTGTTCTTCAGGTTTGTTTTAACCCCTTTTGTTTGAATAAAGGATATTATTGTTATTTGTATAAGGAAACACTAACTTTTATTATTTATTGTGCGATACTTCAGTTCTCCCTGTAGGTCAAAAATGAAATTTTCTATTGCTCGTGGAAAATAAAACACTGAAGGGTAATATTGAATAAATTTATTATCATTCTTAATTGCATTAAGGTTGGAGATGTAAATGAAATACCATTATTTATTTTTTTTTTTTATTTTTTTTTTTTACCATTATTTATTTTTACAATACTTCATTGCACTATGTTTATTAATTTCTTGACTTGTGAAATGTAGGATATGCCTTAGGACGATTAATGCCAAGAAGGCCAGTTAGGGCATGGTAATAGCTATTAGCTACTGAATTTAATTGTTTCTTATATATTTGACATAGACATGGCAGATAAGAATACAATATAAAACAAACTGGCACAGTTACACCAATATTTTTTCCATTGACTTCAACTACTAGACTTCCTCATATACTTAAATACGTATTGCTATTTTTCTTATTTGAAATAACTGTATTATTTATTCCTAGGTTCTTCTTAGTCAAGTTCACAGATTGCGAGCACTTGAACTTCTTGGTAGTTTCCTTGATCTTGGACCATGGGCTGTCAGCTTGGCATTATCGGTTGGAATTTTTCCATATGTATTGAAGCTTCTGCAAAGTTTGGCAAAAGAACTACGACCTCTGCTCGTTTTTATCTGGGCAAAAATTTTAGCTGTTGATTGTGTGAGTAACTTCATAGTATTCATGATCTATTGCCGGAATGAAAATGTATAAATGTTGCGATTCAGTTTTTATATCTGTGAAGTTTCACAAATCTACGTTTAACAAGGCTCAAGACAATCCAATACCACCTAGCCAATTTGTTATGTTCAACTATCAGTTTTTTGCTTTTTATATAAGGTTCGAAAGTTGTTTTCTCTGTTGTAATATTTTCGTAATAACGTAAATCTTTCGTAATCTTTTAAATCTCGCTTAGAAGTTTATTGTTGGAGAATTACCCTGAAACATTTATAAACAAGCTATTGTTCTTGTTTCACACCACTGTTGATTCTTTTAAGGTGCATTTCTCTGTCAATAAAAAGTCCTAATTTTCTTTTTTTTCAAGGCGTGTCAAGCTGATCTAGTCAAAGATGGCGGTCATCATTATTTCTTGAGAGTTTTACAAGATCCTCATATGTCATCAGAACATCGGACGATGGCCACGTTTGTGCTTACTGAAATAATGAGAGACTATCCTGCAGGACAGGAAGCCTGTCTTCAAGCAAACATTGTTGCAACGTGTCTCGACCAATTTGATGACACTTACGCTGGTCCTACTACATGGCAATTAAGACAATGGGTGGCAATATGCTTAGGTACGTTATTACTAAATAAGCCAATTATAAATCAAAAAATATTGTGCAGATTGACTTATATTCCATTTAATTTTACAATAGGTCATGTATGGACCAACTATGATGCTGCGAGATGGAGAGGAGTTAGAGAAAGTGCGCATGAGAAATTATATGAATTGTTAGATGATCCTTATCCAGAGGTAAATGCTACTTTACTTATATAATCAAGTTGTGTTAAATAACAGGTTGACCCCAACAGGTTAATTTTATTTCCTAGTAAATTTTATTGCTTATTTTGGATTTGGTATTGAAGTGTTGCTCGATAGTGATTGGATGGTATCGCAGCGTAGAAACTTGGGAGCTTTTTCATTGCTCGAGTAAAGCCACACCACAATTTCAAAAAATCGCTAATGGCAATAATAATATTGAAATAAATGTTAATATGATTCTTTATATTTTATAATCAAATTTTTGAATTTTGCGGCCATGAAAACACTAAACGCTGTTTGGTATTTGAGCATATCCTCGGGTCACATGATAAATTCACAAAATTTGGATCGCTTGAAAAAAAGGTTGGGAACCAATGATCTAGCTCACAGTAATACTAAGGTTTTTTTTCTAATACTCAGGTCCGAGCTGCTGCAGTATTTGCACTTGGTACTTTCGTAGACAATCAACCAGAAGCTGGTAGTGATCATGCCACACATATTGATCATAGTGTTGGTAATGCCCTCATCCCTGTGCGACAAGTTGATGGAAGTCCTCTTGTTCGTAGAGAACTTGCTGCTGCATTACAAAGATTCGTTTCTTGTTATGATAGTAGTTTCTGTGCCGTAGCTTGTAGATTTCTGGAAGAAGAAAGGAATCTAGATGCATTGGGTATGTTGTTGTACCCAAATTACTTTCCTTTTTAATTACTGGACCAATTGCTTTGACAATTTCAGTGGTTAAAGATTGTTGTTGTTCCTAGAAGGTTTTTAATTTTATTTATTTCATAAATTTCTGAGGGCTCTATGGATTTGCTTTTTTTTGTGAGTGATGACATCTTCAAAATTAAAAAAAGGGCGCGCGCACCTTGTGGCATTTCCATGATCGTAGCAATATAGTGTTCAATCGTAGTCGGAAAAGTACTGTACCGGTACCGGTATGTACTGTGAAAGACTAGATATCCATACTACTTCATTATGGCCTTCATGTCCAACTGTCCATATATTTGAGCATTCTTGTCTCGTTCATTTTATAATTCGCTTTCTGAAAATAGTCACTTTTTTATAATGTTGAGAGTTAGCGCTGGAGTTGAAATTTCATATTCTCAGTAGTCTGAATTTTAGACTTCTAATGGTGGTATTTAACAGAAATCAAAAAAGCATTTAATTTCTTAGCATTATCAACAGGCGAATTAGAAGATTGCATACTACAAATATTTGATTTTCTTCGAATTGAAAGAGCAGAAATCATTTATTATAAATGGCTCAGAAGTTGGCATCACAGCCCTGTCAAAATCGGAGCTCTAAAATTATCTCTCGTTTGAGTTATTTTGAAGTGCAAACCCCATGTCTACTCACCCACAGTGTAATAAATCAAATATACAATGCAGAATGTTCAGAGTGAAGAGATAAGAACATTATTTGAAAAAAAAGAAATATATATATATATATATATACATTTGACATATTCATTGCAATTTTCCAGCTGACCATCATAAAAGATCGGCTTCTGTACAAATGCCATTCGGACCATTACATGGAAAATCTGGAAGAAAACTGAACAGCTCGATTTCCCAAGCTTCACTGAATCTTACATCGAGCAGAACAAGATATGATAGTTTAGGGACATTACCTGCAAATGTTGCTCTGCTTAAACCTCAAATGAGTAAGTGTTCAAGATTGATTTTAATGTTTAAATGTTATTGCGTAAGATATTCTGTTGAGCAAAACTAGGTTGTTAAAGAATCTACATTTTAAGGCTTTTTTTCTTTAGATATAGTTGTTGTGTGTATAAATCTGTATTACATTAAATTGAGAAAAAAAGGATTCGGATTTTAAAAATAGTTGTTGTAATAGGGATCCGATGAGGTTATTTCACAGGGTGTTTTCACTTTGTGAGCATGAATTGTTTGAACATAATGGTATTTGGAATCTACCAATCAAAATAACACTATAAATAGTGCTGGAATAATAAACAGGGTGCCATGAGCACTAAAAGCCTCCGGAAGAAGACCACGCGCCATGAAAGGTTGGGAACCACAAAATAAACCACCAACTATGATTGCAGTGATACCAACTTATTCCACATCCATAAATATTTCATTGTAGATTTAAATCCTCATTTTTTGTAATAATGTGTAGTACCTGTCATATTATGCTTTGTTAATTTAGGTTCAGGAGATCTGAATGAGTCTTTGAGTCCTGGTAATGATGGTTCGTACTTTCCTCCTGCGAATCAATTTTCTATCAATCCATCTCCATCTGTTGATGAAGGACCATTGACAACGAAGAGATTAGATAGATTGAGACAAATATCATTCTCTGGTATACCAGCTAATTCAGGTAGATTGGATCACTGGCAAATCCATGTTAAAAAATATTGAAAGCCAAAAAAAGTTATATTCACGAAATAAAAATAATAAATTTTATTTTTCTTATGGCTATATGAATGCTACATTTATAATTTGCGTATCTACTTCGGAGAGAAAAAGGCTGATATAACATGACCTTCTGTCTGGTCCCCAATCCAAAGTGTAGTGAAGGTATAGCTATCCAGTCATTAGTACTATGGTCTTAGATGATGGAAGGCGCCATAAAATATCAGCGATGATGTGAACATCTAGAAGTCCTATAACACATATTTATTTCTGACAGAAACGCATAAAACCATGCAAAGTTATTTTCAGTGGTAGTGGTAGTATTGCAAATTTTTACCTTGCCTCCATTTATACCAGAACATGCCTCCATATCACATTTCGGCCTATTTTTTTGACACTTTCAATTTGTTTCAGGTTTATTATATAGTTCTGTATATACAAACATATGGAAATTACTTCTCTCACTTGCAATTGATCCTTATCCGGAAGTATCCGAACTCAGTCGTACTATCGTTAGCAATATTTTGGAAAAAGTACAGGTATTGTGATAAATTTTTTTCAAATTTCTTTGATGCTCTTGAAATTCGAAATTATATTTTTCATGAAATTTTAATGATTCAAATGATTGTTATTTTGTGGAAATATGTATTATTTTCAACTGAAATTATGATTTATGGCTTTCACCTAGAACTGATTATCCGAAAATTATCATTTTTGACGGAAGTGTTAAATTCCAAACTGTTTGGAACATATGGAAATTCCGCTGTTTTAAAGACCTTTTTTTTGTTCCAGATATTTAATCGACACAATCAAAAAACCTCTGAATCTCAAGAAATGTCGTCTTCATTACCTTCTAGTCCGAGATTACAAAGAAGATCGTCAACATCTTTTGAAGATTCCGAGTCAGTCACAAATCTATTTTATTCCAACTCTATGCCAGTGTTCCCCTTTATTTATTATTAATTTTAAACTGCTAAAATGAAAAGTGAACATTATAAATTTCTTTTCTAAATCAATGTTCTATCTTTCTCATAACAGGAGTGAATTGGATTCAAAAGTCATACCAATACCTCTTACACCTTACTCAAGGACAAGAAAATTATTTGGTCGACCTCCAGATAATAAACCAAATCCCAACTCGCTACCCAGACAGGTAGGTAGCATCTAACAGAAGTGATTGACTATTTTGATTACAAACAAAAGCTTTTGCAGTGAAACATCACTTTTGTTTTTCAGTCATCTCGAGTTGATATAACTTCAATAATAACGCAAGAGAAGATTTGTTCAACTGAATTTTGTGAATGGAGTGCTTCGGTTTTTGCTAAACCTTCAACAAATGTAAGATTATTTATAATTGTTGTTGAAAGCCTAACACAGGTTATGAGTTAATACTCAATCTTGTCAACATTTCCTAGAATTGTATATTTATGTAGATACATTTTTTGAAAGCCAGGATGGACCAATTAAATTTTCAATACTTAATTTCTTCGTGTAGTGCCTACTATTGGGTTCTATATTTCTCACAAAATTTTGCAATTTTTGCATATCTCACTACCATTTGGCATTACTTCAGGATCTTTTCGACAAACCCAGTGATAAAGTAAGGCCTTGCCAGTACCATTGTTAATTGTCACAGCAATTGGCCTTCGATTTGAAGTGTTTAAATGATTTCAGGGTAGGCTGTATAAGGTCAAAATACTTGGAGCATTGCTTTCTTGTATTTTTATCAGGTTACCTCAGCTACAGTGGTAGAAGAAGATCCAGTTAAACGTCATTTAAATTTGACAAGATATGTTAACATGCAGAATGATATAACAAGAATGAGAGAAACTTATGGTGATTATTAGTTTGATATCGGAAATATTTTTTTCACTCTAAACGAGGCTCTGTATAAGCTGTCATGTCTGAGGTAGTACATATTAGAGATGACTAAAGTTTTTCAAGTTGATTGTTCGATTTTATCGCTTTTTATGAGGCAGTGTGACTAGACTGGCTAGTCGCTAAGTTTATCCCGAGATCTACTATCCATGTTTCCAATATAATTAGGTCCAACGCTCCAACCAATAAGTGAAGGCCAAATCACATCATTTAAAATCAAATTTTTATTCACCTTACTCCACTATTTAATTGACAATCTATCTCTTATAATTTTCTACCTATTTGATCAGATACAAGCTGTCTCAGTGAACAACAATTTCAATGGAAAAATTCTCAAATTCCTTCGTGCTTGTGTTTTCATCCTCATGATAAAAGTTTACTCGTTGCTGATAAAAAAGAAATAAGGTCATTATTTTATTTTTATTTGTTTATTATGAGAAATTACAACTTTGGTTTGAAACATTGACTAGCAGAATTAGAAGATATTTTGGGTCGAGTCAACTATAATGAACAATGTTTATGTTAGATTTATTTATATTCTTCAGATTATTCACATAGAAAAATAAAAGCTGATTTCTAGTTGTAAAATTACATTTTTTACTATGATATACTTTACTATGCAAAATGCGGCCTATAAAAATTTCTGTTGCTGTAAATTTGATCGTAAGAGAAAGATTCACATAGAAAGTTAAATTTGGTAACTTTAATAAGATTCTATAAATATTTTAATTTTGTGCCTAATTCGTTTTTTTCTCTCTAGTATATGGAATTGGGAAAAAGGTGTTCGGGAAGGTAAATTTCGCAATGGTAATTCCTCAAATACAAAAATATCAAGTATGGAATTTATCAATACATCAGATGATCCTTTGCTACTAGTTGGAACAGGTAATTGGTTTGGATTTTCACTGGACAGCTGAGCATTTTATTGATATTTCTAAAATGTAGTTATCTCCTGCGCCTCTGCCTAGAAATAAGGTTATCATTTTCACATGCCACAGTTAAATCTTGTTTTGCCATTTTTGTTGCTGACATTGACAGCCTGTAATGCTTAGAAATAAAAATTGTAACATGCAGTTTCATATTTCGTTTAGATGATGGTTGTGTTAGAGTATGGAGGGATTGTTGTGAAAATCAAAACACTGGTGCCGAACTTGTTACAGGATGGCAGGTTTGCTTTTTTAATAATGAAATCCAAGAAAATAAAGTATTTTCTACATTAATAATACATATAAGGTTTTTGTGTTAAGTGTACATGTTTACGACATAAACAATGCTGGATTTCACTGCAACGTATTGCAATACATTTTCATTGAAGATTGTTACCTTGTGTAGAACTCACTGCGTCATCTCAAGGATTCACTCTTTTATGTCTTTTGCTCTGAGCTAGGCTCTCTCCAAGTTGTTGCTAGGTAACCAGCTACTACAAGTTTGGAAGGACCGGAATCATTTTTGCAGTTCAACCTTGCCTACCCAATTTATTACACCCAAAGTTTCAAACAGCGATGCCATCATAGTTAAGCCCCGCCCACACTTGTACTTCTTTGATGGCATTTACTGAAACATAACTCACCACTGACACTTCATATAGTTTGGGAAGCTCTTAGCAATTGAGTGATCAGCCATGACTTTGCTGAGACGTCAGTGACCTTGCTTATTTTTTGGACAGGCTGCAATTGAATCATTACCATCAGCTCGTGGTGCAGGTCTTATTTTATCGTGGGATCAAAAAAATCTACAGTTATATACTGCAGGTGATTCAAGAAATATACAAGTATGGGACACTGTAACTGAACAACGTGTTCAGGTAATTTCCTAACTTTTTTGGGCATTTCAGGGAAAGGGTCAATAGCAGTTTTTGTATTTGGTTGATAAGGTGGTTACACTAAAAAATGACATGGACTGGTACTGGATGAGAGGTTGTGGTATGTTGTCAGAGGGTGGGAGCCATTGGTCAGTTACGGCTTCCTCCACCATCAAGCAAATGCGTCTGAAACAAAGAGCCGGCTGACTAATCCCATAACCCGACATGGACTGATAACCAGACAAAAGGCCTTGGTTTGGCATCCTTTGGCCGTTTTAAATGTGAAATTCCTATCCTACTGATTATTTCCAGCAGTCATTTTTGTCAATTAGTGACATTAAAAGTATTTAGTAAATTTGTAATGATGTCTTATTATCAACATTTATATTATCAGGAATTATCAACTGGTGCTGATAGTTGTGTCACATCATTATCTCTGGATGATCAGAATAATCTGTTGATAGCCGGATGTGGGGATGGTACTATTCGAATGTTTGATACAAGAGATCAATCTGTAAATGGGTGAGACATTTCTAGGAATGATACTGGCTCAAATCGTGTTTCTTAATTTTATTCAAAAACAAGCAATCGCTTTGGAAGATTCAAAGTTTAATTTCACTTTTTAAATATATATAAATATGGGAAATATGCTAAGTACGGTACGACGAGCACGCTCCTTTGCACAAACTGAATATTTTTGACTCTGGCTATATAATAATATATATAGTAATTTATGACCAAAAACAAATTTGGTGTAAATGTGCAACTGAAAAGATTCATTTCAGACTACTGAATCTAAGGTTGGTCTTAATTTAACTGAAAACGTTTTTGAATATGCTGTAATTGTTTCTTCAACAGGAAAACCAAAGTGTTACGTGCTCACGAAAGTTGGGTCGTTAACACAGTATTTCTACCTGATCAACAAGATTTCCTCGTCAGTTCCAGGTATTTATAAAGATAAATTGGGTATAGTAAACATAATGGGTATAGTGTATCGTAACCCTCACATTAAACATGATATGATCATTTTTGTTTTTTCAGTGAAAGTGGTGATGTCAAAATATGGGACGTAAGAAGTTTGGAATCATTGCAATCTATCAATATTCATTCTGGTATAAGATGTCAGGATGCTCATTTGCATTTGCCATTAATTGTCTGGTATGTATACTATTCAAAAATACCAAACTGCTTTGTGTCACTAGGTTTATCTGCTAATCCAGTTTTCTATTGCTCTGATGATTCCATGTTAATCAGACCATTTTTTTTTCACAGTGGTTCTCCCAATCAATCGATGTATTTCTTCAGTCACGATGCAGAAGAACTAGCTCATGTTAAATATTATGATGGATTCTTAGGGCAACGTATTGGTTTCATTACATGCATGAGATTTCATCCAAGATTGGTGAGTTAGTATTACAATTATATTCAATATTTGGATGAATTGGGTAGAATACGATTGGCAAAGGGTTCAATGAGAACCCCAAAATTTAAGGATTGGTTTGGCTAGTCACGCTCAACTTCTCTATAAAAATTTCTGCACATGCTTCTGCCTGGGTTGTCTGGGTGAGGAAATAACTAACCAGTTATATGTGTAGTGGAGGAACCTTTTCAGGTTGGTTTATTTTTTATGCATTGCACACTTCACCTATCTGCAAACTCAAAATGACGCAACAGCTTTGCACAAATGTGTGCTAAAAACACCTGTCTTGTTTCATATGAATTCTCTTTTTCTAGGCTCATCTTGCTGTTGGGACAGCAGACTCATTTCTAACCATATATTCTGGAGATTGTAAGTTCCAATCACCATGAAGAAGTATCAGATATAGCAAGGCATATTCAAACAGATTTGTTGTCATAGTGCTTTTATGGAGAATCTACAACTAATGTGAAGTTTATTGTAAGCTTGCGGTACTCAATCAGGCATGCGAAGTCAATGCCAACTTTGTGAAAAAGTGCAATAACCAAAGGGTTGGAGCTTCCAGTCGAATACAAATTCAGTGAATTTTTCTCTCATGGCCTATAATCTGAGGGATGGGGAAGCAACTTAATCATGTGCAAACCAACCCAACCGGTCTCATCATTAGAGGCAGTATGGTGTATTTCATTTTTAGAAATGTTCATCATCTATTATTTATAATTGCTGCATTCATATGTTTAAAATAAAAACTAATGGTTTATGTTGTATTATATCTTGTATGCATTTGCAAAATTAGGAGGAAAAAGTGCAAGTTGCAAGAGTTTTTTTTCACTTAACCACTAGGAAGATAAAAGACATCGAAAAGACTCGTAAGCAAGTTCCAATCTTAATTCCATATTGTAAGGTCTCTTCAGCTAAGTGTTTTGGACTTTACAAATCACGAGGTTTTAATACCGTTTCAATGCTACAGTAATGTATTTTATACTTGCTATTATCATCGTGTGGGAGACTAATTAAGGCTCGGTAAACCAACGCTAAACTAGACTAAATATAATTCAATGGCCGGATGGAGTAGTAGTTGTTTATTCACTACCTATCTTATGCAGGCTCAACAAATAGATATCCAATCATTTTATTTGAATCAGAGCATCCAAATATCGGAATATACGATTTGAGATCAGCGCACACAATTAAAGTCTTTATTAACAAACCTAGTATCAAGGCTACTCTCAAAATAACCTTGATTCTAGAGATAAAATGGCAATCTATATTTGTGAAGCATTGATGCCACTGGGGATCAAGTCAACACATTTTGAAATAGCTATGTCCTGCACATATTAAGCAGTTTCCACCCATCTCAAATTGATCTGAGCCATTGTTCTGAGATGTAATTATATCCAAGAACACTGCGAAAGATAATATTGCAAATGATCAACAAATATTATTTACTAATCATCAGTCCGATGTTTTTGTTTTTTTGTCTCCATCATTGGCAGTAGGCAATTTTCGTTTCAGTGCCTTGACCTTACGAAGCTGTAACGACCCCATGTCCTGCTTTGTCATATGAATACGACCCCGTTTTTCACCAAGATTCCCTCTTGAAATATTCTTGACCTTTGACACTTTAGCAGCCTTCGGTTTTCTACATGCTCTCTTATACAAGTCATCAGAAGCAAGTTTGGTTCTCCGTAAAATGAAATCAAAGTTAGGTCCCATTTCCTGTAGCTCAATACGTGGCGTTCTTGTGCCAGATTTTTTCAAATTAACCTTGTAATTTCGCAACAAAATTTTCTCATCGACTACAGTAAAACTCATGACATGTTCAAGACCTTTCAATGTGACGTTGGAAACAACTGGTCCCCGAAAGAAATCGATAAACAAAGATTTCAAACGTCGAAGTTCTGAATCAGTTTCAAAATTTTCGCTATTAAAAATTAAGCAAGGTTTTGCACCAATTCCACATTTTTCACCTAAAAAGTCCTTGAACGATTTGAAACTTTCGATTCCAAGTTCAAACATATCCAATACTTGGCGATCGTAAGTTCTACCAATGACAAGATTATTCGGCCTTTTCTTTGAATGTGAACCGAATAAAAACAATGATGCGTCGTTCATTTTTGTTAGAAATTCTATAGAAGACGCATCTTCAAATGGTCGACTTATATTTCGTTTCTTGAAAAGAATTGAACCGGGTTTTTTCATCATGTGAAGTTCTTGCAGAGCAGTTGTAATTATGTTGCTCGTGTTTCCACCTCTTATGAAGAGAGCAGTTTTATCATTTTCAAATATCTTGGGAGCTCTTTGTTCGAGAACTCTTCTATGTCGTTGACTTTTAGGCTTTACAATTCCCTCCTCCATGTTCTATTATCGCTATATCTAAGATAAATAGAAGTATTGAACAGGGGAGAGATTCAAGTATATTATAGTGTATATATATATATACAATGGCCCTTTCCAAAAAAGAAAATGTACGGTACCTAGACTATATTACAAAATCTGTAAATTGAGTTTTAGCCTATCTGTGATTTCAATGAGGTAATGCCATGTTGCAGTGTTGGCAATTTTGATTCAACTTCGGCCAAGGTGGTACGGTATATTATCCAGTACGGTATGTTGATATGTGATCAACTACCATACAATTAATTCCAAACCAGCAATTCTAGCCTAACCCCACGTTTTTCGCACCATGTTGTATGTAAACATTCAGAACACTATTCTCATTTCATTGCTGAAGGCTGGGGCCAACAAAAAACAACCAATTTTTGTAAAAAGCAACAGCTCCAATACAAAAACTCAATGATTGAAGGGCGTTTTTTACGTTCACGTTTCTTAACTTTATTTCAAGTTATGCTCGCCTTCCAGGTATCTCTGCATTTTGTTTGTTCGTCTACTTTTTGTGCTGTTTTGTTTTTGTGTCAGAGTACCGAAATAAATGATTGATTGATAAAGGCACCAAAGCAACTGGTACACCGGTACGCTTTTCACTAAAGTGACTAACACTTTGCTTTCCACCAGAATACAGTATGCTGTGAGTCGCACTGGCAACAGGCGCGACATGCGCGTTGATTGGAGTTGCCAGATTTATTACCATGCCAGTACCACCATTAAATAAAAATATGTAACAACTGAAATATTATAGTTTCTTCATAAAAATAAAATTATTTACAATAAACTAATGTACATATAATAATATAAATTTAGTCACTTTTGTTATATAAACTAATTCTGTGGATACGGAAGCAATTTGGCGTGATAATTTTTGACAAGGGCTTCTAAGATCATTTACTAATTATTCAGTCTTGATTTCATCGTTAATAGGCGAACGCAAGTGTCGAGAAAACAATGCTGCAAAATATCAACCATAAATGCCGCCATTACGACTCCCTAGTGAGGTTTAGGAACATTTTTTATTCATTGTGCTAAGATGCAATCGCGGATTTGCCGATGACCCCCAGGAAATCGTGAAATGTAACGTAATGCGGTCGACCGCCTGTTATGGATTATTTCACCCTATCAGCATAGGCTCTAAAACATTGTTGCAAAACAGTGTCAATTAATATCTGTGATCAAGTTATCAAAAACCCTAAAATATTGCTAAAATGATAACCCATGAATCAAGTATAAAACAAAATCAACTTAAAGAATGTAGCACGTTTATTAAAAAGAAAAAAGACGAATTATATACAATATACGGACAAAATATTTTTTCAACAAAGACAAGTCCAAAAATGTACACAATGGGAAACGGGCTATACAGGTTCCAACTGGCCTCATATTTTGACAATCACCATCATCATTCATGTTTGAGCAAAGCACAAAAAGATTCAATCTCGCTTTCGTGAGATATCGCGTGCATCTAACAGACAAACAAACAAACAAATACCTATCAACATACTTACCGATTAAAATCGATAAGTAACAATAAAATCAACATTACAAAAATACAGACATATGTATATCTGGCAACATAACATAGTTCCAAGTATCAAACCAACAGAGCCGAATCAATCAGAAGAAAAGTGACAACCAGTAATATTTCAAAGCGAGAGCACAAAATTTTTTGAAAGAAATAAAAGCACTGGAACAACGAAATTGAAAATTGAAAGAGTATGTCACCACAGTCAGGCCTAAAGCGAAGCATAGCAGTATCCACCCATGAAACCTATTCCATCCTATGTGTTTTGTTTCACGAGGGAAAGTGGAAACTTCATACAATCAAGAGTAATCAAATGCAGGATAATAGCTAAAAAAATCAAATATAACTATAATGACTGAAGTCAGGATAGTGGCAGTTAAGAGCAGTATAATATTGAAGCATGCAGCTACTTTTAACAATGGCAGTCATGATGATGCAGTTTGATGTACAAAGATTAATATATTTTGATTACGAAATTCACAATATCCAAAGACAAATAGTCCTCATTTCTTAGAATTGAATCTACCAAGAGGGCGTTTCACACGATCCATCTGTAATCAAAAAACAAATTGAAATTATTATCAGCCGTGTCAACTGCTATCTACTGGCATCCTAGCTATAATGATAAATGTATAAAAAACTTATTGTGGCAGTTATCACTCCACACTCATATCAGTAAGAGGTGTTTAGACCAAGATACAAATATCATCAAATGTTTTACTGCTTTGCAAAATGAAGAAGTAAATTAACTTATTGATTATCATAATTTCATAACCAACAAATCACACTATTAATTAGAGACATCTAGGTTTACGATTAATGCTATTGTATTGATTAAACATCACATATATATAATTAGTGTGTTGTATGATATATTAAAAACCATCTAAAATATTTTACCAAACTTGGAGTTCTTCTCTTTTCCTCCACGTTTTTCTTTGAAGATTTAGATTGATCAGGAGTTTTCATCAAACCAGATATTCTCTTCGATGTTCCTGTTATCAAATAGAATAAATTTGACGCTTATTACAGATTGCAATATCTCCTCAATTTTTTACATAAAAAAAGAGATTTTACATTAGTGAGAGTAAATGGAAGTATGTTGTTGATTGCTTCACAAATGCAAAACGAATGCAAGAAATCAGCGAGTTTAACTTTATAAGCCATGAGTTAGAGTTTAGAGTTATCTCTTACTGAAACATAAATCAACAATACCGATACTTACCGCTCTCATTTTGATTTTGTGGTTTGTCAGTCCCAGTACTTGTGCTTTTCTTGGAACCTCGAGGCCTTAGAACAGATTTTCTTGGTGAGTTTGGAATCTCAAACATCATGCTCATTCTCCCCCTTGGAACAATTTGTTCCTGAATGTTTCAATAGAAATGGAATATTTAAGTTCATATTTAAAACCTGATGGGAAATGTTATTTGAATTAATTTTATTACTGTCAGGTAGATATCCCATAGATGTCAAAATGATTGGCTATGAAATAATGTTTTACATTGACTAAGGTAAAGCTATTGAATAAGTTATTTATCAAAAAGTGATCGCCTTGGGAATGTAAGGTATAAAAATCTTGGTCACCGTTCGAAAAAAAGTTTGAATTTAAGAAAATCGAAAATTTTTGATATCCAGCTGTATTTTACTTTAATATATAGAGTAAATCTGGAATATCTCAAGATTTTATTGCAAAATATATGGAACTTAAATTCCTTGCAAGTTCTATAGTAATCATCTATGCACTATGAACTATATTAAAATGTCAAAATCATTTATTATAACAATATACTTTGACTTTACCTTGTCCTCTTCTTGAGGTATTGTACCATTCCATTGATTGTCATTATTCTTATGAGACCTGAGATCATAATCTGAAGCAGACGTATCACTTCCCCCACGACGATTTTGCTGAAAAGAAAAGGAATTCTATTGTATGTTTATCTTTAATCATACACATGAATAATGAACTTGTCCTTGGAATTGAAAATTGGCCTAGACTGAAAAAAAATTTGCCTTCAGGTTTGAAAAATTTTCAATTTTTGCTTCGGATTGTAATAAATTCGACTCCAGATTCCAATGACAAAAACTTTAGCTATGCAAGTCTTTTAAGAGCGCTCAGTAAACTTGACATTTTTCAATTTTCTGTAGAAAATTTGTTCTTTTTTTATCACTATTGAAATTCTGCAATTTTGACTCCCGATGACTGAGAATTTAGTATTTAGACTTCGCCGAGTTTGAAAATCCGATCCTCGTTCAGACTCTGGTCAATACAACATGAAACTCTCCTTAACTCACTTTATGTGGAGGGTTTTCTGGAGCTCCATCTTTGTCTGAATTCTTTCTCTTAGGCTGATTGACTTCACTCACACTACTTATTTGTCTTCTAGTAGATGCTTCTGATTTCCAAGCGGCATCACCATGTACATCTTAAATTATAACAAAATAGATTGTTTGGAAAAACATGCTGCTAATAAACATTGTTGGCGAAAACATGAAAAATGTTAATATACATGGAAAAGTTTTGGTCAACATAGACTGTATTAACAACAGCTCAATATGGATTTGCCTTCCGCACGATTACAAAAATATGTAAAACAATGCTTCCCCAGAACATTTATAAATATAGACAATAACCATTTCACCTAGGATGGTGAGCGATGTCAAACTGGAAATTCCAGTCATTTTCAAAAATAAATTAGCTTCTATCAGTGATCAAAGACGAAAAAAATACATTATACAGTGAAATGTCGATCTAAGAGGCTCAAGTCAAATTACCGATAGTCATTCTCCTGATTCTCGCATCATTACCATGAGCACCGATAGATCTCTGTAACTGAGCAGATGTTTGTGTGAATCTACGCATTGTACCATCAGCATCACCTACTCTCACTGATTCATCACATTTACTTGGAGTTCGTCCCTGAAAAATGAATTCACATTCACAATATATAACAGAAGTTCCCAAGCTTTTCAAACTCACAGCATATCCTATAATGAGATAGAATCCCTGCTATACAACGTTAACATCAATTCGGTTACAATTGGTTACACTTTACAATGTGTCATGTTTCTGAGGTAACACAGTATGCAGGAATGTCCAATACAGAGTTGACAATGAAATCAAGTTTAGCATATTTTTCACTGGAGTCGTTAGAGTCAAACTCCCAAATTTCCTGAGACTTTCAATTGAGATGAAAAATGTTAAAAATTCCTACTAAAACTCAAAAAAGCAATAATTTTATTAATATTTTTAACAGCTATTGAAAAAGCCTTGCAAACACCAAAATTTTTGTTATTAAAATTTGATTTTCTAGGAAGTTTGATCTGGAATGAAATTTTTTTTCACCCCCGAAGTGGGAGGTGATCTCAAATTTTCTCTTGATTTCACCTTTCTGGTTGAATGTAAAAATCATAATTTTTTGGACATACAATAGGTCTTTATGCATCAGTAATTACTCTTCCATAGACTTGTTTTGAGCAAAGATTACGCTTACTTAAAAACAGAAAATACTTGATATTAATCCAACCAGACAAAACAGAGACGAAACAAACGATTTGACAGCACAAAAACTAAGAATGGCCAAGACGGGAATGGTTCAACTACATGCTTTATCTATCCCCATGCTTGATAAGGGCAATTTTCAATTGTTACTAGAAATCCCTACCTGAGTTTCGATTGGATAAGAACTCTTCAAATGCGGGAGAGTCGCTGCGTTTCTGCGTTGTAATTCAGCGAGTCTAGTCAATGATCCAAAATCATAGTCTTCGGGTTCTTCTTCAGTTTGAAAGGCTTAAGAGAAAATGAGTTGAATAAAGGTCAATTTTGGTGTTACAAAAACATGAACACATTGATATTACTACACATTGATATTACTATGTATTGCCAGTATTTATAAATTCTGTCATGAGAATACAAAAAAGTAGTATCTGTCTAACAAGTAGCTAAAATGCTGGGTTGGTGCTGCCGCTTCAAAGATCTCAATTGACAAACCCTGCATCTACCACCACACTCGGGTCGGCAACGCCGAATCGGAAAGACTCCGCTCTTTTTAAAAATACTAGCTTCTTACATATCAGTGGCTGCCATAACAGAGCCTTATTCATAGTGAAAGTGTGAGAACGCTTCACAAAACAAACGCTTCAGTAATTTTCCATATTGTCATTTCTTGCTGCTGTTTTATGGTTAAAGTTAAAGGTTATGCTTTAGAACAGGCATGTCCAACCTTTTTAGTGTCGCGGGTCACATGGGGAAATTCATTGCGGTCCGCAAACGTTTTTACCAAACTTAAATACCAACCCAATTCTGATTTACGTTAGAATTTGAGCGTCGCTAAATCAAACTGCTGGATTGTACAACAATTTTCAGATTTCTGAACACAAGATGCACACAAAGACCATGAACCATGAAATTCAACTCAACTTTTATGCAAATGCACAGGTGTAAAAAATGAAGTAAAAAAAATAAAATGTGAAATTTTTCTAGTGCGAAACTTTCATTCGATTATCATTGCTCAACTGTTTAATATCAACGGGTAGTTTTGATACCGCACAATGTAACTAACTGGCTTGTCAAATTTTTGTTTGTCAGCGTACTTCTATGCTTCGACTTCATAATTTTCAAAATATAAGACTTCAAGCTCGAAACAGATTTACGGCATATTAGGCATACATCGATGTCTTTTGATATTTCCGATTTTCATCAAGCTTCATCCATTTTGTTCTAGACATACCGGTAGATTTGTTTTTGTGGTTCAACAACTATCAATAAAGCAAGTACCGGTATGTGACTTCAACCTTGATGACTTCACAATTGATAGCAAACTCATTGTATCGCCACAGATGTTGCCCTTTAAGTGGCCCTCATGTTCTATGGCGCTTAACAACGCTTTTCTTATGACGGAGTCGCGTGAAACTATAGTCTAAATTTTAGTAAGATTTGATATCATACCAGGTAATTTTTATGTTAAATTTGTTTATATGTCCGTATTTATATAAAAACTTCAAGTGGGCCGCACGAATTCTTCCTATGGGCCACATGTGGCCCGCGGGTTGGACATCCCTGCTTTAGAACATACAAAAATGAGATTTGAAATCAAGCATTGAATTAAAAGTTATTAAGAATCAAAAATAAAAAACATGCATCTGAAATGCATGCAACAAGCAATGAATAAAAAAAATACTTTAATGGGATGATGAAATGAAGTTTGAAGAACTTAAGGTTGTTGATATCAAAGAGTAAAAAGTTCTTAATCTAAAACGAAGGAATATTTAAACAGGAAAATTATAGCAAATCAACTATGTTTTTTAGTAATCAAGTCAGAAGATGTAATAAAAATAAAATGCAAAATTTTTTGAATTCGCTAGATAATTTTAGAACTGGAGAAAGATTCTAAAATACAAAACTAATAAGGAGAAAGGCAACTGTGTCAAAATCGATTTTTTGAAGAGCATTTTTGATTTACGGGTAGTTATTTTTTCTTTATCTTTGAGACATTTGAAAATGGAATATTAAATAGAAGCGTTGATAATCGAAAATTTTCAAATTTTGAACCTGTTTTATCGAAATATTGTCAATACACGAACGAGGTAAACACAATGTTAATGGAAGCAAGCAGGTAAATTAAAAAAGAATGAAATTTCATAACATAAGATAAATAGAAGCGTTGATAATCGAAAATTTTCAAATTTTGAACCTGTTTTATCGAAATATTGTCAATACACGAACGAGGTAAACACAATGTTAATGGAAGCAAGCAGGTAAATTAAAAAAGAATGAAATTTCATAACATAAGATGTTAATTCAAACTCCATTTCATACTTTGTGTGATATCTTTTCCAATATTCCTGTTATATTCATTAATTGAATGACGATCTGAATTTCAAAAACCTCACACAATTAGTCTTTAGTCATTCATTGTGAACAGACATATTTAAGAAAAAATTTTCACAAGAAATTTTTCTAGGCTAAGGTCACATGCACTCAGTCAGAAAGAGAGACAACTCTCTTCAGCGCAAAAAAACTTAATTGTCAGAAGCTGATAAAATATTACGAAATTATGTCAATACTACAGGTGCCATGGTGTATGATTTTTCATCTGACGACTTATTGTCATTGATGCTGTTTGCTTTGAAGCAGGCCCTTTACAAGCGACCACTGATATAAAGAGCTACTTTCTGCATGATCTGGGGAATTTATAGTAGTTCACAAGAAAGTTTTAGCCTTGGAGTACTAATAAACTTGAAAAATGACACCATTGGTGAAGCTCCCATGAAAGTCTACATAAAACTAAATGCAAATCATAGACTGCAAATTAAAAGTTAATAAAAACAGATTATGAAGATTATTTGGTTTGTACAGGAAAAAAATGACCAAATTTGCATACCAAGAGATGAAATTGGTTGTCGTGGAATGGTTGAATTTCTTTGGTTGGCGTGTGACCCACTTTCATTTGCTACGAAACTTGCTTCTGCCAGGTTTGATGAATTCATGTTGATGTCAGCAGATTCATGACTAACTCGACTCGTATTGAGTGTGCCGTGAGTGTTAAGCTGAGGTTGACTATGACTGTAGTACCTTGAATTCATGCTTGTTATAGTATCGCTGAGTAAACTACTCTCAATACTCATGTGACTTCGATCAACAGCTGCTGTATAAAAGAAAAATGGTTGAATGTTTAAACTGAAATGCAATTAAAATACAATGATTCGAATGTGAGTAAAACTGGCATGGTCACTCGAAGATACGAAACAAAATCGAATATCGAAAAGGTTTAAAATACTTTCTTTATTTTATTTTTTCTGATTCTAGGTGTAATTTGAAATAATATAGGAATTGAAATCTCACAGTATAACCTTCATTTACATTCTGAAAACACATTAAAATAATAAAGAGTATAAATAAAATCATTGCTTATCTTGACGTTCCCTATTTCTATATTCAAACTTATTGGGTAAATTAGAACAACAAACAAATCTCTTTCCACCATATAGCAGGTATACTTTTAAATTTTTTAGAATTTCAAAACAAGAGAAAATACTAGCTGAAAAAGATGAGAGAAAAAAGAAAAGGTAGGACTTGGAATTTAAAATAAAATCTCCATATCCGATAACATTATTTCAGGATGTATTGGGAATAGTAGAATTTTCAGTTTGAGACATCCTTGTGATGTATCATTTTGTATAACGAGAAAAGTGAGTTCTCAAACTTCTTATATTAGATTCAGCATTATTACTTTTTTAATTCTATACTATTTTGAATTTGAAGCTGAACGGCTTTGATCAAAGTTTCTGACAAGATGATCTTACCATGGTTTGTTGTCTGATTGTTTCTAGCATTTCCACGAGATTGAAGATTGACAGGTGTTCGAAGAATATCGTCCTAACAAGCAAGAAAAATATTAAATACCACTTAATTTTGCAATTCCAAAAAAAAAAGATGTCATAATATGGAAGCTCAATGCCGCAACACAAAAATCTGTAAGCATAATATGCTTTGAAAGCTTGATGATAACTAAATCCATGAATGTAACTGAAGAACAACATTAAGATATTGTACAAGTGAAGTCATAATTAAAAGCGGGATGTCATAAAATAATGACAATTGACATATGGAACAAACAAATAATTCTATCAGAAAGGGTTGTAAACACCAGTCTAACAATTAAATATACTGAGTGTTCATAACGCTCATTTCAATTTTGCTTTGAAGTCAGTTCTCAATAGCCCGGTTTGTTTTATTGTAATCAGTGTTTTTTCAAGTTTTTTTACATTCATTTATTACACCTGTTGGAGTATAACTGTATAAGGTATCGATAAATTTAATTTGCAATTTGAAAAGCCCTCATAAACACCGTGTAGTACCTGTACTGTTAGTCTACCTGAGTGAAAATATATGTAATAATCACCAATGAATCATCCAATTGTTCTTGATCTTGACGTCTTGCTTTCTTATTCGCAGTTGAAGGAGAATCAAGAAATGTGTCACTTCGACATCGAAACAACTGAAATTTTTTTGTAATTTAGATTGTTAATTTCACCGAGGCATGCTTATGTTACCCTCATCAATATACTTTAAATATAAAGAGTTAGAAGTTAGAGTTCGAACCTCATGCTTGCCGCTTCATCCAGTCTGTAATAAATTTTGAACTAAATATTTGTTCAGAAAGTTATTCGGAGTGAAGAGAATAAATTATATTTCATTAATTACTCACGTTATCATTTGAAAACATATCATCAGACAGCAAGTCGAGGCTACGTCGTCTTGACGTTGACGTGTCCTGGAAAATATACCAATAATAATAGCCTTATAAATTTCCTTTTAAGAACGCAGCACTGTCTATCAACTGTGTGAGATCGACTTCTCCAAGAAAATATGGAAGTTTCAATACTTTGCAGTTGACGTATTAGGCTGAAATTTATCATTTATGTATCCAGTGGTTCCCATTTTTTTTTTTCAATTATTTCCCCCCCGAATCATGAATTTTGTCGATTATAATAGATATAGGCCTACCTCTTCAGCACTGGTCGAAGGTTCCGATATCAAAGTAGAATGTCTGAATCCTGATACTCTTGAATCACTATGTAACTGTCTGATTTGTCTTTCAGCAAATTGAAGTTGAGCAGACAGTCTTTGATTCTAAGGAAGATATTATTAAAAATGTCAAGTCTTTGTCCGAGAAAGTTAAAAAAAACCAACAATCAACAAATAAAATAGCATTTTTAGAAGAGAAAAGCAGTAGTTCTAAACTTTTTGTAAAAATCCCTCTCTTTGCTCCTAATAGAACTTTTTTCCCTCACTCACTATGCATAAAAACTTCTTAATTTGGTTTATTTTTAAGGGGGCCTTTGGCTAGTATTATGCAGAAGTCACACTCCAGCTTGTATACTGTATAAGTAGTTCATAACCATCATAAAGGGGTATTATAGTGATAATACAGAATACTAGTAGCACTACAGCAAATACAAAGCAAAATTCTTCCCTAAGAATGATTTCTCGCCCGTTGCGAAACGTGAAAGTAAAGCAATAATTTGACAAAGATATTGAATTTGAGAAATCATGATTTAAAAAATTACATAAAATAAAAGCACTGCGATACATTATGTTCAACCTAGTTGGGATTTCACAATTATTGTAACCGAAATTTCCTTCAAGCAAAAATGTATTAATAGTTCCCACCTCAGCAGATAACTGTCTGATTTTTTTTTCTTCTTCAATTTTTTGAACATTAAGTTGTGAACTATTGTTAGTCAGCATATCATTCTTTATTTTCAAAGTACGAACTGCCTCTTGCAAATCCAAGTTTTCCTCTCGTACCTACAATAAAAAAAATTTGTGTGGCTAACAAAAGTCTCCAATCTATTTCAATATAATTATAATAAAAAGCATTGTAATCAGTAATTCATAAATTCTTTTTGAGAGAAAGCAAGATCACTCAAACTAACTCAAAAATCACTCAAACTAACTCAAAAATATGGAAGACTCATCTCCTGGCAAGATTTCAAGCAACAGTGCTCCAGAAGTGTGTGTACCAATATGGAGGTAACTAATTGTCTTCGCCTTTTTTACATTACATACAATTGTGTATAGTGGGGAAAGCCTATGGGCAAGGGGGAGTATATTCACTTGGCCAACACATACAGTCCCCGAACTCGTAATAGAACTAAATTTACAATAATCGAAATAACAGGTTACATAATAATAATATTAAGGGACACAGCAAGGCAATTTGTCAATTTTTATACATTTTCTATTACCTGATCCAAACTGTTGACAGTTTCGTTAAGTTGAATACGTTTCTCATTATACATTGCAGCGATATTATCGTATTTATTAGTTTGTTCATCTGCACGAGTTTGCCAATCTTTCAAATCCTGTTCCAGTTTAAGAATCCTAAAATAAAACGAAAAATTACCAATGACTATATTCATGAATAAAATTGCATTAGTCACCAAATTAGAATAAAGTTCTAAAGTAGTGCGCAACGAACATTCATGATTGGCGGCCCCCGTCAAAAGACTCCTAATGCCTGCGACTCTCTGCTCTTCTATAAATATATCTAGCTTTGCTTTTAATGGGATTCCATAAGTTATTTTAACAACCAAGTTTAATGATTTGAAGCCAACAAACGAAATCAAAAGAATAAAAGCATTGCAGTCAAAAAATTAAACAAATCAAAGTCAATTTACTTCACCTAGTCATCGTGAATAGTATATAGCTCAGGCCTTCGCTCGCGGGCTCCTAAGAACCCATGTTTGACCCCCTAGGGAGCCCGAAGATCCAGTATTTTGGTTGGTACACGAGTGGTGATCCAATACCCACCAGTGTTGAGGAGACATAAGTTATAGACTCAACTTGAGTAAGCCTCGAGTCTTTCAAAAACTTGGAGTGACGTGGAGTAATAAATTAAATTTTGCCATGCTATATTAGTTATCCATGTATGGGTTGTTTGTTTCAGCTTTGTTTGGAGCGAATAGATGAAACACTTCACAAAAATTGCTTTATTTATATGTAATGTTACTAAAGATACACAAGATGTCCCACAACTTCTTATATATAGAAATAATCAAACCTTTCTTGCTTTCCTCTGTATTTTTCTGTAAATTGAGATCGGATTGCTTTCAATTTTTCCTCTGCATTTGTTTTTTGTTCTTGTGCTTCAGTGAAAGAAGTTTGCAAATCCAATTTTTCCTTGGTAATTCTGGAAAAGTACATGGGTAACGGCCTAGTTTAAATACCAGCAATTGTATTATATTTGTATTACAATTTCGCCAATAATTTTGCGAATTAATAGATCAATGGATAATACATAACAGGTTAATTAAAAGAGCTGAAGCAGCAATCACACGTGCAGAAGCGAAAAAATGTCAGTTTCTTCAAAATAAAGTCCTTGCTTATCAGAGGATTTAATTTTAATAACAATGTAATTCAATTAGTGTCTTTGACATATTTCATACACGACCTTTACCTGTTCAAATTTTCCTCCACAGATTTGAGTTGTCCTTCTAACTCTAGGCTCCTTGTTTCAAATTGTTTATATTTATTTTCATAAAATATTTTGTCATCAGTCACAAGCTTCAACTAATAAAGAAATAGAAGATGTTGAGTTGAGTCAAAACGTCTACAACAGTAAATTATTTAATTATATGAAATTGATTTTGTCTGTTAAACTGTAACTAGGTAAAAGTACTAAGATGCTAGAAAAAAATGAAATATTCCTGTATTTAGTGAGATGCCACAAATTCTGTAAAATATAATAAAAATCTGTTCCAAAAAAACATCCATACGTATTATGCTTTTAAAAATTTTCTTTAATTTCAGTATATATTCTAACAGTTTGAATTATTAACCCCCTATTTCCCCCCTCATAATTAAATCTTAGATCTTGACAGTTGGCATCAAAATGAGTTTCCTTACATATTTGTTTAATATTAAGAGCTACTCACTGAACTTCTTGCTTCTGAAAGTTCGTTCTCAATTCCAATGACTTCTGAAAAGGAAAAACATAAGTCAGCATGTAGAAAACCCAGTAAAATATACAATACCATACATCCTGTCTATTAACTTCCATTTATCAGTATATAAATGAAATTTTTAAGTAAAAATAAAACTGACAAGTGTAAAAAAATGCTAATTTTTTGATACAATTATGTCAATTACCTTTCTTTAGTCTTCCTTCTAGTGCTGAGTATCTATCTTTTTCCATTTCTAACATTTTTAAAGTTTTATCAGTAGTATCTTGAGATTTAGTAATTTCATCAAGATGACTTTGAGACATTTCATCCAGATTCTGGTATATATCATATAAAAAAACATTTCAGCACAGTAATGGCCAAAAAAATAATTTAATATGCTGAATAATACTCTGTAATATGAACATTGCACAAATAATTGTATTGATACTTCATGTTGAAAAATGTAGAATAGTTACAATGAACATTGTTTTGTTTATTTACATATTCAGAAATTAAAGAAAGTATGTTTTCTGTCTGATGTTCAAATTAGTCAAATTCATAAAATGGAAAATTTTGAGATAAAACTATTCCAAATAATTCCTAAAACCAAGAATGCACAGTATCAAAATGAATATTCAATTTTTTCAAGTTTCATAATAAAAATACATTGTTTGAAATATTCAATATTAAATTAATTTATGTGTTTTAACCTAAGTTTCATAAAAAAATGCAATACTATTACTAAAAATAACAGCGCATGCCACAAATAATATGACTTTTTAATAAGAATAAATTCAGATTCATTCAAAAAAAAAAAACTAAGATATATGAATAACATCAAAAGGGTGAAGCCAATGAAGATGGAAATGGTTTTAATGAAGAGCCTAAGCCATCTGAAAATAATAATTGACATATTGTTCAAGTTGAAACAGAATATCACAACATACCTTTTGCAAAGTTTCATTTTCAACTTTCGAGTAATCAGATGCTTGTTTCAACTCTTCAATCTCCGTTTGATATTTGATTATTTTCTTATCGTCAAGAAATTTGGCTGATTTCAAATCTCCTATAACAGATTCTAATTCATTCAACTTTTCATCTTTTTCAGTTTCTAAAACTTTCATCTTTTTCTGTAAAGATTCAACCAGGATGCGATGATTCTCCAACATCTCTTGCATTTCTTTATCAGCAGTATCTTCAGAAGAATCCTTTTCTTCTCTCAAAGATGACAACTCTTCCTTAAGAGATTCAATTTCTTTTTCCATTCGTGACATTGCGGACAATTTCTCCTCCTGTTGTTTTTTAGATTCATTTTCTAATGACTCACATTTTTCTTTGCTCAAGGAAAGATTCTCTCCTAAAATTAGATTTTCCGATTCCAATTTATTGAGACGTTCTCGTTGTATATTTTCATATGTTTCAACTTCAGATTTGACACGAATAAGATCTGCGACAGTTTCTTCGCGAGCTGCTGAATCCATTTCCATCTGTTTTTGCAGATTTTCAATTTCATCTTCCAAGTCTTTGATCTGAGAAAGGTTTTCTTTATCTTTACAACGCAATACGTCATTTTCTGTTTCTTTTATTTTCAAATTATCCAAAACAGAATTATGTTCAACTTGATGCTCTGATATTATATCAGCAATTTTAATTTCCAAAGATTCTTTTTTCAAGACAATCTTTGAATTCTCTTCTTGCATTTTTTTAAGTTCTTTACATTTCTCCTGGAATTTAGATTCAAGAGAATCAATTTCTTCTTGTAATATAACTTTCTCTTTGTTCAACTTATCCTCCCACATAAAAGTTTCAGTCTCCATTTTCTTTTGCATTGTTTCTTCTAATTCGTGAAATTTCTTTATATTTTTGTCTTCTTTACATTTGGATTCCTCCTGTAGTCTTAACAACATCTCATCTCTAGAGGAAACTTCCTCCAAGTGTGATACCTTTTCTCCTTCTAGAGCTAGAATCTTCTTCTGAGCAACTTCAAGATCATCATTGATTCTCTTATTCTCATCCTGAGAATCTTTAATTCTGTTTTCCATTACTTCATTAGCTTCCTCCAACATCTTCTGTAATTCATCAATTCTTCCCTGATGATTCTCCACTGACAATTCAGAATTTTCCAGGTTGGACCGCATCGATTCAAGTGATACTGCATCCTTTCGCAATTTTGCTAGAAGAATATTATTTTCCTCCCGGATCGTCTGTTCAGAAATCTTAAGATCCTCTAGCTGTTTCTCAACTGAATTGATCGCATTCGTAAACTCCGTATTTTTCTGGAGTAAATCATTATTTTCTTCTTTATACTGATTTTCTCGGACTTGACTCTTTTCAAGTTCATCTTGAATCAATTTCAACGCATCAGTCTTCTGTTGAAAGTTATCCTGAAGATTGACAATTTCCTCATTTTCCATTTTATCTAATTTCATCTTAACTTTTTCCAATTCTGTTTGTGTTTTTTCAAGAACGTTACACGATTTTTCAAGATCACAAGTCAGTGATGAATTCTTCTCTCGTAGGGACTCCATTTCAATATTTGACGTTTCTTGAAAACTGGTGAATTGCGATTTTCCAGATTCTAAATCAGACTTTATTTCCAGAATAGCTTTTTCATATTCGGAAATATCACTTTTCAAAATATTAATTTCATTATTTTTGGCAAAAATATCATTCGAAAACATTTCAGATTTATTGTTCAAATCAGCTTCTAGTTCTGAAATCTTCCTTATTTTTTCCTCAACAATATCCTTAAGTTCTTGTAGATGAGCATCCTGTACCTTCTCCTTCAACATGTTTTCATCTTGATTGCTGACAAGCAATTCATTTAAAGCTTCTTCCGTTCTTTCCGCATTCCTCTCACTTTCTTCCAACTGGGATATTTTGTCATCTAAATTGGTTCTCAATAATGAAGATTCTCTAGCATATTCCTCGTGAGCGTCTGACAATTTCTGCTTTAGTTTTGCAATTTCAGAATCCTTTTTGATATTACATTTTATTGCCTCGTCGATTTTCTCTTCAGATTCCTGTAATTTCTCCTGCATTCTCGATGATTTGTCTTCAAATTTACAGGACTGATCTTTGATTGTGTCATCTCGAGAACGAAGTTCATTTTCCAACACAGAGATTCTCTCCTCTTTACCCAGAATCTCATTATTAAGATGACTGAGCTCATCTTTCATCTTCTTCATTTCTAAGACATGATTTTTATCCGCATCCTCCAGTGCTTTTTTCAGTTTGGAATGAGAGGTTTCCTGAATTTCAAAAGAGGCTTGAGAATCCTTCAATTTTTCTTCTAAACAAACATTATCATTCATCAATTCTTCTACTTTTTCTTCCAACTGATTTGTAGCATTACAGCATTCAGTTAAACCATTATTTGCTTCTTTTAACATATTCTCCACTTCCTCAAGCTGTTTTTTAAATTCCTCAGATTCATTCGTCAAAGTGAGAATCATTTCTTCATCAGATGTTTTCTTTTCCTGCAACTTGACAATTTCTTCTTCCTTCATCTTAAGATTCTCCTCATTTTTAGATCTTGAATCATTCAACTTAATATGAAGAATCTTACACGATTCTTCTAATTCTGCACAAGCTGAATGATACCTCTTCACTTCATCTTTGAGAGAATCTACTTCTTGATTTGATACTGCAAGAGACTGATTATTCATAAGAATTTCTTTCCTTAGATTTTGATTCTCTTCCAATGAAGATTCTTTCTCGTGTTGTAAAATTTTCAGTTGTTCCTCTAGTTTTGAAATCTGACGCTGATCACTAGTCATCATCTTTTCCAGAGAATGGAAGCGATTATCTGAATCTTTTTTCATCTCAGCAAGTTTAGAATCTTTTTCAGCAAGAGCAGATTCAAGAGTACGACATTGCTGTTCAAAAGTGGTAATTTTTTGACTGGAATCACTTAATCTTCTTACATGACTTTCAAGCACAATTGCCTAAAAAGAGTAAATTGAATTAAACTCGAATTTTTATACTCCAACAAATATTGAGATTGTTATGGATTGCTTCAACACATTCACTCTGAATAAGGAAGGCTCCAGACAAGCAACGACTAATACATCAAAAGTTACCATTTTTGAAAGGACCAAAATCTTTCTGAGTAGGTGATGCTCACCCAAGTTATTCCACTTAAGGTGTGGTGATAGGTTGCAAGACAAACATAGTTAGGTCCGATGTCATTTCACTCATTACATAGATAGCACATATGATTAATTTTTAGTCTCACTTCGAAAGTTACTTCTTATTCGAGGTAAAAATAGAAAAATTTACGTTCAATATCCTGTAATATATAAGGAAACAAACTATTTACTTTGTTTTCATTTTCAGTCTTGCTTAAATTTAACTCGACTTGTAGTTTCGATAAGTTCGTGTTTGATTCTCTCACTTCGGTTTCAAGATCTTTGATTCGATTCCTCAAAGACTCTGGGAATAAAAAAAACAGTATTTTTCATAAATTAATATACTGGGTGACCCAAAAAACAGAACCATGGCCATTTAAAAAATTTTCTAGAGAGAATTCAACTTTTTTTGTAAAGCGTCCTAGATTTCTAAATCTTTTGGGTACAATCATACATAAATAATTTTTTTTTATTTTCGTAGAAGAAGAAATTTATGGATTCTGTTTTTATGAGCTAACCTATATTTGGTTTATAAATAAACTTGAGTATGTTACCTTTGTCTCCTGTAAGGGCATCCAATTTTACTCTCGATACTTCACTTGCTGATTCCGAATTTTTCAGCTTTTGATTCGCCGAAGCTAATTTTTTCATTGATTCCATGATTTCGCCTGTTTTTCCAGTCAATTCTTGTTGTAGTTGACAAATTTCCTCTTCCAGTGATAATTTTTCACTATTTACTGATTGCAATTTTGTCTAAAAAAATTTGGAAATAAAAACCTTGCATAAACGAGATTCAATAAAATGAACAAAACACAAAAAGAGAAATGATCATTAGAGGCACTGATAAATATCAAGGGTTACCTGATACTGTCCCATGGTTTCCTTCGTTGCATCCAAATCAGACTGGATTTTTGCAGCAATATCTGGTTTCATCCAGTTTTCCTCCATCTCTTTAATTGTCTCTTGTAATTCCAACACCTAACCGCACAAATTTTCTCAATTTTAAACAGGATCAGGCAGTGTATTACTTTCATCAACACTTATCTCTATTATATTAAATATGATATAAGATTCTCAAATACGGTAAACAGTAATTTTTACTAAGCATGAGATGAGGACAAATAATGTTTATCAGATATAATTACAAATTGGATCAAACGTAAAGAAATTTATGAAATGTTGAAAAATTCCATTTACCCGATGCTCCATAAATATTCCCATCGATTCTCCTTCATTTTCAACGCATGATGAATCTAGAATTAAAAAAAAATTCTTGCCTTACCAAATATAACCTCATAGTTTTAGTCGCTCTTAGAAAAAAATTAGAATCTAAAAACAGAAAGTTATTCAAGGAATACCATACCTTTATTTTCGATGATTTCAACATAATCACAAATTCTTGATTCATAATGTTCCTTCTGTTCAATGTTTTGTGATTTTAATTTATGAAGTTGAGTCATAAGATGGGATATTTCCTGCTCCTAAAACAGAAAAAAAAACAGAAAAATAAATTGATATTGCACCAAATTGATACAAAGTTAAAGTGTAAATGATTATAAACCTGAACAGTATATCTCTCTTGCAAACTTTTGTAAGATTCTTCTAATTCTCTCATTTCTTCCTTTTCTTCTGTGACTTCAAATTGATTGGATTTTAAAACTTTGATCTGGTGTTAAAATATGAAAAAGCAAAATCATTGACTTTGATGAGTTGCGATTAACACTACATTGGTAACGGGATATCCCATATAAATGCAAAAGAGAAATTTCAGAAAACAAGGATTATCCAAACCTGCTTAGAAAGTTCCTCATTCTGTTTTGTTAAATTGTCCAAATCTCTTTTTAAGTCTTTACTATCGTAAGAAGAAGTGTCATATTTCTCCAGACGATGCTTCAGTCTGGATAAATGGAAAAAGGTTATAAATAGAATTGAATCAAGTATTTTATAAGATTAAAAATGATCTTACTTTGAGTTTTCTTTCTCTAAAGCATCTCTTTCCAATCTAATATTATGCAGTTCGTCGATTTCATCAAATAATTGTTGTTTTTCAACAGAACATCGAGACATTTCTCGAACTTTACGTTCTGGAAGGAAAATAGAAAAAACAGTTGATAGCAGTTAATTCCAAAATATATGTAAACGAAGACTGTACTGTCCCGATCATACTAAGAAAAACCTAGATAATGGAGCAATTTTCAAAAAAATCATGAATTCAGTATTTGGAGACGACAGCAACAAAATTTTTTTAGGTTCGTTTGGTGTCCAGTAAAGTAACCCCTTCTTTAGAATTTGATTATAAATTTATAACATGAAATTTTATAAAATATCACTAACCCAGCTGTTCTAATGATGAATCCTTTTCTGAAAGAAGTTTTTGAATTTCTTCTTTAGCGAGTCGTTCAGCGTGAAGATTTTTTTCTAAAATAACAATTTTCTGATCCAAGTCTCGAATCTTTATCTGAAAATGAATAAATATTAGACTTTCACTGAGAAGGTTCGATTTGTAACTTTTTCTGATAAAAAAGAAGATTTACTCGATAATTAATAACTGGACTTGAAAGGAATTCCTGCATCGGAGAACATTCTGCAGATGCATTAAATGATGGCATATCTTGAATATTATGTCTAGGATTTCCTCTCCGTAATGGTGGACAACTGGCAGGTACTGAGAAATAAACCTCTTCTTCCTGTGAAAACGTAGAAATTTTTTTATTATCCTCTGGGGCTGTTGAGTCTGCGAAAATTTATACCATGCTTTGGCTCCAAACCCCACAATTAAAAAAAACAACATACTGACTCCAGGTCGGTAGAAATTGCAATTAATACTTCATCCTCTAACTCAAAAATATTTTTCGCAACTTTCTCTTAACCACCTGTTGAGAATACCTAATGAACTAGATGCTTTGTGTTTTCGTCAAGAAATTTTAACTTCAATTATCAACATTAAAAGTCTAAAATTTTGACTTGATGAAAATTTAATATTAGTACTTTGCCACTTCAGCTCCGACCCCTGAACTCCGAAGAGTTTAAAACACATTTCCGGATCTCCTGCTCCAAGAACATGACAAACTCAAGATTTTATATATTTCATATGATACCCACCTCCAAGGACCGAAATATCTGTTTCACCGGAGTTTTGAACAATCCTCTTGATCCAAGTTGGATTGAACGATTATGAATTGGAGTTATAGACTCATGTTCTGATATCTAAAACACACAGAGAAGTAAACAAAAAATCTGTCACAGACTATGTTTATTTGTCATGCAGAAGATGTTTTATTAACTTAATATACATACCACCACTGAGGGAGCTGGAGCTGGCGAATCTGAAAAATCCAATTCTTGTTGTTCAGATGTAGGAGCTAAAATAAAAAATATTTAGAAAAAACTATTAGTAAAACTAAAAAGTATTAGAAGTTCCGTTTTATGTTGTGAAAATATAGGCCCACTCCCAAACCAAGGATAGAAATTGGTAAGTCCATCCGACCTAAAATTTCGAAGACTCTTCATACCTTTTGAGAAAAGACAAAAATCAAGGCTTGATTTCTCATGCTTGAGATTCCCAATTCAGGTGAGTTCAGTTTATACTTGACCACTCAATAGTTTAAGTTTAAGAGCTGATGCTAATTATTTATCAGATAATGATGTCGCAAGAACATACCTTTGAGCATCATAACGTCAAATAAATGGTATTGAATCTGAGTAGGATTTCCTTCAACAAGTGCTTCTGATATAATATGTCGAAGATGAACTTGTGATTCATAATCAAGGTTCGTCATTTCAGAAATTAATTTCTCTTTGTTTGGGCAAGATATTGACAATGAAAGGAGAAGAAGTAGAACCTAAAAAAAAAAACTATCATAAAACTGATACAAAACTATCACCTGAAACCATTCAATATTTATCACAAGTAGTGCTTTCTCTAAGTAAATGAGTGTCATTTTAACTCAAGCAAGAGGCATATCTTAAAACTTTTTCATCATTTGAAAAAGCAAGTTGAAGGCTTAAGATTCAAAGAAATAACAAGATGCCAAAGTAGTAGTTCATTACTGACAAAATAACATCGACTTATATTAATCAGATGTCATATGACAAAAATATACCTTAGCAATTTCATTTTCATTCCCATTCTCCAGAGATGACCATTCGATATGTTGTACAGAGTATCTCAAATTTGAGGCTGTAAAGGTTTGAGAAAATAAATTATTTTATGATACAAACAAAAAACCAAAAGTTAATTATAGACAACTTAGACAAAAATATTTCAAATATATATATAAACAAAATAATCAACAATGACATTGAAAAACTTTGTATTCAACCTTTTAGATATTCAAGAATAGTTGTCCATGGAGAGTTGTTGTTGCAATACGGAATGGTCATGCCAGAAAAACTGAAAATAACACATTAAATCATCATATATAGCGTAGGTAATGTTTGTCTTTTATTTTTTATAATTCTGAATAAACAGAGAAAAATGTAAAACAGGCAATTACGGTAAATAGGGAATATTTTAATAAAGTAATTTATTTTACTATGCCAAACTTTTTTTATTTTATTACTTTTTTTATTTTTTTATTTATTTATTATTTATTACCAAACTAATGCAAATAAAGAAGATACAATTACTCAAAAAACAATGAAGTGAATATGTACCAAAAGATTAAAACGATAAAAAAAGAGTGAATCTTATCAATCCTAGAATTTAGTAACACAAACACACTATGATTTTATAATTTTCAAGCAATAGACGACTAACTCTGTTGGATTTTGTTGCATGCATTTTATAACTTCTGTTATGATGATTCCGTCAGAAAGTTGCTGAAAATTATCCACATTCGACTTTATTCCTGTTGAATTCACCTGCATTAAGAAGTAAGATAACAATATGCACAATCAAACTTATGAATTCACGAATTTAAGCAAGAGTATCCTAATGCGAAGATAACTAAGCTATATACCGGCATATATAATGAAAATTTACATTTATTTTAAAAGGGAAAATAATGACAAAATGAGAAATGGTACTAGCCTAAGTACTAGTAATAAAACAAAGGCTCACCCAGTCAATAAGGGCTTTGCACTTCCCTGAATCCATTAAGAAATCACTTGCAAGTGTAATACTCCTTACTCGCTATTAATTATTGAATAGGAGTATTATGCTACATGCAGTCCTGTAATTATGTGAAATGAGAGAAAATATGGATTTAGCAAATCCTGAAATATGGACCAGATACAGCCATGCGCAATTATGATAGACAGCGTATAAGCTTACAGTATGCAAAATCAAAACTAGCCAATGTCTGAAAGCAGTTCCGAATTACTGCATTAATATCCCTAACTTAGTAGCATTACACTACACTGACTACAGCATTAAGAATACAGGAATAACATATGGGGGTCTCATGTAGTTTCTTACCTAACATACTTCTAGTGGGCGTAGCATGACAATTTTTTCACGTATCAATCCTAACCCCCATCTGACTACACCATCCACAAATTACGTCATTACGACGTCACAGTGACGTAAAAGAGCCCTTCAAACTATACGAACTGCCACCCAAGACGCGCAAACGAGCACCCGAAATTGAACAGTTATTTCTCTCGTTTTCTCGTCGCAACGATTCCAATAGGAGAGAGACCGATAACGTCAGTCAGTTCTTGGGTCTCATGTAGTTTCGTACCTAACGTACTTCTAGTGGGCGTAGCATAACAATTTTTTGATATGTCAATCCTAACCCCCATTTGATTACGCCATCCAAAAATTAAATCACTACGACATCACAATCACGGCATAGAGCTTGCCAAATATACGCACGATCGACCGAAACGACATTGGCGCCGACGATAAAAAACTGACTGACGTTATCGGTCTCTCTCCTATTGGAATCGTTGCGACGAGAAAACGAGAGAACTAACTGTTCGATTTCAGGGGGGTCGTTTGCGCGTCTTGGGTGGCAGTTCGTATAGTTTGAAGGGCTCTTTTATGTCACTGTGACGTCGTAATGACGTAATTTGTGGATGGTGTAGTCAGGTGGGGGTTAGGATTGATATGTGAAAAAATTTTCATGCTACGCCCACTAGAAGGGGTGGAGGCTAACTCGCCATGAGGGCTAACTCGCCATGGACCACTCGCCATGCGACGGCGGTTAACGGGTTAGCCTGCAACTGTGCGGAGGCTCTTCTTGTAATGGGAGATGGAAAGGTGGCTGTTTATAATAACAACTTCAATAGTAAGGTTAAATATATTAAATTAAATGTGTTTGGTTACAATACCTACTGTGCAAATGGTAACAAAGTGACAAGAAAACGTGCTTATATGTCGGAGGGCATACCGGTACCGTACGGTACTCGACGCGCAAAGGATGTCTCAACTTATCATTTTCATCTAAGCATGCTAAATATATCATCATATTAATTGATTGTATGAGGTCTGAATCAACAACAACGCTAAATATATCAAAAGTTCTATTTTGCTACCGGCAGTCTCATTTTATTCTAACAGCCGTTGATTGCGAGCAGAGAGGGAGAGAGAGAGCTAACTCGCCATGTCTATTTTCTTTATAATTGACGATCGACATCGCGAGTTCGAGAGAGAGAGAGGGCTAACTCGCCATGTCATTATTCTTTATAATTGACCATCGACATCGCCATTTCGAGAGAGAGAGAGAGGGCTAACTCGCCATGTCTTTATTCTTTATAATTGACGATCGACATCGCCATTTCGAGAGAGAGAGAGAGGGCTAACTCGCCATGTCATTATTCTTTATAATTGACCATCGACATCGCCATTTCGAGAGAGAGAGAGAGGGCTAACTCGCCATGTCTTTATTCTTTATAATTGACGATCGACATCGCGAGTTCGAGAGAGAGAGAGGGCTAACTCGCCATGTCATTATTCTTTATAATTGACCATCGACATCGCGAGTTCGAGAGAGAGAGAGGGCTAACTCGCCATGTCTTTATTCTTTATAATTGACCATCGACATCGCGAGTTCGAGAGAGAGAGAGGGCTAACTCGCCATGTCTTTATTCTTTATAATTGACGCATTCGTTCGAAGTGGTGAATGTACCAAACAACTGCCCCTCGTTTTTGTTTTAATGTCAAGGCGACGTAAGTGTGATTATGAAAATGTTTTCAAGGCTATCAAAACTATACTGCATTTAAATTTTTCAGGTACTCGTGTGAAGAAATTTGTCATGGACTTTGAAGCAGCAACATGGCAAGCACTGTCTCTGGCATGGCCGGATGTGAGAAGACAGGGATGTGCATTCCATTTCACTCAGGCCATCATGAAGAACATGCGACAGAACAAATTAGCAAGTTTGTATAACAAGTGAGTAATTTAGTGCTCATATGCATTTATGTGTTTATATCATTAACGTTGTTGAATATGTAATTTCCATTTTTCAGGGACATCGGGACGAGAGATTTAATGAAGCAAGTCATGGCCCTGTGTTATATTCCAGATATGTTCATCCCGTCGCTGTGCCTATCTCTGCGAGGCAAAATGACCACCGACGGGTTGAATAGATTTGCCGAATATTTCGACAGGACATGGCTGAAGAACTCAGTTTGGAAACCAAAAGACTGGTCAGTATTCGACGTCGACGTTAGGACTAACAACCATTTGGAAGGGTGGCATCGGTACTTCAATAGCATAGCACGGACAAATATGCCTTTTTATAGCCTTATATCCAAGATTCACGAGGTCAACATTGCGGTGGAATCAGATGTAGCAGAAGTAATGGAGGAAAATCGAAATGGCGATGTCGATGGTCAATTATAAAGAATAAAGACATGGCGAGTTAGCCCTCTCTCGAACTCGCGATGTCGATCGTCAATTATAAAGAATAAAGACATGGCGAGTTAGCCCTCTCTCTCTCTCGAACTCGCGATGTCGATGGTCAATTATAAAGAATAAAGGCATGGCGAGTTAGCCCTCTCTCTCTCTCGAACTCGCGATGTCGATCGTCAATTATAAAGAATAAAGACATGGCGAGTTAGCCCTCTCTCTCTCTCGCGATGTCGATCGTCAATTATAAAGAATAAAGACATGGCGAGTTAGCTCTCTCTCTCCCTCTCTGCTTGCAATCAACGGCTGTTAGAATAAAATGAGACTGCCGGTAGCAAAATAGAACTTTTGATATATTTAGCGTTGTTGTTGATTCAGAGCTCATACAATCAATTAATATGATGATATATTTAGTGTCTTTTGCGCGTCGAGTACCGTACGGTACCGGTATGCCTTCCGACATATAAGCCCGTTTTCTTGTCACTTTGTTACCATTTGCACAGTAGTTATTGTAACCAAACACATTTAATTTAATATATTTATCCTTACTATTGAAGTTGTTAGTATAAACAGCCACCTTTCCATCTCCCATTACAAGAAGAGCCTCCGCACAGTTGCAGGCTAACCCGTTAACCGCCGTCGCATGGCGAGTGGTCCATGGCGAGTTAGCCCTCATGGCGAGTTAGCCGTCAGCCACTAGAAGTATGTTAGGTAAGAAACTACATGAGACCCGTATATCTGGGTCTCGTGTAGTTTCGTACCTAACGTACTTCTAGTGGGCGTAGCATAACAATTTTTTGATATGTCAATCCTAACCCCCATCCAGCCATCTGATTACGCCATCCAAAAATTAAATCACTACACTACGACATCACAATCACGTCATAGAGCTTGCCAAATATAAGCATGATCGACCAAAATGGCATTGCACCCACGATAAAGAACTGAGGGGGTTAGGATTGACATATCAAAAAATTGTTATGCTACGCCCACTAGAAGTACGTTAGGTACGAAACTACACGAGACCCAGATACGGTATCGTCAACATATTCCTGTATTCTGGCATTGCAGAGTTGGAATTCTAAAATTATTCTGAACTTAAATTAATACGGTAATACAAAAGTAAAAGGAAGCTGCCATATCTCTACCTAAGTAATTTATCAATTATCAAGAAGGTTAAGTTGATAAATGACAAATGTAACAAACGAAGTTGACGCACGTACGAAAACAAATTGCGATTTGCAGAAACAAAACAAGATAATGGATTTGAAATGTCGCTTCGACACGCTTGAGTGTACATTATGAAGATCAGAAATTATTATGGCCAGTAGGCGGCGTTAGCGAAATTTTTGTGATTTAATTGGACCAATGAGCATATATACATATATGCTCATTGATTGGACCAATGACTGCAATGGGAATATTCTCATTGATCGGGCATGAAGAGAACTCGACTGTTTTGGGAAATACTGTAGTTTTATAGTTGAGTTATGCCTACTCATATTGAACAACAGCGAACATTTTAAACAGAGACGTAACTCAACGATTGTACCAAATATATTGGGCGGAATAAAAATATTCAAGTGAAAAAAACTCGTAAACTTCAAATGCTTGATAGTGTAATAAACACCATTTAATAAGCAGACTACGGTACAAGATACACGAAGCCACGCGGATCATCGTGATTTACTATTTGAAAGTTGCAGATTTTTGACTTAGAACGCGGTATCTGGACCAGGACCTTCGACCAGACAGGACTAACTCAACTTCATCTTTTCAAGTTTAACGCTTGAGTCATACTCCTGTAATTATGTTTCTCAAGCTTCAACGTACGAACTCAGCGATTCGCGTATATATGCAGTACTTTTTATTTCTCAAGCATTAACACGTGTCTCATTATCAACTTATAACACCGAGCCTGTTGAAGCATTTTATTGCTGGTAATGTGAATATACGGGGGCAACAGACTCGGGTGCCCCCATTAGGTCGTATAGTTGCCTCCCAGTCCTGCGTTAAAGCATCTGTCTATTTATTGTTTATATGTGTTTGCATTTATTGTGTTTTATGGTTTGACGAAAGAAATAAACTCTCCTTATCAAACGTCCAGCTTCTCTGGTATTTTTATTATGAGTCAATCAAACTGGTTATCTAGCAGTGACTCCGAAGGGTTTAATATACAATTACAATTAAAAAAATCGGAATTATTGTCGCTTACGAGCGATAGATAATTATCAGTGGGCTTATCATATATCTGAAGCACAAAACCGGGACAGTGCACATTGGACAAGCTAACCTTGGTTTGATTCCAGAGGCTTGGTAATAGTTTAAAGGTTTTTCAGACCATTGTGAATAGATTACAGGCATCGAAATTAGGTGTAAATCCCATTAAAATATCCTCTATTGATCCTTGCTTCAAGTAATGGAATCGTTGAACTCATTAGAAAACTTGCACTTTGTTTCGGCATTTTGGTGATTTATCGACAGTACAGTTGGTTGTTGAATTAACGCATGATTCATTCTTCATATTATAACTTAGCATAACAATTTCTATCTGAACTAGTGAAGAGAGTCGCAAATATGTGGTATATCGACTGCCTCCGTTGTAAAAATTGGAAAAAAGGTTGTAATAGTATCGAGTAGAAAAATTATTTATGACTGCCATACTAAAAACCGAGACACCGGGCCGGGCGGAAAAACTTGCTAAAATCAGGACTGTCCCGGCTAAACCGGGACGTATGGTAAGCCTAATTATCAGAGACAAGCCAAGTCTGTTTTAAAGATCAAACAATCAATTTTATTTTTTGGTCGCTCTGATAGAAACAAAACAACAGCAAACAAAATACAGAGGATCTGGAGGACGGGCATAACTTAATAAAAAAGTTAAAGACGTACAAGTACGTGCCCGTCCACCAAAAACAGTCAAAACACAATAAAACAAAAACACGATATAATCGGGCAATACTTCTAAATCAAATTTCAAATGTGAGACGTATATGTGTATAACAACAGTGCTTTTCCTACAAAACTATAAAATAAAAAACACTCGCTGACGTAAAGTGTTGATGCTGTAGGCCTAGTTCAATTTTATTTTAAAAATAACACAGTGACAAAAAATTGTTACTAAAAAACTAGCTCGGTAAATAGATTGAATGTTCAATGTTCCATAGCAGTCTATGCACAAATCATGGATTGGGGTGTCCAAAGTGACTATAAACCAAGTGGAGACAACTAGTGCAATGGTGCATATCGGACGTCATTTTGTGTCCAGCGAATCGGGGGAAAGCGGCAGCGTCGGTTTGTTTTAGCTTCGTCAGAAGGTCTCGTTCGTCAATTTGTTTGAAGATTTTTTACTGTTTTGCATTTTATTCGAGTAATTTCATTAATTTTTATTTGCTATTTGCCTCGTGGAATCATAACTGGTATGGTGCGGTTTCGTGAAAGTTGCGATAGTTATCTTATCATCCCGTGTGAGTTATACGACTTTGAAACCTCATATCTCACGAACCTTATATTATATGCAGAAAAGTTTTATATTGTTTGAAAGACAACCTAGGAGAATAATTATAATTATGAGATGGAAATAAAATGTCGCGATTATCATACAAAAATCGGCAAAATTGAAAAGCGTGGAATTTTTTTGAAACGCTTTTGAGTTGAATATCAAAAACTTCGATTTGCTTGTTTTAACCTAACATGACATCGACACATTTGCATAGGTTAAGAATAGTTTTCGATATTAGATATAATTTGTCGTGCACCAGTAAAATTGTATAAGTTATTTCATTCAATGTTCTCCAATTCTTGAAATGTCCACTGCGCCAACTTGAGTTAAATAACAACGTTCGCTAATTACTTAGTTACGCAATTACGTCGCAACGTTCCGTATGAAAAACACATATCGCTTTCCTTCGCAAGTGTGAAACGTCATTAACCTAATGCATACGTTTGAATCAAGTACTATTTGAACTGGTATTATGATACCTGTTCACACCATGACGAAAGTTTAAAGCCTGCGTTTTACATTAATCATTTCAGAAGCTGATGAAATGAATTTTCTCGGAAAAAGTTTCTTAATTTAACGAGCTGTTGCAACAGTTGCTCCAAAAATTATAGAATATAAACGATCTCATGGCTAGCACATTGTGCGGCCTAATGGATTTCATCGAAGCATGTACATTATTAGGTACAAAATTTAAAAACCAGCCGCCGCGACTGGTGTTGCATCTCTTATCAACTTATTATTGGCAGAATATTTCGATTCCTTTGCGTCGAAAAATGTAAAATATTTACTAGGTGATCTACCGACGCCATCATGTCTTCTACGTTTTCGTTAATAAAACTTAATTGTAATTTTATCGATATCCAACAGTGAAAAATTAGCCTTGATGTTTCCGGGGGAAACCTATAAAGACACGGGGTTTAAATTGTTTGTTTGTTTCTATGGAAAGTGTCAATCCCGATGAATGCCCACAATCGTTACTAACTCTTTTCAGGTCTTACACACCTGATAAATATTTGAAAATTGATAGTTTTACCCAATATTTATGCCACCCATCCAAAAAAAGCAATCGTATTTTCGCGCGAAGTATAAACTATATTTCGCGCAAATATTAATGCCTTTCATAATATATATATGTTTCTGTTACTGACAGATAAAGTTGCTTGAAATATAATTTCCCATCTTGCCACAATATCGCTTTTAAAATTTTGAAACGCTTCCTCAATTTAAGGTTAAATATTCATGCAAAAGAGGAGACAAATAAAATTATTGAAAACGGTATGCTAGTAGACCTGCGGCAAGAGCTCAAGTCAAATAGATAATATATTATTTTATACACTCCAGATTATTATATGTTCTTGTAAACTTGATATACGCCGTTATCCTACATTCCATGCATGTAGTATATTTTTTGGATATTATTTTGGCAATGTACACCTTGTTGAAAATTTGCGATACGTATATTTTAATATCATGACATGTACCGCAAAAATAGTGCAAGTTTCTGTAGTATAATTTGTATTGTAGTTCCGTCAAAATAGGTTCTGTGCAAGTAGCGATAATTACACCAGGAATTTTATAATATTTTAATAATAAAATGTGTATCTTTTTGTTTAATATTTTGGTGTTATCGGGTTGTTGATTTATCGAGAGAAGTTGGATGCCTTTAACCTTAACTTCGTATATGCTGACCATACCGCCGAGCCGAGTTATCTGAGAAACATCTGCGGATAAATAAATTTTCAGAAGAATGCTCATTCGTTTTGCCGCTGCGAAAGTTTGGTCCGAATTATTGAGCATCGTTTTTTTAATGAGCTGTTTAACGATCGCAGGTTTAAATCACTTAGTTAGGATCATATAGGCCGCGAGCCGAGGCCCTGAAAAACGCCTAGAAAGTGAGTTTCGTAGCGCACATCAGGTAACTACCTGAAAATGATTTTAAAATGTTCCTTAAAAATTTAGTAACAAATATTGCCTTGTTCCCACTTCCAAAAGTTGCACGTTTTACGGAAAAGACGCTTTTACTACAAGAAATATGTGCTACGATCTGTCCTATATTCTCTACATTTTCGGTATGGAACAATGACTTCTGCATGACGTAACAATTGAATTAAACCAGCTGTTAGCGAGCGGATGAATATTAGTTATTACTGCTCGACCTTGCGCTGAGTTGGGCAGGCTTTCCATAGCCCTGTTTAGTTATTATTAGTTAAGTTATGCTAAGACGTTGTTGAAAAATGTATAAGTAAGTTATTAAACACTTGTAGATCCTTACCACGGATATGGGCCGTGAGACGAAGCCATGAAAACGCCCAGAAAATGAGTTTCGTAGCGCACATCTGGTACCGTAACTAAATAAATTCTTCAGTTTTGTGTGAAAACGAACATAATGAACGCATTACAGCTTGTTCCACAATCCTGGTGCGAAATTGAATATAAGAGGTTCCCGGAAATTCAATAACCATAAGTTCACAACACATACATAAGAACTATGCAATTCGAGAGCCCTACAGCACACTAACACAAATGTATTCCTGTAACGTTTTGCCTGACCAAAATCGGACTTCCTCAGTCAATCATAATTTATTAGGTAGATTACGAAAAATATGGCAAACATGTAACCAACAACAAAAAATACTTTAATTGTGTGACAGGAGTTGGGAGTGAGCTCGAAAGCAGCGACACCAACAACGCTGATTCACATTTGCGAATAAATTTTATGTAATAACCACAAGCAGTTTACAACAAGAACAGCATAAAAAGCTACATCCATTTTATAGAGGCTATCAAACGTATTTATTTTTAAGCAATGAAGTCACAAATTAACATCGTGAGCACGAAAACACAAATAAATCAGTTATTTCTCACTTAGAAATTTACAGCAAAAGTCAAGAAAATTAAATGAATGTACAATATGTACATAAAATAGTGAACAGAAATATTACAATTTACAATTAATCTTTTTTTAGTTTATGTGGTTATGTATTTGAACAAAGGCAATAATATTTCTAGAAACAGGACTACGACACTAACAAATGTCCGAAAAAAACAACAAATAAATGATACTTATTAAATCAACTGTAATATCTAATTCACTTTCTTCTGAATTGTTTTCGAAATCCACTATCTCAAAATCGACTTTTCTCTATAAGTGTACTGTGATTTTTGCAGTCAATACAAAAACAAAAATCTGTGCAATTTAAGTTGATTTTGGCACACTTTCATAAATTATTTTGACTATTTTCCTTACACTTGCAGTTTGCCAACTCAAGAACTGATTTGAGGGCCACATGCTTCTTCAGTGAATCATTGTTGGGTGGAGAGTATAATCCTTATGTTTGACAGTGTTAAATAGACGTGCCCTGGTATCATTTACATTCTTCATATCCTCTTCAAATTCCTCAGCTTTATTTATTAATGCCTCGTTAACCTCAAAGATTCTTCATAGTCGAGGGAAAAAATGAATTGAAAATCTCAATGAAGTCTCCAACATGAATTTGATGGGCAGTTCCAATTGCAGAAAAGTGCTAAAGTATTTCAATATGAATAGCCCATCTAAGCTGTTTGCAACTATTATGATTCTCATATACCTTTAAGCTTCAAGACTTCTTGTTTCATCCATTTTATAGCACTGATAGCAGCAGGGATCAGAGCCTGCGTTAGGTCGGATTGGTGGAACATTGCTGTTTTCTTTTGTAGTACAGTATCTAAAATGAGGAAGAAATAATATTTGGAGCAGCATGAGTTTAAAAATACCCCCTAAGCACTAACTAATACCTGAATACATAATGCATTTTATCTGATGTACTAAATGAGCGTATATATGCTCATTGCATGTACTACAGTCCAGCAGTGTTTGCATACCATTACTAGACTATATCTACACTAAATTTTGATATATCACAGTCTGAAATGTCCTATGACAGTATGAGTATGGACTATAGACTATATTTTAAAACATCAACTGTTTGTCTACAACTTGATTTCTCACCTCTCAATCGTTTCCAATGCTACCTTTCTTTCCACTCCGGCATAACTTATCATTGCTTCCCAGTTCTTGTCGGACTCTATGAATTTAGATTTAGACCAACCGACATTAGTGAAATTGAATAATTTCTTCTCTTTCACACAATCGTGCATTACAGAAACAGCCATTCATTTATATTTCCAAATATGCTGTGGCCTATATAGTAGTATAAGTCTGCTGAATAGTCAAGAAGAGTCATTAAATTAATCATAAACATTTCATGCAAGCCAGAAAATATCGTTGTTTGTGACATATTATTCTAGGTCTAGCCTTCCTTGGAGTTACCGCTCCGTACCTATTTAACAACGTCTTATGAGCTAGTGCTCAACTAATATTGCTATTTATGGTAAGGATATACAAGTGTTTAATATCTTACCCATACTTTTCAACACCTCCTTAGAATAACTGAACTAATATTACCGGTAACTGAAAAAAACTATGGAAAGGCTACTCAACGCAAAAGCGAGCAGTTGTAGTCATCTGATATTCATCCGACCACTGGGGATCCACCTACAGCTGACTAACTTGACTGTTACGTCATGCAGAAGTCTGCGTTCATTGGCCCATGATACCGGAAAAGCAGAGAAAATAGGACAGATGGTAACACATATTTATTGTAGTAAAAGCGTCTTTTCTGTAAAACGTGCAACTTTTGGAAGTGGGAACAAGGCAATATTTGTTACTAAATTTCTAAGGAACATTTTAAAATCATTTTCAGGTAGTTACCTGATGTGCGCTACGAAACTGAAAGATAAATGTCCTCGGCTCGCGGCCTAATACAGCGATAGAACTCTGGACACAAAATGGCTGGTGTGACGTCACACGAGCGCTTATAACGTTACCAATGGTTGTCCTCACTTGGTTTATAGTCACTTTGGGTGTCGGGTTCTTTTGTTGTTTTCGATGAGATTAGATGGACAAATTGAGTTCTAGTTTCGTCGAGTATATAGATTTTTTTGAAATACTGGTTTTTTGATTCACACATAAATTCCCACAGCATTTTGTGGCGTCCATGTTCGCAAACAAAAGAAATACTGGTACAGGGGCGACGGTTGGCGCACGGTGCTAAGCGTTTGGAATACGCTTGCGATCAAAATTCTGAATACCCTTCGTGAGTTCGAGTCCCGCGGGCGATATTAAGGTGCAAGAGGATTGTTGGACTCTTCACTGTCGCATTGTGGTTCACGTAAACGACGGCCAGGTTAGGGCTTCTTCTACCATCGGGTCCATGCATTTAAATCCAATATCTGGCTAACTAATCCCATACCCACCGGGATCTAACGAGAGGGGGTGCTATGCCATATAATTAAGCCGTGTTAGCAGCTTTCCTCTCCCCCTTAAATTCCCATCTCTCGCAGGCCTAAGAAAAATCCCATTCGGTCCCCTCTCTTTATCGTTACGTGAAAAACTCGGCCACTGACCTATCCAGTTTTGCACCAAATCAGCAATTTTAACTTTGCACCCGAAGATATATCACTGGCATCAACAAGTCCATATTGCAATAACACCGGTTTTGAAAGCATAGAATGGAGGTAACCCAGAAGATTGTTTGAAAATTTTGAAGCCCTCATCGAATGCATGCAAAAACGTATTCCAATGCAGTATCTGTAGTATTTTAATGGGAAAATATAAACTATAGTACAGTAGTATAATATGCCAAAAATAACATAAAATAGTGGATAGAAAAGCATATGAATACATTTCAATGTGTTATGAACGGGTCTCAGTTAAACCAAGTCTATTTAGGAATGATTTGTCTAACACTTATGCCCAACGTATTTTCCTAACACATTGTTGAAGAGGTTTACAAATAAAAAACAAGGATAAAAGATAATGCTTCAATCAATAGGGATAAACTCCCCACAAGAAGCTATCCTGCACTCCACTTTCGGCCTTTCGTTGAATGTTGACATATTTTCTATCCTTTTGAGCAGTTCTGTTCCTTCAACAACTTTGCTGCAAATATATATGAATCACTTTATTAAATTTCCGTAACCATTTTCAACATATATCTATATTATGTTACAATTTATGTTTCATTCAAATTTACTTCCAAGTAGTAGCATGTTCAGGAAAGAAAAATTACATATATTATTGAAAACAGTTAGCTTTATTACCAGTTACTTATGTAGTCTTACCCGAAAGCCACGTAAGTGCAGTCCATCCATGGTGTTGGCTCTAATGTTATATAAAACTGAGATGCATTTGTATGTCTTCCTTTATTTGCCATACCCAGAATTCCTCGACTAGAGTGGGGTATTGCAAAATTCTCATCTTCAAAAACTCCTCCCATATATACATTCCCCAGCATCACCTCTTCCATGCAATATATCTGTAATGGTGATAGAAAAACAGTAAAAATTGAAGCCCCACTCAGAGTAATCAGCATTGAACAAAGCAGCTTTATCAGTGACTATTATACTAATACACTTGTTAGATGAGATGTTCTCTGTCTTCCTTATACACAAGGTCCCAGAAAAGCAGTAACAAATTCGTAGGGTAGGGAGCACTGTCTTTCTCAGTATATATCCTAAGTGGCTGAAACTGAGCCATGGTATTTGAGTGCTATTTGTGAAGTCTTCATCCTGCATTAGATATATTGTACAATAGGTCTGAGAACAGAAAGTCTCATAAAGATATCTTTTGACATGCGAATCAAATAAACACCTAATCACTTCACTTAAGACTCATATTTACTTTTGATCAAGTCTTTGAAAAAAATTAAATTGACAAATGAATTATTATTGCAGAAAAAAATCAAAATTCTCCAGATTATTAGGACATGTTTATACCACGGTAAATGGTTTCGATACATGATTGAATCCTAGTTTAGTACTAGAAATGATGTTGATTTAACACAAACAAAGTCTTAGTGTTTCAAGTCTTAGTGTCAATATGACTCATATTTATTCATTTCACTTCAAGTAATAAAATCCTCTACAACTCCGACCAAACTCACTTATTCAACTTTTCAAACTTGAATCAAAACCAAAAACAGCAACGATTAGACTTTTGATATGGCAGCACAGTGAGTCGACTAAACTAAATCCAAACTAAAATTTTCTGTGACTGAGACATGATTCGAAACTTGTGTGACTCATGAAAGCATTATCAGTTAGCTCTCGACAAAGACATGGTGTAAAATTGATTAATCGTATACTTGACATTGGTAGAACATTAAAAATTTTGGACTGCAACCAATTAATCAGTTTTGGATCTCCTTTTGAATGAGATCTCTAAAACTGCATGTTACACAAAATGAAAAACGAAAGTACAGCCAAATAGACTATTTACAGACCTCCTCCCTGAATCCAACCATTCGGAACAATTCGATGTATTTGACTATTCTCATATGTTAAATTTAAGCCACTTGGTAAGGCTCCCTTTTCTCCTGTGCATAAAGCCCTAAAATTTTCACAAGTTTTTGGACAAATGTCTGACATTAACTCAAATAAAAGTTGTCCGGCACGAGCACCATCAATGTTGATATCCATATATGTGAAATGACGCTGAAATAATAACGGCATTAACTATCAGTATGAATGACACTTATATATTGTTGAATCACACTATTAAGCCTCAGTATGGGATTAAATATATATATCTTATATAAACAGTAATTGCCCTTTTTCAATTTTATGAAAAATGGCTAATGGGTTGTATAAAACCTGTATTATATAAACACATAATAAATAATACCTAAATATATATAATACTGACTGAACGCAGATAATCTCACACTTCCTATCAAAGTTATAGCAAGTTAAATTCACTATCCATGTGATAGTGTAGACCCATACACATTTATATAAATAGATCAATATACATTTTGACATTAAAGACCTTACTTGATATATCATTAAAGTAAGTGACAGCCCATGATATTATTTTAAATGTGCATTAACAGAAACTATTCGGTAGGACAGAAGTACTATGGTTTCCAGTAAATATAGAAACATCTTATTACCAACCTCACTGTTGATAAAATAATCTGTATATGCTTCTTGTGCCATAGCTGCGTACAATGATTCAGGTCTAAAATCTTCGTAATTAAATTCATCCTGAGCCCATTGTAATAATTCCTTATGATTACCAACTGAATTTTCATTGACAAAACACATTACCAAATCAGTATATGCCCATGTGTCTCCTCCAATCTCCTGTGGAAATTTTGGATATATTTATCATAATCAATTCATTCAATTGATAAATAAAATAGATTGAAATAAAACGTAAATTTATTTATAGATTGATTTGTGAGGCCTAATTGACTCTAGCCTGATTCTGACTTTACCATTAAAAGGAGGCGTGAATGGTCAGAATATTCTAATGATTATGGTTTTCTAAATAACAACTACTGAACTAAGGTATATACAACCCTAATACAGAATTTTGATATTAGCTTATTTGTTTATGACTAATCTTATTGACTTACATTATTGAATATTCATAATCGCACAATATCCAAGTTACATTGTGGTGCATAATACCATATTGAGAACCTCAAAACTAACTAACTTTACACCTTATACATTCAATCTAAGCAATACATATTCCAGCTACAGTTTTGAACAAAAAAGAACTTACAATCTTCTTTTCTTCCACAAACTGGTACCATTCACATTCCAGCATAGGCTTAATGAATGGTTCTTGAAACTTGTCTGGAAATTTTCGATGCAAATCCTCGGCACAACATTTTGCTATGTGGAAAGTTTCCGATTTTAAAAGACCATATATTTTCATGTGAGCCATTGCTACTAGATACCAACCAACAGACGGATTAATCTGAGCTCTATCCTTATCAACAATTCCTGCTATTAACTAAATGTAAGCTGACACAAACAGCCTGATGAGAAGAAACCTAACACAGCTTTTGACAGTTGCTTGACGTAACCGTGGAGATTCGACACCTAGTGGTGAACGTAGGATAATAGAAAGATTCGACCTGAACCGACCAGAGCCATATGGCTCTGAACCGACTGCCCAAGCACCACTTTATTTAATTTATTTGGCTTATTAAGAAAAACAATTATTAAATAATAAAAATAACTACTATACTCTAGTTTCTCGGCTTGTACTTCTAGAACTGTTGGCCGCATTTACGCTTCTTCCTTCACTTGTCCATCCTTCTCGCGCTGCCCTAATATTTTGCTTCGTCTCTCTCAGCCGTTTGCTGATTCCCCACCCGAAACCCGGTTACCCCTAATTGATTTCCTGTTCGCGCTGCCTTTATTTCCCTTCTGCTTCAGCGCTAGTTTATTGGGCGCTGTCAATCGCGCTGACCGCTGCGTACGCCGTTTTTTATTTCAGTCTCTCGACCGTTTTGCTGCTTATCTGCCTTGCACTGCGCGCGGGTATCCTGTCCCGGTTGCCTTGCCCGCGTTTCTTTGCTTGGTCTGATTCTGCTCCGGCGCTACTCTATCCCGCGCTGACGCTACTGATTAGCATTGGGTAGCTGAATGAGTTTCTGGAAATGTTAACCTCGTTTATGCACCCTTTGCTTTCGTTCCTTTTGCTTAATTTCTTCTTCTTGCCACTGACTTGTCATCAAAATTGTACTTAATTAACAGATAAACGTCACACTTGGCCATCGCTGATGAGACTAATTACTCCGGCTATTATTGCCATAACTGCGTTGTTCGGAGCACGTGCATTCATGCCCAAATGGAAGACGCTAGTTTGGGACTTTCTTGTGCGTTGCTTGGCTTTCAATGATACCCGAGTGAGTTTTCTAGCATGTTTAAACAAAGACAAATAGCATATATATTACTACATAATATCTTTAAAAAAAATAATGATACAACAAACAATAAAGATCAAAATCATACATTCACAGTGCGTTCATTCAATCATAACCTTCATTTATCCTAGACATGTATGTAGGCTATACCATGCACACGACGTAAAAGAATGTAAGGTATATGGTCATTTAATAATACGCCAAAATTAATTATATGTTTGAATTCGACGATAATTATATATTTTTGTCTTCATATGAAAAATTAATATGATATTTATATTGGAATGACAGAGCTTGATTGGTCCCGTAATGTTGAGTATCGAAACTGCGACAAGGGACCAACTACGCCAGAAGGGTACTCCTGAAGTATGCGCACCATGATGTCGCATAACCTGAACCCTAACCTGGTACACAACCTCAGTTCAGGTTGTGCGCCATCTTAGTGCGCATACTTCAGGAAGTCCACCAGAAGTTATCGACAAAGACGAAGTCTCCTGGTTCTGAACGTTACGTAAAACGGAGGACTACACTAAATTGCACTTAATTTGAACAGTTTTTTGTTAAATATAATGTGGTTGCATCGCGAACGTTCATTGTAAGAAATAATTTCGCTTTCATAAATTAACAATATATATATTAAAACAATCTAAGTAACATAATTTATATGTATAACAATAAATTTGCGGAACTATGTAATGTGAAAGACATTACATAAATTTTATGATGAAAAGGATTTTCATTGAACTTTGCTCTTAAAAATGCACACATATACACCGAAACGTTGCTTACGTAAAAAACTTCTGACACCTTCGTATGCACCCATTGTGTGGAACATCGAATAGAATTGAGCAGGGATAGTGGATGCAGAACGAAGTTTGATTTTTAAAGTAAACATTATCCACATTATAGTGGTCATTTCAATTAAAATTATCTAATTTTGCTAGAGTACAAAAAATTGCTATCATAACCTGACAATGTTATGGTGTGTGTACAGATAATATGATTAAATTTACGTCCAATTTCCTCGTCTTATTCAGAAAATTGTAACTCGATCACAGATAAACAGACATCGTGTTCAGGCCTTCAACGCGAAATTGGCGTAAATGCAGTTTTAACATCAAATTGCAGTTCGAACAATTAGGCGAATTTGAACATACTAGAAGTCACATTTATCGTCACGCAGTGATAGCCTTTGAATAACAGCATTCATGGTCAGCCTGAAACTTCGAAGCAGATGAACAATACTCCAAATACGAATCCGATCACACAAGTTGCAAACGATACACTTGTAACGTCACTTGAGCAATCTTCGATTTTGCCGATGATTTCAAATGATATTACACTCCCTGAAAATAAATTAGAAAAGGAGTCACACTCTACTTTCGTAGAAGCAACTAGTGAAGAAACTGGTATCAAGTGGGACGGAATTTGGTGCTCCCGAAGTATGCGAACCAAGATGGCGGACATCGGAACGTAACATGGGTAACAGGTTAGGGTTAGGCGATAATTTTTTTCCAATTTTCCTTATTTTAGTTCTATTATCAGTTCGAAGACTAGCCAAGAGTCTCCCGTAGTCTTTATACCTAAAATTATGGCCTAACCCTAACCTAGTACACATATTACATTCCGATGTCCGCCATCTTGGTTCGCATACTTCGGGAGCCCCCGGAATTTAAATCTATATCTCATTTCATAATAATATTTACATGATGTTTGCAAAAATTTCAACTTTCCTTAAATATACCAATACGGAAAATAAATGCCGAATCTGTTAAGTTTATATTTATTCAGGTATCATAGGCAGTGTATAATTACCATAAAACAGAATGTGCGATCTAATCTGAACTATCAAGGTATCACTGATCCGATGGCACTCAATTTTTGCGACTCATCGTATATTCTATAGAATAGACCATCTTATTTAAAGTGTTTTTCTGATTAGATTTAGGGAAATTTGATTCTTGTATGATGGCTCAATAAATATCTAAATCTAAACTGTAAATTTTGTCATTAATCGTGGATACTGATAAGGTAAAGTATGCAATATATATACCAATTATGCCATTAGAATAAATAAGTGAAAAAAAATTACTACAAATTGTTGACAATAGAAGACTTGAGAGAAAATGGTAATGTAAACTATGTCATACCTCCTACTAACCACGAAACGCAGAAAATTGACACCACATATAAGACAAGTGGTCGAACAGAAGTAGATTCATTCAATTTTTTTCTAATTTTCTTGCTAACTGTTAATGTTAATCCGCTCCATATGATAAAACTTGATACAAAACACCACACTATAAGAAACGGTGTCCCGGTACAGGATTGCGTAATAACGCTCCTAGTAGCTGTAAATAAATAATGTAGTGAGTTAGAATCGTATATATTTTTGTAAATATTAAATGCTCAGTGAAAATTCAGTATCGATGTCGTGAGAAAATGCGATCAACTACGCTTGTAATAAAATTTTATTTTAAAATATCTGCTGAAAAAAACTACATTCTTACCTATTAGCAATAAACTTGTGGCAAGTGACGCAAATCCAAGGATTGAAATCATTTTAAACCCTGAAATAGAAATAATACAGTACAGTTTTTTGACATGGAAGTAAATTTGTAAATTAAATAATTACATTTAACAATAGTATATATTGTATAATAATACAAACACGTCGTGAACTAAACAATATAAGTGAGGCATCGAAGTCTTAACTGTGAACTGAGAATTGCGATATAATGTTTAACTAGATTAGAAATGAAATAATTTGATTTGCATCCAACCGAAGCAGACTTTTTAAGTTAACAAATTTAGTTCGTCTTAATATTGTTACAAATGAAGGTATTTTAAACTGATACTATATCTGCACTTCAATGATTTTGGTATAATAATAAAGCTCTTTACCAAAGTTACTCATCTTTATCCATGTCATAAAGATATAATCATTATGTCGTATTGTCTACAAAGGTAGAAACTTAAATCATTTTCGTCCCATTTTCATATGTCGCCGAAACAAATTCTATACATGCAATACGTATCAAGTGCATTCTAACACGGTATACACAATCCATTTTTCCTATCTGTTACAGTTTCAAACTGCTTGAATCATAAATATATACTAATATTTATTGGAAATGAAAAGAAAACTAGCTCTCGATGTATTCAATCAAAGTGACAACATATCGTCACGCTAATAACCGAATTGCGTAAGTCATTATTAGCAGTTTTGAGAAAAACGTAAAAAACTTCCTAATGAAATTGTTTTGCCTTTGAGAGTCAATAATTTGCCATGGTTCACTTTTTTGATCGTAATTTGTATGACGCCGTTGAGTGACGTCATAATGGCACACTGTGACTTAGGCAGAAATATGTCTATGACTTGGGGACATACGCAATTTTGCAACTTTACTATATGCACCAGTCCTTAAAACTAAACATTCTAAGAACGAATGTAATTCTCAGTATCTACAATGTCTAATCCCCAAAATAGCTAATCAGTTTAAATTACATTATTTTTTATGTTTAAAAATATATATATATTTCATCAATATAACACGTTGTGCACACCCACCGAAATAAGACTAAGATTAATTATAAAGAATAAAACAGCAATGCACTCAATATAAAAGCCAACCAAGGTGAATTAGACTCGGCCAGTGAATATCACAAGTGCACGCCTTCCTATACTGTAGTATAAATTCAAATTAATACGCTCTAAGCTAGAATCCGAGATGCACAAACTCGAAAATACTTCGCCGAGGTAATTTTGCCTTTGTGGCGTCACAATAGTCCTGCGGTAACAATGATAATTCATTATGACGAAACAATTGCACAAATGTGCATGTCATACTAAATCTTCATTTTTATGGGTTTCGGAATTCTTAAAATAAAATCTGAGTTAACAGACAGGTGCGCAGCATTACATAAATACCTATTTTATAAAAAAAAAACTCAAAATCGTCAAAAATGACTTACGCAATTCGGTTATTAACGTGACGATATGTTATTTAGCAAAACTTACATGTTCTCCTTGTAATTCGTTTTGGTGATTTTGGAGGTCTAGGCGCAGGATACAAATCGTCATATACGGGAGGAGGTATGGTGCAATCTAGGTAAGAGGGTGGTGGTGGAAGACTTTCGGTGTCTTCGTCTTCTACGTGCGTTTCTTCTTCTACATAGCCAGGAAGAGAGAATTGTATACTCAGAGAGGATTCCGCCCTGGAAGGTGGCGGAGGAGGCGATACTCTATAGATACGCAATCGTCCGTCGACATCAAATGCTAAATTGTCTACTTGAATCACTTCTTCCCGCATTTTGGAAGTAATTTACATAGTAATATAAGACAATTTTCTGCAGGCTTGATCAAGCAAGATGAATTGAACAAAATAAAAGCAATTACAATAGTCTATCGTGAAAAATTGTAGTCTGGAACGAAGAATAAATATTGTAGTCACCGTACGGCACATAACCACTGGTTTTTCGTCGAGTTGTAGCTATGTAACCGATCTTTTATTTATGCGAATTCCAATCACGGGCAATAATCTCTTATGTTAAAATCCTAATTCAAATTCGGTGTATTTTTCATTTCCACTAGTCTCACCCAGGGGCGTGCCAAACTAGTCTGCTGCCCGGGGCCAGTTTCTGATAATGCTGCCCCTTATACCTAACTTCTAAAATAATTTGGGTGATAAACAGATTATAGATGTCGTTATACACGAGAATAAATCAAGTAAAGGTCAAGTAGGAAAGAAACGTTTGTTTTATTAAAATGAGCATCAAAAATGTTGCAATTGTAACACATTAGAAAATTTTTCCTGGGATCAACGGTCGGGGAAACAACCCTTGTTGAATAACCATCACCACAGAACACATAGGCCTACTGTTAGCTTTTAATTAAATAAGAACACATCTAGAAGAGCATGTGTAATAACGCAAACTCTACAGCTTGGTTCTGCTGCCTCCCTACAATGTGCTGCCCGGGGGCGATTGCCCCCTTCGCCCCCCTCTAGGCACGCCACTGGTCTCACCTCATAAAATCATTTGAAGTAAATATTTGCTCTTATTCTCGAATCTTCCAATACCAACATCGAATAAAATAGTTGCTACACAATCTTTATACTGAATTGTCGACATAGTATCCCGCTAGAGTCTACTTAACACGGTTATTTCTAAACACCAGCGATTGTGTTTTGTTGACTTCAACTTTCAATAACGTTGAAACCTTGGACAAACAGCGTCAATTAAAATCGGTCCAGGACAAAATTGACTGTATAGATTTGCTCCAAAAATAAATCAAATAAAACCCCTTTTAGCGAAAAAAAGCCAGTTAGTATAAGTATCGTTCAGAAGAACCTAATGTAGATATAAACAGATGTTAAAAGATAAAGTATGCGAAAACGTTTTTCAATATAATCCTTCTAAATGCATATTCCTGTGGAGCAGCTCTGTCACATTCAGATATCCCCTGCATTGAAAAATCTATACACTGAGTGATTCAAATATTCTGATTCTCATTAACTTGGCCACTCACTCACTACGCTTCAGCGTGACAATAAATTACCAATTTCTGATGGCCGGGATAAACGAGCGAGCCCATCCCGAGCAAACCTTTGTTTTCTCAGTACACAAATACAACAATAGTTGAAGTTACGACACAATAGAAGAGAGATAATAACTATATATCTCAATTGTCCGAGTGCGATATTCATAGTTTGTTCTCAACTTAAGTTTATGGTAGATTGTGGAATTTGATACCAAACAAAATATTTTTGTTTCGGGATTCATATTATCAACTTTTCCCGATATCCATGCAATACGGATTCCTCTATTAATGGAAAAATCAGCGAAAAGAGTATTTTTATATCTGAAATCAAATATTAACAGTACCAAGACATGAACATGATTATTTTTACCAGCACGAATAAATAGGAGGAATAAAAATAGAAATAAAGAACTTGGTAGAAATGAGGAATTGGTCGCACTGCAAAAGGACAGCTAGGGCGGAGATTGACTTAGCCAAGATTTATGAAGGCGTCGGAACAAAAATACAAACCTCGTTTATGAAAAAGACGTCTAAGGCTTAAAAGGATTGTTAAGTTCATTGGTGAGGATAGGGACGGATTGTTATGACTGTTTTTGTGAAAAAGACTGTAACATAATCGATGGCTTTCCATACATAACCGGTCCCTGGAAGTCGACAAAAACAAATACTAAAACTAGGTGAATGCAGTTTTGAAATTGTGACAACCCATATTTTTTTCTTCTGAAGGCGGTTATTTGATCTTGCTGCTGGATTTTGTGTTTCGGTGTTCGGGACACCCGGAGCGCTGTCGGTCTGACTTTTGGTGTCCTGTTGGGCTGGACTTTGGTTATTTCGGTTGAGAGAGATAGAGAGAGAGAGAGTTTATCTCGTTCGTCTAACCATAAACAATATATGCCAACATATATAAATAATAATAAAAAACAGATGCTTAGGTGTATGACTGGGAGACAACGATACGACCTTCAGGGGTCATCATAATCAGAGGCACGGGTTGCATCATCAAAACAATACAGATTTTTGGTGTGAACAAAATGCATTTCTTTGGTCAAGGCCATTCATGCAAATATTGTAGTAAACTGTAGACTTAGTAGAAAAAACACACAGTTGGCAAAGGGTTGACTTGATATAGGAATAAATAAGATTCAACGTTTTATAACACTAAGTAAAATGATTTTGGACACTTTACCTATGAGTAGGCTATAAGCTTTAAATAGAAGCGTTTGAAAGATAACTAACGATCAATATTTACTCAAAATAATAATTTCTTCTCAACAAAAGTGTAGGGTAGTGACTAGTGAGTGTTATTTCCTAATATGTAACCCTTGAATTTTCTACTCGCAGATTTATTTTCTGTTTTTCAGGTCGTTTGTGATGACCAATTCAGTGACTAGCTTATTGAATATAAAGGGTGCCTACATCATCTAAATTGGCAGTCTGATGTCTCATCTATGATAAATTTGAATTGACAACAATTGCGTTACATTAAGTAAATGAAGAAATGATCCTGCGAAATAACAATCCTAATTCCTTTGTCCTTGCAGAAGTCAATATCTAAGATTGAAAAAAAACCTTACTTATAACCTTGGGAACCAACATATTCCTATTCCCCGTTGTCCTACTTTAATTAATTATAATTACTTATACTGTTACTTGTACCTTTAAATACTTATTACAATCTGGACTATAATTTGGCAATAATAGGCTATAGTTTTGGGAATGAAGTGGTCTAGCCCAGGGCTTCCCAAACTTTTGAGCTCGCGGCCCCTTCTGATATATTAAAATCTTTCGCGGCCCTTGTCCACGTTAAATAATGCCAAACAGTTCGAATTATGCATTTTTGATGTTTTATTGGCACAGCCAATTCTCAACTTTAACATGTCTACTCAATAACAAAAACAAGCACATATTTATTCAGATTAACGTTTCTCAATTATTCAGTGTAATGGGTACGGATGCTTTTCGCTGCATAGGCTCAATGTATGTTTATACAGGCCTAAATGATGAATTACGATGTCTGGCTACCGACGGCATGGTTCTTATCTCGAATTGTTCACTCTCATTGATCAAACTTAGCATGAGGCAGCATTTTGTGCGACGCCAAACTATCAGGGAAAGAAAAATCATGGCGCACTTACACGAAAAATATACTGCCTCCAAACAAAACACAATTTTGTCATCGTTAATATGTACTAAATGTCTTTTGAGGTTTTTAATCATGTAGGCCCGAGGAAATGCTAAAGAAATCACTCAAGTTTGATGAACTCGGTTCAGCAAATGAATAAACTGCAGCTTATACGAAATTGCAGCATGTAGGGTTTATCTCTTATATTACGTAACAATAGACCCTACGTACAGAAAGTGAACACATAGAACGGTTAACGATTAAAGCCATCATTGTTATGCAAACCGCAAATCGGGTTCCACGATCAGAATATGCATTGTTATGCAAGCGCGATCATTCTACCGGGTTTCCTCGAAGATAGGACCAAGCCTGAATTTTAAAAAGGATTTCAATATAAGCGCTCGCTTTTAAAAAAGACTTAGTCGATAGCGCAACTTTTTTTTTGACTCAATCTCGTGAAAGTGCGTCGTTTCAATTTTGCTAGGACGTCGCGAAATTTCGTGAACCTTTCAAACAACCCATATCTTCTACTTTCCCTGAAAAAAAAAGAAAGATTAAATCGATCTTACCTGTGATGTTGCTATAATAGGAAAGTTTAATTCTGGAAATTCGGTTTTCTGTAGATAAAGATTATTTGTCCTTGGTTCCAAAAATCGTTGCGCACTCCCATCTTCTTTGCGATTTCGTATTCATATAAAGCAGGCTTTTCTACCAAGGCCCATTAATTGCGATTTCACCGACTGTCGTTAAGTTTTGTTTGTTCGTTTATATTAGGGTGACCATATTTTCAAACCCTGAACGGAGGACACATCGTTTGGTAGAACCATAATCCACCTGTGCCTGAGATATATACAATTATACATACGTTATATATCTACTAAATTGCAATAATGCATTCTTGTCTTGTCAACGAGCAACTGTAATGTAGGCCTAATTAATGTCGCAAGTAATGCACCCCACTTCGCTATCAGTTCGATCTCTACTAAAGCATGGATACTTTGCTGTAGTTCCTGGCTAAATACACGATGAAATGGCGTAAAACGTGATTGCAGAACAACACGATTTTTACGTAATAAATAAGTATGCACTTAACCGAGAGCAGTGATTCCTAACTCTTGCGGGACTGCCAAACCCCGAACGCTCTTGTGCAAGCTCCGTTTGAATACCATTCAATGGTTGAAATTTGGAGCGCAATTAGAACTTCAGGAGCCAATTTTGTTTATAGTTATAGAAAATGATCATTCTGGTGTAACTGGGTGTAACCTTAGATACCAATATGCAGCGTGGAACTAATCCTTATTGTTTCACAATGGTGCTAGCAGCAATAATGTTTGGAGATCGGGAAGATGGTATGATACCTAAGTCGGTTCTCAAACTGCATCCGAGTGCGGATGATGTCATGAAAGAATTTTGAATATTCAATCTCTTGAAAAGGGAGGACATTTTGGCCTTTTAGAGCGTCCTCGGAGGACATCAAATTTCCAAAGAAAAAGAAGGACAAATCCTCCAAAAGGAGGCTGTATGGTCACCCTAGTTTATATGAAACTCATTGCGAAAAAGGTCTTTTATTAAAAGATATCAATACGTATTTTCACGGGTCGCAACTTGAGCATATTTTTTAAGGGCGTCACAATACGATGAAGTTCGAGAACCACTGCGTCCCAGTCGATAGCAAGAAATATTTTCTACTTTATCAAATGGTTAATAGTCTATATGTAGCAGTTATTTTAAATAAAAATGTGCTATTTATAAGTAAACGGAAATTGGTATTCATATTTTGTATAATAATAAATTTCATTATTCTCTATCCCCAAAATGAGTTCTAGTGTTATTTTCGGAAGAAAACTGAAGACAGTGTCTTATTTTTCTGAAAAACACGGTATTATGAAGATGTATTCACTCGGAATCGTGAAATCTTTGTTTTACACTATTTGTATAATAATTGTATTTCGAATCAAGAGTCTGAAAAAAGTACAATATATATGATACTTTGTGTAAAATTGGTGTTCTCCTTGCGGCCCCTAAAATTCGTTTCGCGGTCCCTAGTTTGGGAAGCCCTGGTCTAGCCAACCTCTTCATGCACCCAATTCTGGCAACTTAAAAGTTTATCTCTAGCCTACTGTTCACTACCATTTATAAAATCTATCGATTCGGCAGTGGCAAACAGTATAAATTTATTATTATGGTGTGGCAAGTATTTTATTTTTTTTCCAACTACCCGTATGTAATTTATAACTTCTGTATGGTTGTGTGTGTGGGTGCGTGTGAGCGTGTGTGAAATATTTCCATTATTTTAGGTGAGTGAACACGTACCACTTCTTCTTGGCGAAACCTTCCATCTTGTATACATTCTGTACGTTTTAAACCTTATCTGAGGTTTTGTTTGCTCTCCTGACTTCATAATCAGTTTTTATTTATTTTTTTCACCAGTCATTTTATTGTTATGCTGATTATGGAGTCGAAATAAACTTATACTTATTACACAGAACTTACACAATTTGTTAGTCCGAGCCATTCATGCAAATTAGATTACCGGTGGATTTCCGGTGTTTTGGGGCTTTTTCATGTCTGCTGGTTCTTGAGTGGAATGCCAGTTTTTTGCTTGTTTTTGTGTTTTCTTTAATTGTAATGCCTTGTGTTTGTTATGTTAAAGTATTTGGTTGTATTAAGTTTTCATATTGATAATTAGATGATATCAGAAGATATTTTGGACCTGAAAATTTATTTATATATATAGACGAACGGTACCGGTACACTACAAAAGCAATGCTGTAAAATGGTCCTAATACTTATTTTATGCGACTTACTTCAACGAGAGGAAGTCGATAAAACGACTCGTCCAGTCACCAGTCCAAGAAGGATATGGAAATAGTTGACTAGTTTTTCATCAGATAAATGGATGGACATGAACTAAATCTTACTATATGTCAAGCGTCTATCTACCTCACTGTTGCAAATTACCGGGCGAGTTCTTTTCCCAATTTTTCTCATCTTACCCACACAATTGAATGTTGTCACATTTTTATTTCCTGGAAAAACGAACACTCTATGTTCAAAATGCAATCAAATATTCATATAAGAAAACATATCAAACAGTTTGTAGATTGAAAGACTATACAGAGCGAATTCTTGAGGGGAAGCTTAGAATTGGAGATGTATGCAGCATTTATTATGTTGGTCTGCTAAGATAAGCCAGTGAAAATACAATTCTGAATTCAGATAGCATTGGACAATATTAAGAGGCAGTTTATCCCATATCTAAATGCAACTTTCTTCTAAACTGATTTATACAAAATCATATGGTGAATGCAACAACTCAACTTCTAGCAGTAAAAATAACAAATCAACCTGGAAAAACTCACACAAAAAAGGGAACAAAAAATTAAAAAATCAACATGGCCACAAATGTCAGCTCACTTTTAAGGGTGTTGGTCATAATAGGGAAAAGTGGATAAAAAACATACACCCTTACTTATACAATAAGAAATGTCTGACAATTTATACCAGTGGCGGGATGGTTTCACTTTACAATGAGAGTAATAGAAAAGAATGTAAAATTCATCATAACGCTCTCATTTCTCTATATAACACTTGAAATTGACAGATACTTTGAAAACCATAGATCAAAAATGACTGTTGAAAACACAACAGACACAGTTGTTTCGTAAAAAACGAGTGTATTATAAAATATGGCCGAAAGCACCAGTTGAGGAGTCTTTGACGCTTGTAACTATCGATCTTCGCCGAATTGTTCGAAAAATTCATATTAATCACTGTCTCGGTCGCTGTCACTACCACTTGAAGAGCTGGAGGATGAGGATGAAGAAGATTCTTCTTTTTTCTGTTTTTTAGCTTTTCCAGCTTGTTGTTGTCCATCCTTGTAGGCTTTCAGGTCCTGATAAACAAAATATAAAAATACATCAGTAAGATAAAAATGAAGTTGCTAGATATGTTTGGGATCGAAGATATGCACCATCTTGCAATATCATCAATAAAATATCGAAGCCAATTGTTTGAATACAACATTAATTAATTTTATTCCATTTATTTTATTCCATTGCTTCAGTATCTGTAGATGTGTGAAGTCTCAAGAACAAATATTTCAATTTCAACTAAACTAACTTGTTACCTTTTCATATTGCTTCTTTGCTAGCTTGCCCAAATCATCATATTTTTCTTTGATGTCTTTTGATGCTTCTGACCACAGTTTGCCAAGCTTCTTTGCAATGTCACCTACGGTGAAGCTAGGATTTTCTTTCTTGATTTCAGCTCTGCGATCACCGCAAAACAAGAAGAATGCTGACCTTTTAAAAAGAATAAAAAATTAGAAAAAAAATGGAATTAGAGTTTCAACAATATTAAATGAATAATATACATACTGAGGGCGTTTTGGTGCATTGGGATCTTTCTTTCTTTTTTGTGGCTTTTTTCCTTCGCCAGCTGGTGGACAGTAGCCTTCCATCTCTCTGTCATATCTCAACTTATCTCGACCAGCCATGTCATTGAAAATTTTTTTCTCTTTTGTATTCATATCCTGGAATACAAAAATAAAGTATTAGTTTGGAAATTGTTTTTATTTGTTTTGTAAATAAAATAGACAAAAAAAAAAATTGCTGCTTTACCTTCCAGCGTTCAGCACATTTTCTAGAGAATTCTGCAAACACCACTTGTTCGTCAGGATGAGATTTCTTGTGTTCCTGACGGCAGGTTTGAACAAAAAACGCATATGCGGTCATCTTTCCACGGGGCTTGTTGGGGTCCTTCTTTCCCATGTTTGTATAATACAAAATTTAAGTTTATAGAATTAAAAATTAGTCTACTTCACTGAAGGAAAAAGAAATAAGTCTTGTAATATATGCCGCCATCACTCGACTTTCAGTAGTAATATTCATTACAAAACACGTCGAGGGTGCCAGACGGAACATAGGATATACGCTATCTGTTTAGCGCGCGGCAAAATTTGAAAACGCTTACTTTTCGTTGGCGAATATTAAACTGAAATCGCTACAAGGCGTGAAAAACGGTGATGGAAAGCAACAAAAACACTAAACTTCCAAAGCACGAGTCTCGCTTATGGCATACGTAACGTCTACAGTCACAATCCACCTATTACGCTTGTATGCCTTTACCCAATTGAAATCAATGCTTATGCGCTGTAAGCTTCTACGCACTGTTTATCGTGTCTCTCCCATAAGGTTTATATGGAAGCGACGCGAAAAGGTAGTCGTTCTTTAACGGAGTAATAATAACCTTTCTCCTGAACATTTCGCGATAAAAATTTCATGGATGTGTTGCTCATAACTTAGGGAATCATCGTATTTCTTTAAATGGCGATAGGTCTTTTTTTACCCAATCAAAATCCACGTAGAAGAGGTCCTACTCGGCAGCCGCCAACTCAACCGTCTAGCGCTGTATCGTATACTTCGCTATGATAGGCCGCCAGCATTCTCTCATATGTGAACAATGGCCGCGAGACGTCTGGAACGCGCTTCCATTTACCGTAATGATAAAAAGCGCTGTACATTTTATGAAATTTAAAGACAAATATAGAATATTTCAAAATTTTAAGTGCGTACATTCAAAGAATTCAAGTTTGTCTTTTCATTGATCTTATAAAATTTAAAATATATCCAGGTTAAGCATACTTATGAGCTTTTCAAAAGCGAACTGTCAATCCTAAATATCTCTTCCTTACTAGCCATTCGTAATGGCGAACCATTGAGCAAAGCGCTCGCCCTAAGCACTGGCTTGTATAAGCTTACATATAGCGAGTTAGTACTACAGTTGTACGGGTCCCTATGCTCAAACCACAATTACCACTCTCAACAACAAAGTTTGAACTAATGGTTTAGATATGTTATGAAACGATAGTATCTGAATCTAAAGCTACAATTCTGCGTATTTTCGACCTTGCATAAGCGATTTGTGTCCTCTTTTCGTGAGCTTCGTCGCCAACTGATTGAGACGTCATAAGGCACTTTACGGAAAAGCATGTTTATCGCCTTCTGTTCTCTTTTCTCTACTGCGATTCGCTGGTCGTTGTTCACGTGCCTGAAAGCGGGAATGCTTGAAAAGTAGCTTGCCTTGCGTGAAATAGCCCAGCTTGATATGAATAATGCCCGGTTTTCTCACAGGTCTCGTCAATAAGATTACGCAGTTCTTTTGTTTGTTACTAGCTTTGCGCGAAGTATAATTAAATGCATTGTTTTGCAGTATGAAGTCCTCCGAAACGTTCTAATCTCTGATGAAATCGGACTGTCGCTTATCTTGCGCTAAAGGCGTTAAATTATGCACAAGTGATTAGTTGCTTAATTAATGGGTCAATACAGACATATCCTCCAAGCTGATTAAATAAAACAATGAACAAAATTTGCTTTTGTCGAGATGCCAGGTGAAATTCCACAGCCCAGAAAAATTGGTCCGGCAATATTCCATCTGATTATGCAAAATTCTAGTTTAATAATATTCCATGGAATTGCATAAAATTAGAATCAATATGACATCACCCTCCAAAACAAACAAGGTAGCGCTCAGTTGCAGCACTGCTTAACGAGATAATTTTTCAATTAATTTAATAATACATACACTCCTTATCCTAAGAAATAAAAGTACGTGACAAGCCGGAACTCGAAAAGTTTAGTATTATTTCACCTTATAAAACTAAATATTTTTGCATGGTAAATTTATGGTACAATAACTCGGCAAATAAACTTGGGTAGGCCCTTCAAGCCCAAAGTACCCCTACAACAATATCTTTTTCATGAAGCATGCTATAATAGGTAACGTGGTAATTTTGCACATTCTGTGACCAAAAGCTAATTATTTTTTTCTACCCAAATCAGTTCTAAGCAACGACTAACATACCGGTTCTAAGTATACGCAATGTATTTTTGCGTGACAACTCTTCAACTGAAATTTTTCAAACGAGAAGTATATGTTGTCCATGCATCTCCACTAAAGATTGAACTGCTTCCAATTTCCTCTCACAAAGCCAGCCCTTAAATACTTTTATGTCCTTAGCTCTCACAAATGAAATATTGGTATAACCAATACCTCCGCATATAAGGAAGTATTTATTTAAACCTGCGTTTCCCAAATTGTGTTCTGCGAGCGTCTTCCGTGGAAAGCCCGACTGACCGTCCAATATCGCGTCACCGTCGGCCTAACCAAGGTGGGGTAGTGGGATTTTCGTTGACTGTCGGCCTAGCTTTTTGAATGTTAAGTTCATTATCAAGTCTGCAAAAATTCTTTTGATTTTGCTACAGTCAAACAAGTAGGTCTAAAGAATAAAGACAAATGGTCAACTCTTCTTCCGCAATCTCTGCCTGGCTACTTTGAAATGCTGAAAAAATTACGCATGTTCGCTAGATTCGATTCAGCAGATGAATAGGTTGCAGAAAGTACTTCTATCTTCATTAGAGGCAAACACTACGTAATGGAAACGTTATAAACGACATAAAAAAGGTAAAATGAATTCGTTGATTCCTATACACAGCATTCAAATTAAGAAACAATAAAACATTTATAATAAATGAAATATGCAAAATGTTGAATCATATTTTAGGTAGGTTTAACATAATTCTGATAGTTTTTGCGGCGCATTTGGCAACTCGCTACGACGAACCCATTGGGAACTGCTACATTACACCGCTTCTCTCAATCAATTTTACCCTTTCATTTTTTGGTGTTCCGCGAGATAAAAAGTGTAAGTGTTCCGTGGCCGAAAAAGTTTGGGAAACGCTGATTTAAACGGACAAACGATAAGTCGTATTGCTTGCCCAGTTAACAAGATATCAAATTCACTTTTCACCCAAATCTTGCAAGCGCTTTTCAGTCTTACGAAAAGACTCCCCAATAATGGACATCCTAATAAATATATCAAACAGGCTCGACAGTCGAAAATTCGTGAAATCTAAACGCCGTTATGTCTAAAACGGTGTTTATCTGTTTCCTTGGCAGTAGCACTTTGAAGCTACTCTTCAAACCCCAAGTGTAGGCCGCCTTTCCATGTAAAACGCTCTGTCAAACGTATATTTGGAAATGTGGCAAGACGTTTAATTGCAATAATGTACAAAAGTAATGGCAACACCACAACAGGCAAAAATGGACTTCGGTCAAGCACAAAGATTCATTAGAAGGAAAATCCTGAATGTATAGGTATAAAAAAACCGATGTCATCTCACAGTAGCACTGTAAAAGAGTAACCATACGAAACTAAACACAGTGATGAAAATACCAAGTCTTGCAGATTACATGTAGTCCAGAAATATTGCCAAATGTGTTACATGGAAAATCAAATAAAACCATTTTTGTGATTAATTTTCACTCCAAAGAGGTCAAGCAATGAAATTATTTAGGTTACCAAAAAGATGAATAGAAGGTTACTATTAATAAGTGTCACTACAAAATAATTACGGTACTTGCATGTTACTCAGAAACTAAAACACTTGAAATGAGGCAAGCAATATTGGCATGATATAAAAACATGATTAACACACTATTGAAGCATGACAGTGGGAAAATACTGCATATTGTAAAAAAAAATCCTTCAATGTCTAGTACTATGGCTGCCAAGAAACGTCAAAACACACCACTTCTGTCCACATCCCATCAGTGGTGAAACAATCTAGTATGACTATGTATAAATGTGATTCCATGTTCATCACAAGCATCACGAACAATATCATCATTGTTGGATCCAGCTGGGCTCACGATGTAGCGAACACCATTCTGTTAAGGAAAGTATTGGTTCAGGCAAGGGACAGACAGGTGTCGATTGCAAAAAAAGGCTCATGTGGGTTGTTATTATGAGGACGTTTACTTTCTCCATAACTAACAGTTCAATTTTAATACTCAAGATAGAAGGCTATTACTATTAGTTTTTTAAGTTTTCTCTAAATCACATAGGACCTGGAATCAGAAACACTTTTATAAGTATATATATATAAATTCAGTTAATTCTTTTAACATTTGGATGACATGTTAGCCATCTGACCTTCCCGTCTATATACCTGAGCATTGCATATTTATAAATAAAAAGCACCTTGCTGGCTCTGTCAATGTTATCCCTGAAGGGAAAGAAAGCATCTGAACTAAGAGCAACATCATCAAGCTTGGATATCCAGTCTGCACAATCAACCTAAAAACATAGGAATTACTTTCCTGTACATTGACAATTAAGTAGTGGATCATAGTATTTAAACAGGGATTCTAACGAATCGACGAAAGCAAGAGACACTAAAATAGTTAGAATAAGGAACAAAAAGTACAAAAACAAGCTCGGCTTTAAACTCGTTGTTGTGTTTTTTTTGACATGATGCTCCTGTTGCCAACAGCCCATAAATATACCCATTCGCAGAGTTGAGCTGACACGAATCAGCTTCATAGGGACGGATGTAACATTATTGCTTAGATTCAATTTTGAGTGATGAGTCGTGGGATGAAGTTGGAACAACTTTTTGCATTACTTGAAGACTTTAATTAACTAATACAAGGTGACTTCAATCAAATTTTTAACCTTTGACTTGACAATAAATCAATTTCATTAGCCTTTTTGTCAAGATCTCAACGAGAGATTCGGGTGATGACCTAGCCCCACCCAACCCTGCCTTATTGGATTTATTGTGTTATTTTAAAATTATCAACATTGAGAGAATCACAGAAACTTGAATAAAAATTTCAGTCACATCAGATTACCTCAGAAAATAACACTGGTTCATTGTCAAAACAATTCCGCCATGTTTGTTCATCCATATCCTGAAAATAAAATGAAAAATAGCAGACAAATTAAAAAAAATAATCGAAGAAAAAAATCAAAGAATGTTTGATTTTTACTATTAATGATATAACGATATAAACCTGGTAAACTGGTTTATAAGCAACAAAATGAAGACAACCAGGAAATTATTGGCTCACATTATAATTCTACCACAATATGCTTACTATAAAAAGATGATTTCACGCACTAATAGGGCATTTTCGAATACCTGATGATTTCAGATTCGAATCGAATATTTTTTTCGAATCAAAACTCTAATAATTGGGAGATATTAAATTGTGTGTAACTTCTTATTGTATTACGTCCTCCAGACGCATAAATTACTTGAAACATAGAATATATCACTCAGGCAGATTGCTGAGAGTTCACACACAATAAAAAACAGGTTTTATCAATAACTCACTAGAGAAAAGAGTCACATGTCAGAATTGCGTTGAAAAAATATGGCTTCAATAAAAAAATTGGGAAATTTACCTAAAGCATTGGCGGAGAGAAAAAAAAAGATGGCGGAAATTCCAAATTTTGCTCTAAACCGATTCGAATAATTTACTCTTGATTCGAAATGCCCAGCCCTAGGCACTAACCATATTATTATGACGAATTAATAAATAATATATAATAAATAACCTTTCCAACAATTCTTGTAACATAGGCATCAATAAGGTTTGACTTCTCAGGACGTTTGACTTCTTTTTTGAATTTCAATCCTAAGACTCTTGGATGTTGACGAAGCCACCTAAATGAACAATCTATCAATTCAACAGAGAAAAAAAATGTTATATTCCGCCCTAGCTAATATGAACGCATTTGATACCAATTTAATTATGGTTCTATATTGTCTAATTTATTGTAAAATTTCTAGTTTTCGAACTTTTGTAAACAAAACTGGATATTTCTATTTACACTCATTAACCAAGTAATTAAACAAACCAATTGTTTGCTTTATCCCCTGCGATACGAGTACAGTGTATTCTTGATTGTTGACCAGCACCAATTCCAATAACCTGATAGAAACAACGCTGTTAGTTACAAATAACTCAAAATCATAGTGGAAATTGAGTACGAATAAATACTCCAGGAAATTGGAATTATGTGATGAATGTTCATCAAAATTCAAAAGGTTGTCATTTTGGCAAATACGCTTAAGATAGGTGACAGAGAAAATTTATTCAAACTATAGCTTTTAAATATTTATTTCAGAAGAGCATTGTCGAGATAAATGTGATTTTTGGCTTTGGCACTGTACTGGCATATCGATTTGTTTTGTTTTTCATTATGTAAAATTTACATGGTGTATCTCCAATACTGTATTGACTGACTTTGGCAATTGCTGTCTTTATACAATCAAAGAAACCAAAATCCGAATCGACAGACTAATATATGATAAATTCGGAAAAGGCCTGGGTGAAGCAAAACAGTCTTTTCAATCATAGATCAGCTATTTAGTTAGTATGAGTTGTAAACAACCAAGAAAAAATGAGGTCTTCTGGCAATATAGCTATCATGTTCAGAAAGAGTAATCGAGCAACAAATTTGTATGTAAAATTACTCACTTGACCATCTTTGGCAAAACATACCGAATTGGATTGAGTGTATTTCAATGCAATTGAAGCAACAATCAAATCTCTAATTGCGGATTCCGGAAGCTGAAAAAGATGTTGCAACTTGTAAGTAAAAGATAATCATGCGTATTTGCCCAAAGTCCAGGATTTAACGCCAATAGGAAACCTTTTGAAGTTTTGTACAATCTCGAGACAACTCTCCTGTGACAGAAGTCCAATAATCCCTTTACCTATGATCATCTTTCTGAAGAAAATTCTACACGCGCAAAGATAATTATTACGGTAAGTCATTCTTCATAATTAAAAGAATATGTCATCATAGTATCAAGCATGTACATAGTTTAAACATGATCATAAAGTGCCATAAATAACATGACTAGGTTTATTAAATGCATTAAGTCAGCTGAAACAGATAAATAATAAATACCTTTTTAGATGCTGATACAATATTTTGCATCATTTCCTTACAAATCACTGCATTATTTCGCTTTTGCTTCATTCTGATGCCAAATAATTCTCTTGTTTCAAATTCAGGAGGTTTATATTCTGCATCCATCTAGACATGAATAGTATTATGTAATAATGGCAAGGTTTCGTAATTTTATATTAATATATTTTCATGTGGTGTCTGGTATGATACCTCCACTCGGGACAAGACCATAGAAAAGTAGCCAATTTATTGGAATTGCGTCATCTACTAGGATTTAACTAAAATACCCCTGGTGTACATATAAAATGATCTTGTAAATGTAAGCCAGAGTCAAAATCTAAGACGACACTTCACTATATACAGTATAGTTTAGCTAACTCTAACATTTATCACCATACCTGAAGTATACAATATTTTCCTCCTTTTTTCTTTGACAATTTCTGCAAAGCTGCTTCAGAATATCCAGGTGCAATAATTCCATCAGAAACCTGATAATGAAAAATGATAGTTAGTGTATTAGGGTCATGTCAATAATATCAGACGAAAAACATTCTCCCTTGACAACTTAACAACAATTCCAGTTTCACATTTCTGATCAAACTATTTTTGAAAATTAAACCACTAGCATTATTTTTTATCTATGTGAAACAAATTCAATTTTCAAGAGACATCATAATATAAAATCACGAGGCCAGTTACTAAGGATATAGAATTATTACCTAGATCTGTTAATTTTTTGTGAGAAGTCTGTAATTGCAATTTATCTATTTTCATACAAGAAAAAGAATTATACCCAGTAATCAGTATGTTAATTTATCAAACAAAAAACAGTGGAAAACATCATTCTTGACAAACAATGACATGTAACAAACATAGATTAGTACAATAACAAAAAATAATACCTCTCTGGATATTTTAGCTGTAACATCATCACATTCGTCAGACAATGCAATAAAATCACCAAATGACGACATCCTATCAGCACCTGGAATTTTTTGCGAGAAATATTAAAATCATTCATTTTGTTTACTCCCGAACTAAATTTTGAATATTGGAAATAAATCCTCCAAAATACCATAACTAGATTTAGTGAATGAATTCTAAATAAAATATACAGACTCAATCTAAAATAAATTAAAAAAAACAGTGAAGTTTGGAATTCTTCATTCTTCGTATCATTTCTTTTTTAAATTACCCCAAGCAATTTAAAGTGTAATATTCAAGGTCAAATTGATGTTATGGGTCAGTGCAGAATATTCAAAATCAAAACAGCGATAAATATGTAAATGACATTGGCATATGTATATCCGTTGCGACAAAACTAGTGATAGCATACTTATTGTTAAGAAATACATTACCTCTAGCTCTTGCATAGGCAGTTGCAAGTGGTGTTAATGTATCAAATACATCTCCAACCATACACAATTTTGCTTGATCTTCTGTAAGTGTTGTACCAACTGCAGCACCTGGAAGATTGGAAACAATTTAATTGCTGAAATATGATTTCAGAGCTAAAAAAAAAAAAATCTGATACCATTTTTTACTTGACTTGAAAAAATTCTCAACAATAACAATTCTTAAACATAAATATTGCATACACCTCCTCTCATTCAATACCATATTTAACGATTGGTATGAAAAATAAGAAGAAACTAATCTTTTTATTATTAAAAAGCTCCTTAAATAATACATACCTGCTGGGCTAACATGCTTAAATGAAGTGGCTGCAGGTAAACCTAATGCTTCTTTCAATTCTTTTACTAATTGCCATGCATTTAATGCATCACAAAGATTGATAAATCCTGGAGAGCCATTCAACACTAAAATGTAAAAACATTATTAATTATATGTGTGGAAGATTAGACACAAATAGTGTAAGCAGATTCATCTTTTTTTGTAAATAAAAATATTGCAAAACAACAGTTGTGAATCCAGCATTCATTCTGACAATTATTACTGTAATATTGAAGACAGGATGCACGCAAAAGACCATATCGGCCTAAAACATGATGATTTGTGGCATACACCCCTTTGAAAAACATTAATTCAAACGGTTATGATATGCTCAATTATACAATATGGTGATTCAAGCGAAAACGTGAATGATATGTTTCAAATAAAGGCACTCTATTGGAAATATATAATATTTCAACTTGAAGTATTTAAATGAACCTTTGAATGGAAGGTTTCCAGAAGGAACATAAACCTCCGCCGGTTTTTGATGAGGATTCATCCCATAACGAAGTGGTAGTCGACTGGTTTCAGAACCATAGTTTTCTCTCAAGTAGCCTGATATAGCTGCGTCATATTCTGCTGTGTGATTGAATGCCTGTGAAGTAGTCATTTATAAATTTTGAATGAATCATAGCCCCAATTTTTATAAGATAAATAAGAATTCAATAGTTAAACAAAAGAAGTCTTCTATAAAAATTAGGTCAATAATAATAAAGCATGTCAAGTGGTTTATAATTGAGCCCTGCACCATGCTCGATCTATAATGGTTGGTAGTAATTTAGCCAGGCATATTTTAATCTTTTTTGCCATGAACAGTCATGGATCTATAGAAAATACTTAATTTTTCAATTCAGGGTGAGGAGTATTTCTCCTTACTGCAACAAAAAATTGAATATTTCGTTTACTTTTTGTGAACGTAGCTACTTCTGGGCAGAATTTTTATGTGAAACAGGGATGTCCATCCAATATTAGAATGGATTCCAATTAATTCTATTTGAATCTAAAGTAGTGATTTCAGGTAATATTTGATTATTTCATTTGAAAAAAATTAATGTGAGACATGCAATTGAAGACTAACAGTAATTCATTCACTTTTTAAAAATCATGGAAAATAGAAAGTTCAATCAAATTATTCTTTATCTTTATTTTCCAAATTTGAACTTATTGAACACATTTTGCCTCATATAAGTTCATATTGAACATGTTACAATTTCGAATAAACATGATATTGTGTATTCAAAAATATTATTTTAGAACTTATTATTCACAATGGCAAATCATTCGGCTTCGGCCAATACTTCGCATAATTCGGAACAATATTTTGCATAGTCAGATATATATATACCTTTAAGGCTAACATTTTCCTGGTATCTAGGTTGGTAGAGGCATCTTCTGAAGATTCCATTTCTTTAGCCACCATATCATAATCATCAGGATCACATACAACTGTCACACGATTATGATTTTTGGCAGCAGCTCTTAAAAGTGTCACACCACCTGAAAAAACCTTCCATAGTCAAAAAATCACCATGGTATGATGAAAAAAATTATAAAGACAAATTTCACATCATTCAAAGTACATACAATTATTATTAAGATCATATCCTACCTATATCAATTTCTTCTACTGCCCCTTCCATTGTCACATCTGGCTTTGCAATGGTTTCAATAAATGGGTAGAGATTGCACACCACAACACTATGAAAGTACAAACAACAAATTCCCTGTATCACTATTTATATCGGATAGAAATAATTTAAGCAAACTATATTATGAACCAACCTTATATATTGAAAATCTAAATTTTTCATATCATTTTGATCTCCTTCAATGTTTCGTGCTAAAATTCCACCATGTATAGCAGGATGAAGTGTTTTTACTCTTCCTCCAAGCATTTCCGGAGCTCCAGTAACTTCACTCACATCTCTGAAATATTTAATTTTAAGGAATTTACATCGATTTGGCAGTGACGTACTTGAAACCAATTTCGTAGAGCAGGTTAAATTTTACACCTAAATCTAACAACTTTTTAACTAGCTAACGCAGGACGGACAAAAGTATTGTCTCATACTTTGGCCCACAACTCCATTTTTGGGGGAATTTCAAACTTTTGCATGTGCAACGATTGTAAAATTATCTTTTGAGAATGCTTAATCAATTTATTTTTTTTTAGTTTGTAAGAAATCTTGACTTTGTATACCAGCATTGGACATTTGAAATTGAGACTCCTAAAAAAAATTATTACTCCGGCTCTGATTCGAGGAGTTCAAAAATATGACTCCAGCTCTGACTTCAATAGGCATGCTTAAAACAATTAGACGCAGGACAAAACTGTAGCCAAACAAATAATGAACAGATCATTTTCTCAGGAAAAACAGAAGTATCAGAAAATTTATCCAACAAATTTCAAGAGCAAAGGTCTGAAGGAGCATTAATAACTTCATAATGAAATTGGTAATATAGCAAGCCATGTTTCCAATTAAATTCTATTTCAAATAAAAATGCAAGAATAAACATTATATTCAATGACCATTAAACATAAGTCAAACAAATAAACTAGCATCATATTACCGAACCGAAATTCCTGCATCTCGTATTTTCTTTGCAGTTCCTCCTGAAGCTATCAAACCATATCCCAACCTATTTAATCTACCAGCAATTTTCTCCAAACCATCTTTATTGGAAACACTCAGTATTGCTAAAATAAAAAAAAGGATTAGTTTCCAACCAATTGAAAATGTAAATAGCATGTCTAGATTAAAAACACAAAATGAAACTTGTGAAGACTACAAAATGTTTCATTTGTACAGTTTTACTATTGATCCATTATCAATATAAATATATATTATACATATGAATAGATTTTGAAACAAGAAATTTTAATAGATGAAGAATAGATCTGTATAACAAGATGGATACTCACCCAAACTTTGCTTCCTCAGTACATTAGACATGACGAAGTTCAGAATTTTTTACTCAGTTACTGCAGTTTATGGAATGTGTGAGAGATTTCTATACAAAATTCACTGACAAATGATGAAAAGAAACAAAAAAATTACAATTATGACAGTATGAAAGCAGGTATGATAATCAGATACCGGTTATAAGAGGATTAAATGCAACATATAAGTCAAGTAAATAAGTTTACTGTGCTGTGTTACCATAAAAATTCGTTATTGTAGTAGCGGTATTGAGATATGCTACTCTTCACTTATTCAGTACGGCACACTATCCCGAATCCGGATTTGCGTCTACATTCCGGAAGAGCCAAAAAATGAATAGGCGTCTGTGAAACAGGGGGCGTCGAGTCGTTTGCGAGCTCGATGCGTGAGAACGTCAGATGTCTGGATATGACGTCAAAGAAAGTCACGCACAGATCGGCAGTTCGGCACGGCTCTCGAATTTTGCTAATTTGATTTTCGTTTTTTACCGATGTATACTGACCTATATGGTTAGATATACGATGTATTTCTGAATCATTATATTCAGTCTACTGTTGGTAGTGCCTAATTAAAATAATGTCGCGTAAATGCAAACGTCTGTGAATAAAATAATTACTTTTAAATAATATCAAGAGATTACAAAATTATGCGTTTCGATTAATACGTCTACGAGTCCAACTAATTTTATTATAAGTGTTTGTGACTACATGACATCGTTTGAATTGTCGTATAACGAAGTCAAAACGATGCACGATATCGAAGTTTTTTTTTTCAATAGTTAAATTAATATCGATAGTGAAACTTTGTATGCCCGTTAATACCTGTAATTACAACAATTTAACATAGCATCTTCGGTTATTTAGAACTGAAACTTCCAGAACGCACAACGATTACGAATTACGATATCATTTAATAATTATATTCGAGATTTTTATTTAAATTTGAGCGTCAACAATCCATAGTAAAATAAAAGCCTCGATGATTAATTGGATTAAACTATTTTGCCAATTTGATTCTTGTTTTTCACAGACTACGCAAGTTGATCATTTGCGGCATACGAATGCATCAATGCGGCATTATATTAATTTGATTCTTGTTTTTCACCTATCTATTCTTGCATAAATCACGCAAATTAACATTTGCGGTATATGATTGCCTCGACGTGGCATTGAATTAAAATATTCTCGTATTCCGTATACTTCGAAGTTAAACATTCGCGACATATGAATGTATCGATGCCGCATTATATTAGTTTGAATCTTGTTTTTCATCGATCTATACTAGTATAAATTACGCAAATTGAACATTTGCGGCATATGAATACATCGATGCGGCATGATATTACATTATTTTGCTAATTTGATTCTTGTTTCTTGCCGATCTATTATTGTGTAAATTACGCAAGTTGATCATTTGCGGCATATGAATTAAATTATTTTCGTATAGATTAACATTTGTGGCATATGAATGCCTCGATGTGGCATTGAATTAAATTATTCTCGTATACCGTAACTTTCGAAGTTAAACATTTGCGGCATATGAATGTATCGATGGGACATTATATTATTTTGAATCTTGTTTTTTACCGATCTATACTAGTATAAATTATGCAAACTGAACATTTGCGGCATATGAATACATCGATGTGGCATTATATTAAGTTATTTTGCTAATTTGATTCTCGTTTTTCGCCGATCTATTCTTGTATAAATTACGCAAGTTGCACATTTTGCGGCATATGAATGTTTCGTTGCGGCATTAGATTAAATTATTGCTTTATGAACTAATTCATCTAATGCTATATCGAGGCATTAATTTTACTGTTTATCGATTGTGTGTCATCAAAATGTAATTTTTATTATCTCTGATCCATTTATTATCGTTAACACGCCATCCTATCTACATTGAAAATGAGAGAAACACGGCTCGCCAAGGCTTACGTCGAGGAACGGCCGATGCGTGCCTGCGTGCGTCGATTGAAATTCAGTGACGTCACACGCCGTCAATCGTTTTTTGCTCATTTCTCTCGAACGCACCGGTAAAATTTTTTTTACATCGGTAGAGTCTGATTATTTTTTCACGAGGAATTCAATGGTGATGGTTTTAGATTGCGCTTTTTGTTAGTTTACTGCGCAGCTTCGATTTATCGATATCGGGAGACAAAATCCGCCAGACGTCCCTCGAAGGAAGGATATTCGATCAGCGTTAAAATAGGTTTCTCTAAAACGAGAGATTGTCTCTCGATCTGTAAAGTGTGCCGTACTGTTATTGCAGTATTGATCTACATCGTTTACTAGCAATGATCTTCAATGTGCATGCTACGTTTTGTATTGCGTTATTTGGCTAATTTCTGAATTAGACTAATATATTTGGTTGTATTAAAATATACCATCAAGCATTCAGAAGATGGTTCAACTTCTAAAGTACCGGTAAATGTCTGGGTTGGTTATCCATGGATACTGTACATTAAGAACTTAGGTATTGATTAGTATCCAGATAAACTATCTATCTATCCTCAAACACGAATAAATAGAATTTATCAGCTACATTGCCCTGTACCGTAACCCGTTATGTATAGTTGTACCAGAGATAAACATCATGGGCATCAATCCGATCCCAGCAAGCTAACTACATTAAAACTGAACTACAGCTGAGCAAACCGCGCCAAATACTACCTTGTTTACATTCACAACCACATGCGCTACACGTGGGTCGAGTGTTTTGGTTTCTAGCGCGATGTAACGTTTAGCGGGCTTTTTAATTAACAAATTCGCATGTTTCCCCCATCATGTTCCATGTTTATTTTCGTAAAAATGACAATGATGACAAGCAATCGGCTCGGCGGGGTGGCGCAGCGCTATGATTACCCTGCGTGGGTTTGTATGCAGGTTTGAATCACGTGAGGGATAATTATGTGCGACGGGACTCCTGGAATCATTGATGACTACATAAGGTATCAATGCTAAGGTATCAATGCTGGAATCCTCGCCGTAGGGGGATCTTTCTATGGTCGGGGCGACATAACTTAATATGTGGTGTTTAATTTCGAACCGGATCCGTTCGACCGGATTTGAACTCCGGTCTGATGGTTTACTAAACCACCGCGCTTCCTTTGGGCCACCGCTATCTGTGGAAATCGCATGGAATAAAAGTCCTATTTAATTAATAGATTTTCATCAAAGTCACACTCTGCTGACGAGGCTAATTAGTAATTGCTACGACAAATCTGGCATTAACATAATTCGCTGCCGTTGCGTTAATGGCTGAATGGAAGCCGTTCATCTGACACTATCTTATAGGTTCCATTATCTCTGCACCCACGTACTTTTGCACCTAGGAGATTTGCACCTGCATACTCTTGCATTCACGGACATTTGCACCCATGCGCAATTACACCAATATATTTTAGCACCCGCATACAGATTGCAATGAACATTTGCACCCGTGGGCTTTTGCACCCGCGGATATTTGCACCGGAGAACGTTTCACCCGCGAACGTTCGTACATTGGTACGTTTTCACCCACGTACATTCGTACCCACGGAAATTTCCACCCATGGGCATATGCACCCAGTACATTTGCACCTACAGATATTTGGTGCTCCCGTAGTATGTGCCCCCATAGACACCAGTCATTGCTATTTGCCGCCGAGAGATTACATCCTAATTTTATAATTAAATCCATCCATCAACTCATTTCAAGCCAACCTCGAAACAGGTAAAAAACTCGCACGGTAGACACCATTATGGCACAACAATACCGGAGACAAATGTCGCAAATAACTTGCTCAACATAAATATGGTCTATTTCGCCATGTTGATCGAGGTAGTTTAACGTTGTATGTTTTCTCTTATCTACGTTTTATTCTTTTTTTTCTTTGGCGATACGTGTGCTGCGGTGCAACTGGCTAACTCTGACGTGACCTCACTAGGTTTCGATTTATGGTTGTATTAAGTTTTCGTTATTTCGTTGCAGTAAAATGACCGAAAATTGGAATGGGATTATATATAACGATGACTGTAAAAACGTAGCGACCCCAACCAAGATTATACTTACAATTTGTCATCTGTCTTCATTTCCAATACAATATATATTTCCAATACATTAGTAAAAAATTTGAAATTTTGTTCGAAACACAAACGGGTGCAGATGTCCTTGGGTCCGAATGTCTATCCGTGAAAATGTTCATATGCCCATGGTTGCACATGTTCGGGGTTACGAATATCCGTTGGAAAATGCACGTTTAACGACTGACGCTTTTTAACATTACTAAAGTTGCGACGAAATGTTATTCTGTGGCATGCGTAGCATAATATTTTCTTCAAATGGGTGTTCACATTCTGACATCTGCATGCTTATTGGACACGTAGTGGACAATACGATCGTTTCAATATTATGTTGTTGTTGTTGTTGTTGTTCTTGTTCTTTGACACGTTTTTAAAAAGTCGCTTTTCTCTTCGAATACTGGACCAATTGCTTTGAAATTTTCAGTGGTTGAAGATTAATTTTTTCGCTAGAAGGCTATTACTTTTGTTTATTCTTAATTTTATATGAATCCTATGAGATACGATATTTCATACAAAATTTCGCGGTATTTATTTTTCTCGTGGGAACACTGTTTTACACTTATTTCAAGCGGTTTCGCGATCGATTGTCTTGCTCAGTACTACAGCTACTGTAGGTCGGTACTGGTAAGTTGCCATACCGGTGCCGTAACGCAGTGAAATTGACTTATTCCTTCCGCGGTATTACTAATGCTGCAATGCAAGTTTTATAGCCTATCGTATGCGGAACGGAATATCAGACCTACAGGTTCGGTACCGGTACTGGTAGCTCAGTACGTAAGTACGATACTGGTACTGGTGCCGGTACCGGTGTCTTACCACAATGAAATTACCGTAACTTATTCTTTCACGGTCCTACCAGTGCAGTAATGCAAGCGTTGTAGCACTTGTAGCCTACTATATTTGTTTATTTTGATGAGAGTCTACTGGAAACAACATAAAATTTGAAAGGGAAGAATTGTTCTGTGATCAATTATCTGTCCTAAAGTGTAAACAACATAAAATTTGCAAGGGAACAACTGTTCTGTGATCAATTACCGTATATGGCCTACAGTGTACAGGTAAGATGCTG